GAATAATTTATATGTTGAAGGATTCGATGATTATCAATCAATCAATCAATCAATCAATCAATCAATCAATGATTCAACCAATCAATCAATATATTAAGCGCGTACCATTTTTTTAAAAATTCAAAGTTGAATTTTCTACTAAATTTTAATAAAACTAGACTTTTGGGGCGCTTCGCGCCCATCTTCTATTTCAATTGTGACAATGTTCTTTTTGAGTATATTGTAAAACAAATAAAAAAGATCACGGATTTCATCTTAAATTATGTGGATTTTCAAAATTTTCAAAAATTTAATTAAAATCGAATTTTAATGGAGGCATATTTTTGAAAATTTGAACATTCATAAACCTTCCCTGGGGCACGTGAAGACTTTTGTCCCAATCGGCTCAGCCTTTTTGACGTTTGTTGGATACAAACAGACAGATAGACAAACAAAGTATACATATACTAGACTTTAAGAGCGCTTCGCGCCCATCTTCTATTTCATTTGTAGTCATTTTCTCTTTAAATACATTGTAGAACAAAACTAAAATAATTCGAGGAGTTTATAAAAAATTTTGTGGATTTTCATAATTTTCAAAAATCGAATTTTGTTAGAAGCAAATTTTTGAAAATTTAATAATTCATAAACCTTCCCTGGGATCACGCGAGGCCCCATAAAAAATTTGGGCCCGATCGGTTCAGCCGTTTTGACGTTTAATGGATACAAACAACAAGCAAACACCCAAACAAACAAACAGACACCCAGACAAGCAAAGTATATATAAAGATATAGATTAGGTTTCATCACATGACCGACTAGGGTTTGGGGTGGTGAGCGGGGGAGGGGGGGGTGCTATGGACACGCCTCAACACGGAAACGTCTCAACGCGGAAATGCCTCAAAAAAAAACGGAAACCCCTCAAAAACCGGTTTTTTGAGGCGTTCCCGCAATTTCTGTAAGAAAAACGGAAATCCCTCAAAACCCAATTTTTGAGGGGTTTCCTCTTTATTTTGAGGCGTTTCCTAAATTTTTTGAGGGGTTTCCGCTTTTCACCTGACAATTATTTTTGAGGAAATTCCCAATATTTTTGAGGGATTTCCCAATATTTTTGAGGCGTTTCCGCAAAATTTTTGAGCTGTTTCCGTATTTTTAAAAACTTGATTTAGTTGAGGTATTTCCTCTTTTTTTGAGGCGTTTCGGTTTTTTGAAAAAACTTTTAAAACTTTATTTTGTTGAGGCGTTTCCGTTGTTTTAGCACCGTGGGGGGGGGGTTTTTTAAAAAACTTTGAAAATACCGACCTGTGATGGACTGGCAGTTTCCTCCTTGATGGCACTATGGACATGAACTGGATCCGATCTCCTTCCCCCTCCAGGTTTACCAGCTGGGTGTGATTGATGGATTGAAGATGATGGTTGGTTGATTGATTGATGAGTTGCTAGATGTGGTAGAATGGATTGAAGGTGCAAGAAGTTAGAATTATCCTCCTCTGCATGTTGTCTGACAAAAAAGTGGAAATATTTTTTTTAAATTTTCGATGCTCCGTCTCGAGGGGAAAATTAAAGTTTTTCACCCATTTTCCCCCTAAACATCATTTCTTTTCCCCAACCAAATACAATCCTAAAAAATTATGCTTGCCGGAGCGCAAACATACAAATACCTAGAGGAAAAAACTATTTTCAAATGATTTTCAAACGATTTTTAAGATTTAAATGAAGATCTAGAGGAAATATAATGCAAAATTTGGCATCAAAAGGCATGTTTTTTTATACTTTTTACCCAAAACTTTATTTATTTACCCTTAAAAGTCTAAGTATCCATACAGAGGTGTATATTTTCTTTAAAAATCATCATTTTTTGAAATTTTTTTTTCCACCGGAAAAAAGTTATTCTAATTTTTTTTCTGGTGGAAAAAAAAAATTTAAAAAAAGGATAATTTTTTAAAGAAAATATACGCCTCTGTATGGATACTAAAGAACTATCCCTTCCTAGTTTAACTACTTGTTTTTGTTCGTTTAATTTATATAAAAAACATATTCGCTCATATCAATAATATATTTGGTAGCTATAGCTGGCCAGACGGCTCGACCAAATTGACAAAAAAAAATTGAGGGAAACCGTGGGTACTCTTGGGGTAACAAAGGCTAAACAGAATTCATTTTTTTTTCAATAATCAAACTATATTTTTTTTTCATTCCCGACCACTTCTCTAGTATATATAATAGATAAAAATATTCCTAACCTGATACTGTTGAGAATTTCAATAACATGAGGAGGGTAGGGGTGAGGATTATTCAGTACTGAGCTCAGGTACCTAAATCATGATAAATTAACCCATATCATACAAAATTAACCTAAATCATACTAAATTAACCAATATCATACAAAATTACCCTAAATCATACTAAGTTAACCCATATCATACAAAATTAACCTAAATCATACTAAATTAACCTGAATCATGATAAATTAACCCAAATCATACTAAATTAACCCATATTATACAAAATTAACCTAAATCATACAAAATTAAGTTATTAACCATATTAAGCACAAAAAATCATATTGAAATATTAAAGGGACTGTAGGCGTAATTTCAAGTGACCCTCCATTTATAGAAGAGCATGCCCAATGCACTAAGGTACTCTTTAAACCTTTCGGCGACTGACTTAACTCTAGAATGAAGTTCAATTTACCGGAACATAGAACACCTTGCAAACAAAGTTATCAACACTAAACTATCCTTGACCAAGATTTAAACGGTATTGATGTGAATAGAACACATGAAAATACGCCAACGGTCCCTTAAATTACAACGAGTTTTTTGTCATTTCAATTTTTATTTCGATCATTTCTTCTAAAATTTCTGAACTTTTTCGTTTTTTTTCCACAGTTCACCGCTGATTATTATTAATCAATTATTTAGTCAATCCATCGTTCCATAAATCCATCATTACATAGATCCATCGTTCCATAAATCCATTGTTACATAACTCTATCATTACATAGATCCATTGTTCCATAAATCCATCATTACATAGATCCATTGTTCCATAAATCCATCATTACATAGATCCATTATTCCATAAATCCATCATTACATAGATCCATTGTTCCATAACTCTATCATTACATAGATCCATTGTTCCATAAATCCATCATTAAATAGATCCATTGTTCAGTCGTACAAGTTCGGTAATTGGATTTTTGACATTAAACATTTTTTTTATGACTTTTGGTTTAAAGCAGGAAAATGTTATAAATGTTATTATGAATTAAAGTTCCTCCTATATAATTTGGAGAACTTTCGGTTTCAATCAAGAAAATACTATTATGCATATATTATACATAATATACATATTGATGTATTCAAAAACAAGTATGGCCACACCCACAACATTATATCCACAATGATCACTGGGATCAATTCACAAACCTAGAAGACCCCATTCTTCCAGCAGATGATCATTAGTTCCTTAAAAAATCCTCTACATATTCCTAGATAGAACACTGAGGATCAACACACAAGTACAAGTAAGTATATGTATAGAGTTCCTCTTTTATATAATTTGGAGAACTTTCGGTTTCAAGCAAGAAAATACTATATTTGAGTTTCCCTCCCCAGTCTACACTCTACACCTATTGTTATGCGATAAATAAATTACTTAAGAGTATTCTCTGAATGTTTTCCTCCCTCCTTCAGAAACTGTCTCATACTAGAATCCATTCTGCGTCTGAAAATAAACAGTATCTTCAACAGTATCTTAAAAAGTATCTTAAAAATTATCTTAAAAATATACATATATTTTTTTAAAGATACTTTTTAAGATATATATTATATATATATTCGCATAATTATCTACAGGTTGTTGGCAAAATTAATCAAACTTAAATTACGTTTTTAATAATTGAATAGTTGAATGATATTTCTTAACATGAACAATGACCAATTTAACCTTGTTACGCATATTATTTGGGTTTCCACTCGGTTAGTATTCCCATACCACATCCCTCAGATTTCCTTTCCTCATGCCGGTACACTCGACCTCCATCCTCATCCCCTCGTTCCCTCATTTCCCTCATACTCCATCCTCACCTTCTCATTCCTCCATCCTTCATCCCCCTCATTCCTTCATCATTTATTCATCCTTCATCCCCTCATTCCTCCATCATCATCTTGCAATCTTATCCCTCATCCTGCAGCCTTATCCCCTCATCCTCATCCGCCACCCTCATATCCTCATTCTCCATCCTTCACCCTCCATACTCCCCTTATCCTCCTATCTAGCTACTTCTTCTCAACCTTCTCCACCATCTGCTTGATGGCCTCTGTGTATGCAACTCTATTCTTCCGCAGGTGCTCAACATGCGGAGACCTAAATCAAATAAATTATAAAAAATCCCGTTTTGAATGATAAAAATAAGTCAAATAAATTGAAAATCATTAAAATTGAGTAATTTAGCTACAATTCAATCAGATCTTGATCCTTGATTTTAAATACAAAACCAAAAACTATTTTAAAAAACCAGATAACCGATGCCCTATTAATAAAAAACAAGAGCCCCAATACTGATACAGTGATAATACTGATATAACAGATAACCCGCTCTTTCTCAATCTACCAAAACTGCTGTAGAATTAGATACCTGTTAAATCTGCAGACCAAGACGTCACGTGACACCTTGTTCCTATCAGGTATAACCTGACCCTCTATATATGATGCTGGAATATAGAAATCTGACCCACTGTAGATAAACAACTCAGGTACATCTGAAAATTGAAATTTATAATCTATATTTTATATATACAAGGTAGTAATCTCTTTTTGTTTATTTTCATATCTGATCAGAACTCAGAAACCCCTTGGACGATTTACCTTAAATTTTGATTGGGTAACTCGTTAGAACGACGGGAGTATATCTAGGTGGGTAAAACAATTTAGTTGGTCGACTTTTATTCCAGGCAAAGCTGGAGTTCCAAGCTAGTTTGTAAATAATATTATTCAAGCAATATCACAGAAGTAAGTAAAAATAAACAGTTCCTAAAATCATCCAATTTAAAGCAGAAAAAGCAACCCACGGTCTTGTCCTTGTAATGTAATACGCATGTAATGTCTTATCTATGTAATGTCTTATCCATGTAATGTCTTATCCATGTAATGTCTTATCCGTGTAATGTCTTATCCGTGTATTGTCTTATCCATGTATTGTCTTATCCATGTAATATGTCTTATCCATGTAATGTCTTATCCATTTAATGTCTTATCCGTGTAATGTCTTATCCGTGTAATGTCTTATTCATGTATTGTCTTATCCATGTAATGTCTTATCCATTTTATGTCTTATCCATGTATTATCTTATCCATGTAATGTCTTATCCGTGTAATGTCTTATCCGTGTATTGTCTTATCCATGTAATGTCTTATCTATGTAATGTTCTATTTAGATAATGTCCTGTCCGTCCTCACCTAATTTTAGGTTACGTGCCCAGTATCCACACCAAATATCATCCATAGTACTCAGCTAATTAAACACAAATCAGGGGTATGGGGAGACAGAGTAGAGGGGGGACGGAATAAAGATTTTAATGATTTTATGTTTATTCCTTGGCTTCTAACCCTTGATGTTTCCTAATAAAATTCCTCCAGCCCAGGTCTCTAAAGTCTATGGCACTTGTCATCACTGCCTTTCAAGGGATTTATGAAACTTGGGTTTCAGTCTCATATGCTTTATCTTGCTCAGTAAATTATCCCTTTAAAGGGACTGTAAGCGTAATTAAAATTAATCCTCCATGCAAAGATGACGATGCCCGATTTCCAACTGTGCCTTTGAAACCTTAATCCGAACAAAAATGTGGAAGATATTGTCATTTCTCCGAATCAAAAAGTGTTTTATTCTAATAATTTCTCCGTTGCTTCTTATTAAGCAAGAAATCTGCAAGCCACTAATTAATACTTGATCAATCAAAGCTTTCAAAAGTACCGTTGTAAATAAGGCATTGCCATCTGTTCATGGAGAGTCACTTGAAATGGTGAACTAAGTTGAACCACTGCTCTTGAACCGGCGCTCAGAAAAGTGGTTCAACTTAGTTTAAGTTGTTTACTATTCCCTAAATAATGAATTTGGTCACTAAATACAATTTAATAGCTTTATTTTCGGAGGAAATAAAAATTCCTACTATTTTCCTCTTGTATTAACATTTCATTATTCTTCATTAAATTGGGATATATAAATATATATTTTTTTAAATAGCTGTTTGTAAGCTTATGCCTAAAATTATTCAATTTTATTTTTAAGTTACATAATTTATTTTTCCAAAAAAGCGTTTGTTTTCTCTTAAAAAGAGAAAACGTTTTAAAGTATTAATTTTTTTTCGGGAAATCTTATTTTTTAAATTTTTCATAAATCCTTTGCCTGGGAAAGTGTCATTCCATCTCTCATTCTGGAGAACCAGTTTATAGCCGTCAATACTACAGTTCTAAACAATTAGAACCAGTTTATAGCCGTCAATACTACAGTTCTAAACTATTAGAACCAGTTTATAGCCGTCAATACTTCAGTTCTAAACAATGAGAACCAGTTTAAAGCCGTCAATACTACAGTTCTAAACAATTAGAACCAGTTTATAGCCGTCAATACTACAGTTATAAACAACTAGAACCAGTTTATAGTCGTCAATACTACAGTTATAAACAATTAGGACCAGTTTATAGCCGTCAATACTACAGTTTTAAACAATTAGAACCAGTTTATAGCAGTCAATACTTCAGATGTAAACAATTAGAACAAGTTTATAGCCGTCAATACTAGAGTTCTAAGCATTTAGAACCAGTTTACAGCCGTCAATACTACAGTTCTAAACACTTAGAACCAGTTTATAGCTGTCAATACTAAATTTATAAACAATAAGAACCAGTTTATAGCCGTCAATACTACAGTTATAAACAATAAGAACCAATTTATAGCCGTCAATAATACAGTTTTAAACAATTAGAACCAGCTTATAGCCGTCAGTACTACAGTTCTAAACAATTAGAACCAGTTTATAGCCGTCAATACTAAAGTTCTGAACAATTAGAACCAGTTTATAGCCGGCAATACTACAGTTTTAAACAATTAGAACCAGTTCATAGCCGTCAATACTACAGTTCTAAACAATTAGAACCAGTTTATAGCCGTCAATACTACAGTTCTAAACAATAAGAACCAGTTTATAGCCGTCAATACAACAATTCACAATTAGAACCATTTTATAGCCGTCAATACTACAGTTCTAAATAATTAGAACCAGTTTATAACCGTCAATACTACAGTTCTAAACAATAAGAACCACTTTACAGCCGTCAATACAACAATTCACAATTAGAACCATTTTATAGCCGTCAATACTACAGTTCAATTAGAACCAGTTTATAGCCGTCAATACTACAGTTCTAAACAATTAGGACCAGTTTATAGCCGTTAATACTACAGTTCTAAACAATAAGAACCAGTTTATAGACGTCAATATTACAGTTCTAAACAATAAGAATGAGAATCTGAAGGAAAAAAATGTTTTAATATTTTTAACCTACCAATTTTATATTCCCAAAAAATCTAAATATTTAAGGCCAAACATTTCAAATATACTGGTGAAAAAATACGATTTTAGAAGAGGGGGGGGGTGATATACTGAAAATATATATCCCTGCTATTAGGTTTACCTGCGTAGTGTCAACCTACAGGGTTACCCATAAAGAATGAGACTTAAAGCGACGACTGATTGGAGTTTGTTTAGCCTTTTTTCTCACAATCAGTGTTCCTTGCAGGACAAAATGCTGGGTTATTTCTGTGCTCTAACATTTAGTAAACTATTAATATTGAAAATTAAACCAAAAATCGAGCTTCAAATCGTCATATTTAAAGAGTTTTAATATTAGAAGGTTAAAGGGCATGTAAAACTGCACTTTAAATGTCTAAATTTTTCTCCTTATTACTTGTTGATACTTTCCCCCAAAAAAATAAACCAATTTATCCCAACTCCGAGTCAACCCCAGAGGTGCATATTTTTTTTAAGATTTTGATGATTTGAGGGAAAAAATAAGAAAAAATAGGACATCGAAAACAAATCTTTTTGATCCTTTAAATCCAAAAAATTATTTATTTTCCCCAAATCAGCGAACAAAACTCCACTTCACGCAAACACATATAACTACTGGGGAAAAAAATAAGTTTCCGAAGAGGGAGGGGGAGAAAAATTATTTTCTAGAAAATATATACCCCTGGTCAAACTTCATAATAAAAGCATATATTGTGAGGGGGAAATGGGGGGATTAATTTGTTACCAAATATATACCCCTGTAAATTACCTAAATATAAATCTAGTTGGAAGGATAAACTCAATAGTTGGACAACCAAGGTGGGAGTAAAGTTGACCATACTAGATACATCTTTCAGATTTCAAGAGGATAACCAATTGGGAATTGGGATCTCTTACTTCACAGGATATGCGTCAAGTTGGGAATTGGGATGTTTTCTCACAATTTAGTAATTGGGATTTTGCACGACTCCAATTTGTAAATTGTTATAGTTAACTTATCTTAATGGATCTCTTTAAATTGGAAAATTGGATTACATCTTCATATATAAATATATAAAGTTGTAATCTCTGTTTGTCTGTTTGTTTGTTTGTCCGATCATAAATAAAGAACCCCTGGACCGATTTGCCTCAACTTTTTACTGTGTAACTCGGGAGAGCCACGGGAATGTTCTTAGCTTGGTTTTTAGTTTCTGAGTTGAGTTTTATAGCGAAAAGTTTGTTTCCCGGTTATTGTCGTCTAAGTGTTGGTGATCGGCATAAGTAACTATGAGTGCAACGCTGGGTTCCCAAGCTAGTTTAGAATAAACGTGGAAATTGGGATTACACATGATTACTCACAAAGCAGTAATTGGGATTAAGTGGAGATTCTTCTCAAATTGGGATTACATATGCTAATTTGGGAATTAAAGTTACTAAGGGTTTCTCCCAAAATAAGAAATATGAGGTTTAAAATAAAAAGAAACTGCGAGAAATGACAAACTGTTTGAATAAAATTGAAGACTGGATGCTAAATAGGGGTTAAATAAAAAGAATGAAAAAAAAATGATTTCAATACTTTAATTAAGAAACATTTGAAAGATTTCCTTAGACAAATTCTTGGGATTGGCTCCCGCCCATCCAAACAATATTACTAAAATAAAAACTTTAAAACTAAAAGTAATGAGGATTATATTGATTTCAACTAAACATTAATTATTTCCTTGCATGATCACATTGAAATTTTGTAATCTTTTACAACTTGTTTTTAGGGGGGGGGGGGGGGGGAGGGTTAGATTTCAACTTGCCTTTTTAAAGTTATTTCCCCCAAATACAAAAAGTTAAAAAACATTAAACAATGTAAATTATTGAGACTAACAATTTACTATTGTAAAATCGTTAAAAAGAAAAAATCCCTGAAGAAAATGTGCATTAGTAAAAAATATAGGGCCTGTTCAACGATTTTATTCCTATAAAAAGCCACGATGAAGATCTTATGATTGATCAGATAAAAATAAAACAGGATATGTTGTGTATTTTTAGTGCTACTCGATAAATAAAGTCAAGTTGAAATTATGGAACATTCCCGAAAGACAGTAATATTTTACCTAGTGGTTTTTCTTTGCTCGTTGAATTTTGAGGTTCTGTTGTTTTAAATTGTCGATCTTCTTTTGTTACCTAATATCATTGAAATGATATTAAAACTATTTTTGATAATTATAATTAAACTTATTTTTTAAATAACAAAAATTATAGATTTTGTTCAGGTACTTTTAAGGAAACAAAGTTTATTAGAAAGCCATTGATAACAGAAAAACAAGTTTCCGAAAGCAATGACTATACGCTTACTGTTTTGGAACCCTACAATCTACACATTAAAAAAATAACAAAAAAGTCCAAAATCTAATAGGTTTGGCATTTTCATTGTATTTTCTATGAATTAGTAAAGTGTTGTAATTCTGAAAGTTAGTCCTAGATACCGCTTTGAGAACGATTTTTAGACCCCCCTCCATCCTATCAATCTTGTACATCATTTTTATCGATTTTTAGGTGGATAAAGTTTGTCATGTGGGCCCAGCGTCCGGCCCCCTAGCCTATCCTAGCCGCGGCGCTTGGCCCCTTAGCCGGGGGGAGGTAAAAAAAATCGTTCACTAGGAGGGCCCCATTTAACCTAATTTCAAGCATTTTAAACATAGAAATAACAATGTTAATGTATTAATTAAGAAGGCTTCTGAGATTGGTTAAAATAGCTTCAGGACCGAGCACTGTTGGTTTGGACTTGAAACAACTTAAGTGACAGCGATGACCGGAAAACACCCTATGATTTAACAGCACCCCCCCCCCCNTGGGATTTAAAACAATGAAATCTACGTTGCAGTGTAATTAAATTAGTTTAGTTTGAGTCATCACTGCACCGTATAGTTCATTAAAATCATATTCTTGTGTTATACAACCATTTTTAAAGTGAATTTTAATTGCATTGCTTAAATTGTTTATACAATTGACCGCAAAAAAGTTCCGGTAAATTCGGTCAATCTTATTAATTTCTAAACCTGCACGATCAGAATTGAACTGCAAGCCCCGGCCGGCCCCCCCTTGACAATTTGACACCCCCCAGTTCTTCAGGTTTAAAGGGACCATTGCGGTCAAAACTACAGACTATTTTTTTGTTCTTATGTAAACATGGAAGCATCATGATCTTTCTTATATTAATCCTCCCCCCCCAATGGAGAAATATCTGTTTACGTCCCTGATATAATTTCAGGAGCGTCCGTGCTGGTCCTAGAGCCATTGACAGTGTCGAGTTTTGTGTAAATCCACGTAAATAAACTTCTATCTATCTATCTTCATATCTATCTATCGATCTTCTTGTTGTCAGGGTTCAGCTGTTGAAACATTAAAACAAATAAAAAATGTGTTAATTATTAATCAAGTAAAAACTTCTCTCTAGCCCAGGTATTACATTTAAATCAATTATTTTTTTTAAATTATAAATTATTAAAAAAAGATTAAACTTAAAGAATTAAAGAATTTAAAAAAATTGTTAACGATTTGTTTTTGTGTAGTATTTCAAACAATAATGTTTCAGCTGAATTTTGTTTCTTTAACCCTGGCTGAATTAAAACCGACTGCCTGGAGTACTATAGTTGGTTGAGTAGCGTAGTGGAGAATGGAGGTAAAATTAAAAATTTGTTTAATATAAATTTCTGGTTTTAGTGTTAACCTAACTATCGAACTACCCTTTTACGGCGTAAAAACAGGTCGAATGGAAATCGTTTAAAAAAGGGGGAGGGTCTGTCCTAGTGAACCGAAATAACAAAATTTCATGGGATTAGACCCAGATTAAATGAAAACAAGAGCAACCTTAAATTCCAAGAAATCTTGATTACAAATACCCCTCCTTAAACAAGCCGCCGTCCCCCCTCCCCCGATTTACGTAAAAATTCGTTAAATAGATCGACACCCACCACCACTTTATACAAATACATGTCAACAGTTTGTTTTTAATCTTCCTGACAGAAATAATCTCAAGGAATAATAATTGTCTTAAAACATTTTTTTAAAGTGAATATTTGCAAATTATCTTTTGTACATATCACGATCTAAATTAGTTACCCCTTTTGTCCATTTGACAGCCCATTTTTTATTTTTTTTTCAAATAATCTTTTATGATTCTTTATTTTCTTGTGGTTTTAAACAATTTTTTATATCGATTTTGATGGTTATTATATCGTTAGAACTAACGAGGGTAAACCCGGAACCGAAATATATTTTCAATAAATGTGGAACTAACATCTAGGTTTGGTCCATCACTATCACCAAATTTTAAATCTTGATTAAATATTACCTCTGTAACATCGCCAAACGTGCCAACTACCCTGTGATTGGAAAAACACCGTTTATGCTGCAATGAACTTAAAAGCCTTAAAACAAAGCTATATAATTAATTAGAATTATACAATTAAATAATATTCGGGAAGTTATTTGGGTTCGTCATTGTATACGAATTTTGGACCCCCCCCCCCCTCCCCCCTCCGATCACTTTTGTATATACAATTAATTTAGTATTATTTTAGGGTTAGATTAGGTTAAGACAATTTCTGGGCCGAGCGCTGCGGCTAGGACAGGCTAGGGGCCGAGCTCTGCGGTTTCGACAGGCTAGGGAGTCGGGCGCTACGGCCACATTGTCAATTATATCCATGTCTTACATATAAGGTCCATGTACAAAATTAATAGGAGAGGTGTCCAAAAATCGTAGTTGAAATTTCCAGCTAAGTTACTCGCGCGAAGATAAGACTTACAAATATATACATTTTTATAAATAAATAAATATCATTTCTTACCGTCTACTAAATTCAAGCATTGTTAAAATCTGGAAAGTAAGTTTTATATTAAAGAAATTGAAAATTGAATGTGAGGAAATAAAACTTTGTGGAAAATTTTGATTTGCATGAGTGCCGCGCTCTATTCTCTAGGATAAATGTCGTCTTAGGTTTGGAAGCTGTTTTGGTGCTTTGTCAACGGACCTAGCAGAAAACTAAACAAAAGTTCAAAACTTCAAATTCATTTGCTTTTAAAAAGAAAATATTTTTCAAATTGTTAAAAGGTTTAAAAATTAATTAGAAAATTTCAGAGAGAAAAAAACATTTTTAAAATTAAGTTTGTTGGATATTTACCTGTAGGTCGGATCGGTGCTGTTTATATACAAGTGTTTATTGGGATTTAAAACAATGAAATCTACGTTGCAGTGTAATTAAATTAGTTTAGTTTGAGTCATCACTGCACCGTATAGTTCATTAAAATCATATTCTTGTGTTATACAACCATTTTTAAATTGAATTTTAATTGCATTGCTTAAATTGTTTATACAATTGACCGCAAAAAAGTTCCGGTAAATTCGGTCAATCTTATTAATTTCTAAACCTGCACGATCAGAATTTCTTAAACTTTGTAAACTTTGAAAGGGTAGCTAAACAGTCAAATTTCTGTATGTGATTGGGGCTCAACACTCCACAGGCCCCCTCCCCAATATCTATATATAATAAGGTACTTGTCTATTAATTAGTTGATACTCCGGTTGTGTGTATGGTTGGCTGTCTTGTGTCAGACAGGCAGACAGGCGACAGCGGAGCAGGGAGGTAGACAGACAACAGCGGAGCAGGAGACAGATTTTATGCCAGAGACAGAGAGGTATTGTAATAATATGGAAAGTTACTGTTTTAATGAAAATTTTGTGCACTTTATCATTCATGCTCTGTTAGGGTCAATTTTACTATAGCAATGATTACCATTCTTAAATAGCAAATTAATTGTGTATTATTATAGCACGTGTTCAATATGTTCATACCAACAACCTTTTTTTCAATATTCTTAAAATTGTTTTGGAGTTATGGCCTTTAACTATTTTTCAAGACTTTTTCAATACATTAAAACAGGGGCGGATACAAGGGGGGTCGAGGGGACATTCGCCGCCCCCCCCCCTGAGATTTCGAGGCAAAAAATGTTCCCAATTTAATAAATGTTATTGTTAACGATAAATTTAGAATTAGAAATGTGTAAGAAACTAGACCTAAGTTATAATATTGTTCATATCTAGTAATGCTTCTTAATCAATACTCATTTATCTAAATTGTAATATTGTTCCTAATTTTCATGCATTTAAGTATAACTAGTAATTTCTTTTTGTTCTTAAATTGCTAATGTTGCTATTATTGTTCCTGTTCCTGTGTCCGACCCACCTTAAATCTCTGTCCTAATCCTATATTTTTGTTCCTAATTCCTGAACAATCTGTTTATTGTTCCTAAATCCCTGTCCTAATCCTTTATTTTTGTTCCTAATTCCTGAACAATCTTTTTATTGTTCCTAAATCCCTGTCCGAATCCTTTAATTTTGTTCCTAATTCATGAACAATCTTTTAATTTTTCCTAAATTCCTGTCCTAATCCTTTATTTTTGTTCCTAATTCCTGAACAATCTTTTAAATGTTCCTAAATTCCTGTTCTAATCCTTTAATTTTGTTCCTAAAATTTAAACATCTAGTTTTTTAGTCTTTAGTCATTAATTTTGACTCTTTTTGAGTCTTTTAAGCCAAAAAAAAATTTCGCCTGCGGCACGATTTTTTGTTCCCAATTATTCATTTTTTTGTTCCTAAAAACTCTTGCCCCCCCCCCTCACTTAAATCCTGTATCCGCCCCTGCATTAAAACAGTTTTTTCTTAATCCTTAATTAAAAAATTCAGTTTTTAGACGGATTAAAAAAAATGTTGACAGTACTACTGTTGACTTAGAAAAAAATTTCTTTTTCCAAAGTTCTTCATGTTCAGGGTAAATATACTTCACACCAGAGGTGCACACAGGGGGTGGGCCCCCCTACCCTCGGGATTAGTAAAATTCATGGTTTCCTGGAAATTTTCAGGTGTGGAGCCCCCCTGGAAAGAAGTACCCCATGCCGTGGACAAATTATTTTGTTCGCTCCTGCTACAGACATCCTAATGATGATGACGCATGTATTGTTTAGAACTGCTCTACGGGATGAGGCAGAGGACATGTTTTTCCATGCGTATAATGCGTACATGGAGGTGGCCTGGCCAGCAGATGAGCTAATGCCACTGTCATGCAGGGGCAGGTAAATATTAAGGGTATTTTTTAAATTCAAACAAAAACTATTATTTATTCAATTTCAAGATGCCAATAATTTCAATAATTTTTTTTCTCTTCAAGCTGTAAAGTTAAAAAAAATGGAAAGTAAATCAGGGGAAAAACCAAATAAATTTATCAATTAAATCCAATTTTTGAGACGAATCCAGATGCACATATGAACGAAATTATTCCGGAACCCGGATGCACAATGCACATATATGTGAATTAAATTATCTAAAACCCGCATACGCATTAGAATGAGATTAATTCGGAGGCGAATATTAATGAAATTGATCCAGAAGCCGGATGTGCATATGAATTAAATTAATCCTGAGCCCGGATGTCAATACAAATGAAATTGATCCGGAACTGGATGTGAATATGAATTAAATTGATCCAGAACCCGTATGCGAATATAAATTAAATGAATCCTGATGCGAATATTAATGAAATTGATTGGGAACCGGGATGTGCATACAAATGAAGTTGAACCGGAAGCCAGATATTTTGCCTTTTTTCTAGATACCGAGGCCGTGAGGCTGGCCGGGGAGATATTGATGAAGCGCTTGGAAACTTCTCCCTTACCCTGATCGACTCCCTGGATATGCTGGTCGTCCTAGGGAGGATAGAGGAGTTCGAGGACGCAGTTCTCAAGGTACAGTGGAACCCTTAAAGCTATGTATTAGAAAACTACAAAAATATTAAAAAAAAATCAATGCATAAAACAAAAAAATCTGATGCAATTAAATCAAGATTAACAGATAAAACATCTGTTATATTGTTTATACGTCCATGCATAACATCTGCCTGATTTTACCAACAGAAGAATAGCAGGAAACTTTTAATGCAAAAAAAAAGTATAAAAATATGGAACAGGAAAAGACTTCAGACTCGAGTTATAATGTTAAAGGATCTAATGAAAATAAAATTCAAATTATGCAGTATTAACAGTCGCATTTTATTGTTGTTTTATCTACCAGAATTTACCTCTTCTTGTTCTTGTTCTCATTCTTAGCTTATTCTTATTTTTAATTTTAATTCTCATCCTAATCCCGGCCATGGACATATATTTTCTTGAAAAATCATTTCCCTTTCCCTTTTGAAAATCAATTCCCCTCGGAAGTGAGGCAGAAAATTTGCTCGAGGAATTGGGGAAACCCCTAATTCTAGTCCTTATTCTATTTTTAATCATTTTCTCTTAATCTTAATCTTAATCTTATTAAGGTTGTTGAAACCGTCCGGTTTGATACTGATGTTGTGGTGTCTGTGTTTGAAACGAATATTAGGATTGTAGGGTAGGTCGTCTTCCTTATAAATAATATTTTGAATTCAATTTAACGGGACTGTACGCGGAGTACGCGTAATTTCAAGTAACTCTCTATGCAGAGATGGCAGTGCCTGATTCACAACGATACCCTTAAAAGCTTCGTCAATGTTTATAATTTTGAAAACTGACTATTTTTATTTGTGGTTTCTCTACAAAAGTGACTCGCGCATTTCTATTGCATGCAGAAGGACTTTTAAACATAGTTTCTGGTCATGTACAGGCTGTACTGTAATGTGATCATGTAAATATCTAGGGGTTTAGTATCTGGTCATGTACTGGCTGAATATGTTCGAGATAAATCTGATAAGATGAGCTGGTATTCAGGGGAACTACTCAATATGGCGCTAGATATAGGAACCAGGTAGATATAGATATAGGAACCAGGTAGATGTGGATATAGGAACCAGGTAAATTATATGTAGATATATGAACACAAATCTCAACTGTTAATTAATGAAAGATTATTTAAAACGTCCTAATCTCTGATTGGTTCATCAAGTGTTAGCATAAAAATAAGCGAAAAAAGTAAGTTTTTTGAATATAAAAAAAATCCTTTGTTAAAAACATCAGTAAAGCTACAGAGTGTCTCTAAAAAAAGTGTGTTTAGGCTTTTAAGCTTACTAAAATCATTGTATTTTGTTAAAAAGTGCTTCTATCAGGTATAATCTAATTAGTTTTTACATTTTATACGACAGAATAGAATAAATTGCATATGTTCAATGATAGAATTGAGCAGTTTTAAAATAAATGACGTAAAGAGATGTTTGAATTGTTTTGAAAATCTTAAGAAAAAGAACAGACTACATTTCGAGTACATTTTAAAGGTTAGAATGGCATTTTAGAGTAAAAAGTTTTCATAACAATAAGTGCGTGAAGAAAAATATTTACATCTTCGGAAATGGGACCGAGGGCATTTACGAGTATTAGACACAATTTTGAAGGCTAAAACGGCATCTTAGAGAAAAATGTTTAACGACGACCCTTCCATTTATGGGGACTGTACCGACCCACTTTTAAACACAAAATAACGATGTTTTGTAGGCTAAAAATCCTAAACACACTTTTTCAGAGACACCCTGTAGAAAAAATGTTTATGGGCCTGGACCTGGACCTATTTTTTCAGTGCGGATCCAGGATCCAGATCTGCATCAAAATGAAATGTATCCTAAGCACTGGATAATGGATAAAGGGCCGAATTGTCTTTTACCTTTAATCTCATGTTTGTTTAGATTATTGCCTGCTTTTAATACGACAACAGGGTTACCCTATCCTAGAGTAAACTTAAAAACAGGACTTAAGGTAATTAACAAATCTGAGGACTTACCTTTCAAGGGATTGTCATTGTATTCCCTTTCAAGGGACTGTCGTTGTATTCCCTTTCAAGGGACTGTCGTTGTATTCCCATTCAAGGGAATGTCGTTGTATTCCCTTTCAAGGGACTGTTGTATTCCCTTTCAAGGGACTGTTGTTGTATTCCCTTTCAAGGGACTGTTGTTGTATTCCCTTTCAAGGGACTGTTGTTGTATTCCCTTTCAAGGGACTGTTGTTGTATTCCCTTTCAAGGGACGTTGTTGTATTCCCTTTAAGGGGACTGTTGTTGTATTCCCTTTCACGGGACTGTTGTTGTATTCCCTTTCAAGGGACTGTTGTTGTATTCCCTTTCAAGGGACTGTTGTTGTATTCCCTTTCAAGGGACTGTCGTATTCCCTTTAAAGGGACTGTCATCGTAATTTTAAGTGACCCCAGGCCTGATTATACATCAATAATTTGGAAGATATATTCCCTCTTAAAAAGTGTTTAATTATAATAATTTTCTCCATTTTTTCTGCATCTCAAGTTCACTTTTACAGAACACTATAAAAAAGCAATCTAATTTTATTTGGAAAATATGGATACCTCATTTTACAAGATAAGAAATAAAGCTTTTTTGACTTAAGTTGTGAAGCGGCTCAATAAATGGAGGGCCACTTAAAAATACGTGTACAGTCCCTTCAATAAAATAATTCATACATCTTTATTCTCAAATGTTGAATATTCAGGGTGTGAGTAACCAGCTTCAGTTGACCTGCACAGCCTGCGCAGGAACTATGATTCTAGAGTTTGCAGCTCTTTCCAGGTATACAGTACAGTTGACCTGCTCTATCCAGGTATAGTACAGTTCACCTTCACAGTGCTGAGCCTGCGCTGGAATTATGATTCCAGAGTTTGCAGCTCTTTCCAGGTATACAGTACAGTTGACCTTCTCTATCCAGGTATAGTACAGTTGACCTTCACAGTGCACAGCCTGCGCTGGAATTATGATTCCAGAGTTTGCAGCTCTTTCCAGGTATACAGTACAGTTGACCTGCTCTATCCAGGTATAGTACAGTTGACCTTCACAGTGCACAGCCTGCGCTGGAATTATGATTCCAGAGTCCGCTGCTCTATCCAATTAAGCAAATTTAAAGCTACTGAGAATCATAAATGCCAGTAAAAAGACTCCTAAATTTTTATTTTATTTTATTTCAAAACTAAACTTCATAGTTGAAATTGATAAGACAGAAAATAAGTTCGAAATGTATTGAAATTAAGAATCTTATTTCTATTTTAATTTTATTGCTGATAGATTGGCTAACGATTAACTAATGGAGAGTGTTTTTTCGTTATTAATTGACTGACGAAGGATTGATTGATTGATTAATTGACTGTTGATTAATTGATTGATTTATTAAATGATTGATTGATTGATGTATTGATTGATTGATGTAATGATTGATTGATTGATGTATTGATGTATTGATTGATGTATTGGTTGATTGATGTAATGATTGATTGATTGATGTAATGATTGATGTATTGAATGATGTATTTATTGATGTATTGATGGTTTGATTGATTGATTGGTTGATTTATTGAGTGATTGTTTGATTAATAAATTGTTTAATGTATTGAATGATGTATTGATTGATGTATTGATGGTTTGATTGATTGATTGAGCGATTGATTGATTAATGTATTGTTTGATGTATTAAATGATGTATTGGTTGATGTATTGTTGGTTTGATTGATTGATTGATTTATTAGTGATTGGTTGATGTATTGATTGATTAAATGATTGATTAATTCCAGATTGTCCGGTGAGAGTGTATTTGAAGAGGTTGCCAGCAAAGCTATGGATTATTTGTGGACAGCAAGAAATAGGTTTGGTTAAATTTAGATTTTCAATTAAACATATTTGTACATTTTTGTCTAGTGGTACTCCCACCGGCACATGANTAAATAATGTAAAACTACAACTTTCATCGTTAATAATTTTATTTTTATACCTTTTTACAAGAAAAAAATCCTCCCATTATATCAACCTTGTCTTTAAACCCCCAATTTCAGCGATAATAACCTACATCTCGATTAATTTTAAACATGAGGGGGGAGATTTAAAAAAAAACTACTACATTTTATCTGACAAAAAGAAATTGATTTTTGCTTCACTATCTCTGCATTTCTGTATGAAGTATTATATATATATATATATGTTAGTAGTAAGTACTAAGTATTATATATATATATGTTAGTAGTAAGTACTAAGTATTATATATATATGTTAGTAGTAAGTACTAAGTAGGCAACCTTCAGGTAAATACATGTCTGAACTAATTAAATGATTAAATCAAAGAAAATTGTTAATCAATCAAGTAATTAGTTCAAAAGTAACGTAATTAAATTTTTAAATCTTTAAACTTGATATGCTTCCTTCCAAAAGTTCCCCAAACAAACGCTTCGTAATCACTTGTAACAATTCCAACATGATCATCATATGCTTCAACCTAAATTAAATACATTAACTATTGTTTAGAATATTTTATTTGTCCTGCATGTGTTTGTTAAACATATCTTAATATGTTTCGCAGAAAGAAATGTTTTTAGATTTGTTTATTAGCTTTTTTCGCGAAATTTCGCTATTTTCCCCGCAAAATTGAAATTTGCGAAATTTTTTTTTCTCGCCACGATTTTCTCACAGGAATTGTAAAAAATAAATTTGGCGTCAAAAATGCGCAATTAAAGATATTAAAGAGCTAAAATATCGGATTACAAAGATAAAAAACAGAGTTTGTGGCAACATCTTGTTCATTTACCAAAGATTACTTCTGGTTCATTCCTTAACCTCCCCCATCATTTCTCCAGTGTAAGCTCAGCTGAAATTTGGCAACAATCCCTAGTTTTCTTATCCCTTTATCTTTACAACCTGATGTATAGACCTTTGATAATGCAATCCGAGATGGGAACTTTTGAATGGGATATCCTTAATCCTTATCGGATAATTAATCTGGATATTAAAAATGAGTGGAGAACAAGCAATATTTAATCTGCAGATTAAGAAAAAGAGTGGATTAAGCCTTAATCCCGATATCCACCATTCTAAAGTTTTCAGCTCTGTTAGAAATCTTGACCAATCTTGCCAATTTTATATAAGCAACAGGAAACATCAAACCAATAAGTTTTTTTATAGTTCATATAAGGCTGGGCAAAGTTCCGTTAACGGAATGGAGGTTTTCGAAAATTAACGGAAGAGTCCGTTAATGAACGGCAAAACAGTTAATTTTTAAACAGTTAACAAAACGGATAAGCCGTTTTTAAATAAAAAAATGAACAGTTCAAAACGAAAACGTAACGGATTTTTTAAACGATGAATTACGTTTTTTCTGATTAAACTACATTAAACCTTTAAAAAAGAACTATTTTTTCCCTTGTGCTGATGTTTTTGACTGTCGTCTACTGTGTTCACAACCTCAACTGCTGAGAATAGATCAAGTTAACCTTTGACTTTTGATAAAAAATTTGGATTTTGTCCAGCCGTAAAAGAAAAGGATAAATTTGGATATCTAGATACTTCTCAGAAAAAGATAAACGTAGTTCAACTGCTAGTGCCATTAACGATTTGACAAACCGGTAACGCCGTTAATAAAAGACTGTTAACAGCTGCAACGTTAACGATTTTTTGGCCATTACAAATTTTTTTCGGCGTTGTGCCGTTAGTACTGAAATAGACCGTTAATGATGTGCCAATAACGATATTAATAATGTAATAGATCGTTAACGAATCCAGCCATTAACAATTGCTGAAAATTTTCTGTTAACGTCGTTAATAAAATTGAGATCGTTAACTTACTCTAATTTGAAAAAACAGTAAATGCTGTCAACGAAACGTTCTGTTTTTAACTTTGAAATTAACAGCATACTGAAATTTTTCGTTTTTTAAGGTTGGAACTAACCGTTAAAGAAACGGATTGAAAAAGTTGGAACATACCCAGCCCTAAGTTCATGTCACAAAGGGGCTGTCGTAATTTCAAATCTTCTAACAAGAATGCCTGATTCTCAATAGTGCCCTTAAACCCTTTATCTGATAAGCACTGCGGATTTTGTCTAGTCTTTCTAGTCTAAAAAACGATTAATTTTAATGTGCAATAAAGTCCTCCGTTATAGTCCGTTGTTTTTGAGGCAGAAATTAGCAAGTGATTTAATAAAGAAACCACAACTGAAAATAAACAATTTTTAAGGAGAAAATGATTTGGTATCTTTGGCATTTATGATCAGTCAAAGCTTGTAAGGATACCATTTAGAATCAGACATGCCACGCTTTTGAAATGGAGAGCAACTTGAAATTACGTTTTAACTTCCTTAAAGAATAAAATTTCCATCTTTAATTTAATTTTTATTTGCTTTAATGATAAAAGTAATCATGACACTAATTCTTCGGTTATAAACACTAAAACCTTAAAACCTTAACCTAATAATAATACTCAAGCCCCTTTCCGCTAGACAAATGAAACACAAGGAGTATGCATTTGAAATGGAAAATTTCGACAAAAACCAGCTAGCCTCCCTTGACCTCCTAAAATACCACACTGTGGGTNATATTTCCTATTCTATGATTTTTCAGTCATTGTCATTGGATCCAGTAATAAATGATAGATGGAATGATAGTTCAGTATTTGATCTATCTTATAAACATTTTCTAATTAGTTTTATAAAAAAAAAATGTTTTGAATTTACTAATATTTATTCTATACCCTGTATTCGAGAAAATTGCTACTGCCTTATTTAAAAAATAATATGAAATGTTTGATTGATATTCATTTTATTCGTACATAAAATTATTATGTAAATATTTTCTTGTTAACTTTAATATAATTCTTATTAAAGCCCGAGTCAAGGGTATTTCCTTAATCAATAATAATTTAATTTTCCTTTGAATTTCAATTGTGAGTATTAAATAAACCTTGAACAATACAATATTAATACAAACACTCTAATTACCACCCTAAGTGTTTGTTAGCAAATATTTCTATTTTCAATAACTCTTCTACTATTCTTCTATGAGGTTGTATATCATTAATAATCTCTTAGAATAAGTTCATTCTTTAAATTTTGAAGGTTTTCAGTACTATTATGCTTGATGGGTCTCTTAGTAGAATTTTCGGCTCCGAAAAAGTTTTTAATTACGACAGGTAATTTTCCATTTTTTTCATTTTAAGTAGGGTTTCCATATTTTGGAAACGGAATGTTCTGGAATTTTGTTCTGTAAAGTGGAATTCCAGTTTCCATTTCGGAAACCAGAAAAATCATTCCAGAATTTATCCGAAATTCCGGAATTCCAGAACCTTCCTCATAAAGGAAATGGAAAAAATTCCGGATCATTTACGTATGTAAACTGTAGCCCGGAATTTTGGTGGAAACCCTAATTATAAGGTGAACAGGTTGGAGTGAATTAGTGCTAATCTACACAACTTGGTCTCAATTTCAACTTTATGTGGTAGCAAAGTTTAATTAGGAAGATAAGTACTTGATCCCTCATTTTGGAAATAGAATGATCCAGAAATTAGTTATTTAAAGTGGAATTCCAGGGTTATTCCAGATCAAATGGAAACTGGAATGTTTACGGTTTACATCACATAACCCAGAAATTTTCCTGGTTTACAGAATGTTCTCGATTTCAACTATATTTTAAATTTTAAATTGGAAGATAAGCAGGGGCGGATACAGGATTTAAGTGAGGGGGGGGGGCAAGAGTTTTAGAAACAAAAAATTAATAATTAGGAACAAAAAATCGTGCCGCAGGCGAAATTTTTTTTTTGACTTAAAAGACTCAAAAAGAGTCAAAATTAATGACTAAAGACTAAAAAACTAGATTTTTAACTTTCAGGAACAAACTTAACGGATAAGAACAGGAATTTAGGAACAATTAAAAGATTGTTCAGGAATTAGGAACAAAAATATTGGATTAGGTCAGGGATTTAAGTTGGGTCGGACACAGTATTAGGAACAGGAACAATAATAGGAACATTAGCAATTTAAAAACAAAAAGAAATTACTAGTTATACTTAAATGCATCAAAATTAGGACCAATATTACAATTTTGATAAATGAGTATTGATTAAGGAACATTACTAAATATGAACAATATTATAACTTAAGTCTAGTTTCTTACAAATTTCTAATTCTAAATTTATCGTTAACAATAATATTTACTTGTTGTTTTTAAATTAAACTTAAGAAAAGAAAGTCAAAATTTCCATTAAATAAAAAAAGCTTGAAATTGAAAAACACATACGATTTATAAAATTGGGAACATTTTTTGCCTCGAAATCTCAGGGAGGGGCTACGCCCTCCCTGAATCTGTCAGGGGGTGGCGAATGTCCCCCCGCCACCCCCCTGTATCCGCCCCTGAAGATAAGTACTTGATCACTCAATTTAAACTATCCTTTCGGACATGTTTACCAAGGGATATCCAATTAAACGCTGAACAGTCAATCACCAGTTCAAATTGCACGCTCGCTAAAATCTGGAAACCCTGACTAAAATTTCAAGTGGAACAAACCATATTTGAACTCCGTCTCATGTTTGAGACGCGGTTCAAATTCTCTAAATTCGGCCTCTGAACTAACTTAACATATGATACCTTATTGATCCAAGATTTCAAACACAAAATTTTGACCTCTTTGCAAGAAAAAAAAAGAATCGTAGTCTAAATCTGTAAAGGAATATGTCCAGTTTCAAAGTACTTTTCTTTTAAAATGTCTTATATTGTTAGCTGATCATGCTGGGTCTCTAAACTACAACTTAAAAGATCCAATCCTGAACAAAAAAGGAAAAAGAAAACATGAACTAACAGGAGAGGACTATGTTGACTTTTTAGGACTTCTTGGGGTAAGATTTAAGCAAATCTTAATAATGTGTGATTTGTGGAACAAACTTCAATTCTTTTATTTTAGTTAATTCCAGAAGTCATTGGACTAGGATCGAAAATTCTACCCCTTATCACACAGTAGGAGCCGATCTTCCAACACTGGTTTCCACGGCTTCAGGCATGTGTAACAGCAACAGAGTGTAACAACAAATACCATAAGAACTAGAATGTACTACAGATCAAACTGGAGATCATATTCTTCAATTCCTCAACTAAAATAACATATTCCTTAACAACTAATCTACCATTTATTAAACCTGTGAAAGTATTTGTTGAAATTTCAAAATATAAAAACAGAAATACCAATATCCTTATGTTATCTTTGAACAGCTGAACATTAACAAGTTTTATTTTGTTCATGGTTAATCATTTTTGATAATAAAAACATTAAGATAAAACCATTCCTTTATAAAGTTGGACAACCCTTCTACAAATAGATTTGAAGGAGCCCCCTTATGTACCCCTTCTTCCCCCCCCCCACATCTGCCCTTCAATGTAACTGCTGTATTAAAAAAAATAGTGTTTATTTTGCATGTAAGTGATTGATTGAACAATTAGATAAAAAATATTACATAAGTTTTTTATTGGTGTTTTAAGAACTTTTCGGGGTCAAAGTTTTTTGTGAAAAGTTGGTTTTGTTTTATTTTTAAAAATGTTTTTCCATTCTCTTTAATTCAACATAAAGTAATTTTGTATACTTGTGTGTTACAACTATTACATTATTTGCTTATGTATTTGAATATTAAATTTATATATTTAAACATTTCCATAACAAATTAGTTAAAATAAAACATAAAAAATTAAATTCTATCTTAAAATGTTGTTAATACAAAGAATAATGTTTTACATACGAGGAATACATATAAAAGATGGAACTGCAAGAAGTCCTATAATTATGTCTATCCCACAACTGCCAATCATACATTTCATAAACACTACTAATAATTCAATGTGAGAATTTAGCCCAAATTAGAAATTAAAAAGGGAGAGAGAAAACTCAGGAAAAGCTAGAGTCCAGTTAGTATTCACTACCATAGTTCTGAATCTGGCAAAACAAGTAATCGTAATTTGTGGTCTCCCGCTACCCCCTCTTTACAAAATGCTAAATAAATCTTGAGACGACGATTAAAAATTAGATCTTAAATTTGTTTTTATATGTGCACGGGGGGAGTGGGGTGGTGAATGAGTGCAGTGAAATCTAGAGAATTTTTAGTCATTCTTAGACATCCATGTCATTTTCACTGTTTACCTTTGTTTTTGTCCTGAAAATTTCCCTTATCAATTTCTAACCCCCCCCCTCCCCCTCCATCCTACCTGCACAACATCAAATCCTAGTAACTCTTCAATAATCTTCGGTGTGTTCACATTTCTTTTATCTCCATGCCCTAGAAATAATATTTACATTTTCGCAAAATAGATTTCTTTTCCCCGAAACTGTTTTGCATGCATGATGTATTTTTTCTGAAGTTGTTGCTGAAACACTTTAAAATTGTAAACCACCTCAAGAATCAGGACCTAAGAATCAAGAATCCTTTTGTCTCTGAATTAAGTTAAATGAAATGTTGACAGTCACTCCCTTTAATTCATTCTTTGACAGTCACTCCCTTTAGTTCATACAAAATGATTTGTTTTCAAACAAAATCTGAAAACAACTAGATACTTTAATTGAAATAACAATGTTTCTATAAAAAAAAATAAAAACAGAATGTAAATTTAAAAAAGTGCCAAATTTACCTAGACAACCTGATTCAGCTGATCCTTTAGTCATGATAATCCCTCGATCTGTCAGAAAACAGATAAATCCGGCTCCAGTAGCCACCTGATATAAATATTCTTTGCAAATGAATTATCAAATATTGTCTCATTATGAAAGAATTTGTGAAATCTGTTCAAATATTACCATATGATCTTCGAAAAATCTTGAATAATATTGTAATATTATCTTTGTCATCATATTTTAGGATATTCTCGTCATATTATCTGCGGAAATATTGTCAAATATTGTCATAACCTCTTGTTACAATATGAGGTTCTGTTACCTGGACAATATTGATTCCAACCATCCCTTCCAGGTGGCGGGGTTGGGATTTTTGCTCCAATTCAGCTCCAGTCCTCTATTAGAGATGGACATTAAAGATTGATTTAATCGTAAACAATCGAGATTATTTACTTTTAGAGTTCGATTTAACAATTTGTGAAGATTAATATGATCTTTCAAAGTAAAGATTTTGCAAAACAAATTTTAAATATTGTTACGAAAATCTAAGACTAAATTCCAAAACCATGGAATGATAAAAAGTAACCAAAAACAAAGCACATCCCTAATCAATAGAAAAAGACTTAAATATAATAATTTATTTGTTTAACAAATAATTTTGTTTAAATTTTTTTATCAGAGTAAATATTTTGTACTTTTTAATAAAACAAAATAAAATTTTAGACATCAGTTTTACGTGAATTCTGTTAATTAGGTAAAAACCCTGGAATCTTAAAAACCAACCAAAAATCAATATTTAGGTTAATTTATTAACCAACAAAATTTAAATTATATTTCAAACAATTGTTTTTCTTCAATTACCTCGTCCTGTGAATCCTGTAGTAAGATCATTATTTAAAAAAGATTTCAAAAAGAAAATTTTGGTAATACATTGTTTATCAAAGTTCTGGGGTTAATCAAATAAATGCGTTTTATATCATTTTCTAAGATTTTTAGGGACAATTTTAACCCAATTACTAGAATTTCAAAACATTTTTGTCTTATTCTTTCAAGAATATCAAATTATGAAAAATACATATCTTACTCTATGGTTATATTAACAACTTATTTAAGTCCATTATGTTACATGGCACTGCATTTAAAGGGACTGCCAGCGTAATTTCAAGTGACCCTCAATGAAAACATGGCAATGTCCGATTTACAAGGATACTCTTGAAACCTTAATTTGATCAAACACTTTTGCAGAGAAAACGCTTAAGAAAGTAAACAGTTTAAAGAAACAAAAACATGGATATCAAACAAAGCTGTTAAGGGAACCGTTGTAAATCGGACATCATGCCACACTTGAATGGAGGGCCACTTGAAAAGTTGAAATTACGCTTACTGCAGTCCCTTTAAGAAATTATGCGTTTTGTAATGTAAATGTTAAAAATACACTTTCTTGAATTATGGAATTATGATTCACTTTGTGCTTAAGCATTCATTGACCCCTTCAAGGGCGGCTTCAGGATTTAAGTTAAGGGGGGGGGGTAATATATACAATATAATTTTATTTTACCCCCTGTAATCTTATAAAAAAAAATTGCTAAGAAGTTCTATTTACCCTGCAAAAAATTACAGTTTCTTTTACCTTTAAGTATACAGGGTATGTCTTAATAATCCATTTATTTATCTATTAATAATTTAAAAATATATTATGGATTGAACTTTACATATTAACATTATACATATCAAATCATATTATTCTAATAAAGGGAGATGCTATTATTATTGATCTTTTAGTAAATAATGCTAATTCTTCTTGTAGGAGACTGCAAGTAGTTTCTATGTGTATTTTTTAAGTCAAAAATAAAAGGATACCATAAGAAGGGTGAAAGAAAAAAGGAAAATTTTGTTAAAATTTTTTTTTTAAATATCCTTCCTTCTTCCAATCTAGGATAATTTAGTTTTCTTGGGCCGCTTGAAATAAAGGCATTAAAAACACTGTTGTCCGAAATTGAGACAAGTTTCTTTGGGTGCATCGCCATTCTTTCCAGCTTGACCAACCTATCGGTGGTCATAAATGACCTGTTCCAGGTCAAAAGCCTTCAGAATAAGGACTTTGAAAAAATCCAAGGGGGGGTACACCCTCCCCCTAATTTCACTCAGGGGTGGGTATTGAACCTCTACCCCCCCCCCTAAAAACGCCCATGGCCCCTTGCATTGCAGAGATAATATACGACTTACAACTTAGCCCTAAAAAGCTTTGTCTGACTAAGAATTAATGAGATATCCATGTTTTTCTCTTTGACTTTTTTCAATTTTGGTTTTCCTTTAAAGGAGACAATTGTAAATCTTAATGGAGATTATTTAAAAATGCACTGACAGTCTCTTGTAGGGTTAAACTATATATATTTTTATCTTATTTTGCTGAATAATGATTTTCCTGCCAGAGAAGAACTGCTCCAGAGGATTCAACTCCAATAGTATGTGTTGCAGACACACTTATACATGTTATATCAGATCTAATAATAATAATACATGTTAAAATAATAATAATAATACATGCTATAATAATAATAATACATGTTATATCAGATCTAATTATAATAAACCAATCGATTTTGGTCGGTTTTCAGATTACTCTCAAAAGGTCAAAATTTGGCAAAATCTAAGAAATGCGCAAATGTTTATAATCAACAATTCTAAAATTTGTCCAGTTCTCAGATTTTTGTGGAACCATTTCAAAATTCAAAAACTTGGAAAGAAACCGAACCAAGCTATTTGTCCCCACATCACTTACTACAGGGTGTAGAATAAACATGGGAATTAAGTAACAACCTAGACAGATAGTTTTTGTACAAAAGTAGCAATTGTAAAACCTTATTTCAAAAGTAAAAACAAAGATATGTACGCTACAGTAGATTTTATGTGAACGTTAAAATGGTGTTTACATTACTATGAAAAACTTTGTGCTTGTAACATAACCACCCGCTCTGCGAAGTTTTCAAAAGGCGCTAAAATTATGCATAATTACTGGTTTGGAAAATTAAAATATTTATTTAACCACGGGTTCCCTCGACCAATTTTGCAAGCATAACATCCAAAGCGTAGCGATCGGGATTTTATGTTTGTAATTATAAAATTCCCTTAACTTTCCTGTAAACTATGTAAAGTAGTTGTAAATAATTATTAATAAAATATAAACATAAACAAAAAATTTATAACTTTCTAGCAAACGGAACATTTTAAGTCAAGCTCTATTTAAAGATGACAATGCCTGATTCGCAACAGTATTCTTGCAACCTTTATCTGATCAATAATGTGGAAGATATTGTTGCTTTCCTAGATTTAAAACTGTTTTATTCAAATAATTCATATATTTTTCTGCGCGCAGTAGATATGCGCAAGTCACTTCCGCAGCAAAACCCTTATTGAAAATATCCAATTTAAACTTTAGAAAACGTTTTTGAGGGTAACCTGGTGAGTTGGGCATTGCCTTTATTGCATGGAGGGTCACTTGTAACATTATGTAAACATTTAACAAATATGGGGAACATTTTACATTAAAATAGCTTTACCTTGGGTCCTTTGGTGGGATTTGAACCAGAATATTTCCGTCTTTCAGCTGATATAACTCAGATTTGGGTTCCTTAACATATATTACCATCTTACAATTACGTCAAACTGTTCCTTAACATATATTATCATCTTAAAATTACATCAAACTGTTCCTTAGCATAAATTATCATCTTACAATTACATCAAACTGTTCCTTAACATATATTACCATCTTACAATTACGTCAAACTGTTCCTTAACATATATTATCATCTTAAAATTACATCAAACTGTTCCTTAACATATATTACCATCTTACAATTACGCCAAACTGTTCCTTAACATATATTACCATCTTACAACTACGTCAAACTGTTCCTTAACATATATTATCATCTTAAAATTACGTCAAACAGTTCCTTAACATATATTACCATTTTACAATTACGTCAAACTGTTCCTTAACATATATTACCATCTTACAATTACGTCAAACTGTTCCTTAACATATATTACCATCTCACAAAAGCGTCAAACTGTTCCTTAACATATATTACCATCTCACAATTACGTCAAACTGTTCCTTAACATATATTACCATCTTACAATTACGTCAAACTGTTCCTTAACATATATCACCATCTTAAAATTACGTCAAACTGTTCCTTAACATATAATTCCATCTTACAAGTACGTCAAACTGTTCCTTAACATATATTACCATCTTACAATTACGTCAAACTGTTCCTTAACATATATACCATCTCAAAATTACGTCAAACTTTATTTTTAGAAAAAAAGAGAAAAAATATCAGTATTCACACTGGAGATTGTGAATAAAGAATTTTACAGGGCAAAAACAGGGACACGGGTGAAAAGATGCACAGATTGAAATCCTTAATTTGTTTGCTGCCACTTATTTAAACTAAACAAAACAATAAGCAAAACAAAATAATACAAAGGCCTTGATATGGAAATAGATTTATTGATATATCGTTTTATTTGTATGCATGAGCTTGTGCCCACACCCCCAATATAAATTATTAAAGTTAAAAAACAATTTAGCATAGTTTCACACCACATATTAAAAACCCCAGTTTAGTTTCTATACCTTGGTTTGAAACGGGGAGGGAGATCTCTTCCTGGTTGCAAACTTGGGTTGAATATTCTCAGGGAGATCAATACTATCAGGACGAGTCACTGAAAGGATAAAGAGGTATAGCGTCTAGCAATCCGCCATTTATAGAGTGGCATAGCTGATTCACAACTGTACAAACACTTTGTCAATGCAAGGATGAAGTAGATATTCAGGGTTACCTACTGTAAAAACATCATGAAAATTGTCAAATATGACGAACCCAAGCTTAAACTTTATAGTCCTCTGCCTTGATTGTGGTTTTAAACCCTGTAACGATTGGGAAAAGGGGTCCCCTGACCCCCCCCCCCCCTGTTTTTGTCGTTTTAACCTAAAAACTTACTCTGGAACGGGTAAACTTCTTCACTTTTCAACCTCATAGTTGTAAACAAATTTGGCAAATAATACAAAACCCCTCTTCAACAGTGATTAAGAAAATCTTGAGCTAATTTTTAAACAAGTCTGGACATTGCAGTATCAAAAGTCGTTAATTCCTGAATCTTGGCATTTTAGTGAAATGAAGCAACTAGTTATTTAAGGTTCTTTAAAACTTTGAAACTAACTCCATCTAGCGGACAATTTTTAAATATTTGGTGTTCTACCTGACAGAGGTCGCTGAGGTTTAGAGCTGCATGGAATCCCTCCTACTGTTGTATGGATTCTATAAAGATAAGGAGCTAACCAGTGGTGCGCCATAATTTCAGCCACTTCAAATAATTCAGTTAAAGTTCGTTTTTAGCCTAATTAATTTACAAGGTTTACATAAAAACAATATTTTAATGAAAACTTTTGAATTAGTTTTCCCTGAAGGTCTTTTCTGTGGATCTACTTCTAACATTGCGTGTAGGAGCTGTTTCACTCCTAAAAACAAAAGTTTAAAAAATTCTCTGAAAAAGAAACTGAGTTTTTGACACAAATTCAAATTTTCTAATCCCTGCCCTTTTTATATTTCAAACTTAAGACTATCTAACAGAAAGCATAATTTGACATTTTAAATGTCTGCGACATTGGGTTGCAAAGATAAAGGGGTTAGAAAATAAGAGTTTGTGAATTATTGGTGGCAAGAACTCAGTTCCTTTGCTGATGTCCAAATAAATTTTGATTTGTCATTTATCAACTGTCGGAAATTGAAGAGGATTATCAAGTTGTCTCCAGGGGTCAATATAATTCCCAAAAAAGCTGATTTTCTCGATCCCAAAATTTTTTTTTTTAATTATCATATAAAAAAAATTTGCCCCCATTTCTTTCATGTTAATCCCAAATGGGATTGAAAAGGGAATTATATTGACCCCTGGTTGTCTCTTATATCAATGTTTATTGGGACATCCTGTGAATTTAGCTCGGTGTGGTCCAAACAACTTTTTTGGATTATTAACTTTTAAATAAAAAAATGTTGACCTGCTGAATACTGGCTCGGTAGAGGGGAAATTATTCCTCTCATTATTCTAAATAATTAATACACAGAGAATTTCAAAATAATATAGAAATTAACGGCGAATTTTTATTCAAAATAGATAAAAGTATAAGTTTTTACTATTTATACAGCTATTGTCTATCACTATCAAACCAAGATAAAAATGCATAGCTTTATTGAGTAAAATTTAGAACCTTCTGGCAACGTTTAATTTTCTTTATAAAAAAAGCATAAAAAGGTAGAAAATTAAACCTGATAATCAAAGCAGGGAGGGTAGGCGCTTCAAATGCACGCTTACAAGCGCACATCTCGAAGAGAATACAACCTAGAAGAGGGATTATTTCAGAGAGAGTATTTCTGACAAAATTCAAACTTGGGATTTTTTTTTTTTTTGAAACAATATTATCATTTTAATTCCCCAGCCCGAGAACGAACCCTGATTGCTCTAAAAGACAGAAAATCTATAGGGCTGGGCATGTTCCTAATTTTTTTAAATCGTTCGTTCCGTTCCGTTCATTCCCGCGAAAGAATGACCATTCCCCAGGAACGAGGCCCAGCCCTCGAGTTTGGCGTATTCCTACTATTTCAAAGTTCTGTTCATTCGTTGCCGTGAAAGAACGATCGTTCCCCAGGAACGACGCCCAGTCCTATGCAAAACTAAATTTGAAAAAAAAATCGAATAATTCATACCTAGCGCCCATACATCTGATTTGGTATTATACGGTTTCCCTTCACACAGCTCTACATTAAAAAGGGATTTAATATATTCAAACATTTCAAAAATTGACTTTTTAAATAAAAATCATTTGCTTTACTGAAAGAAGGGTAATGAGGAGGGAGACAGAGAAGCGTGATGAGACAGTAGGGGAGGGAAGAGGAGGAAGAGAAGGGTAATGAGGAGGAATGGGAAGAAGTGTGATGAGGAGGTACTAGGTAGAGGAGAGGAGGAAGAGAAGGATGATGAGGAGCGATGGGAAGAAATGTGATGAGGAGGTACTAGGTAGGGGAGAGGAGGAAGAAAGGGATGATGAGGAGAGATGGGGAGAAATGTGAGAACCAGGTACGGGAGGAGGAAAGGGTAATGAGGTGGGGGAGGGGAGGGGAGGATATAAAGAAAAGTGTGATAACATAATTTAACCTGGAGAAATATAGCAGGGTGTCCCAACCACAGTTAAAGCTTTGCTCTTGCTTGATAAGATCTTGGAAATTCCAAAATCACCAATCTTCACATGATCCATAGACCTAGGTATAGAAGTAAATAATCGGATTTTAGCCATAAAAAAATAAATGTGATAAATCATTAAAAAAAATCCGCGAAACAAAACTTTTTTGAAAATATAAAAAATTTTAAGAAAATTCTTTGGAAAATGTTTATTCTATTGTTTTCCAAAATTTCATAAAAATTGCATAAGGTAAGAAAAAATGTGAGCCAATTCTATGGTCTAAGGTAATAGTTTGATAACATTTACTTCAGATTTCTACTCAAAATATTGGCGGATTCTTTGTTATATATGTTTAAGAAAAGCAAACTTTAACACAATACAGTTTTGAAATATTGAAAGTTAAAACATTTTTTAAATATATATGATATACTAGCTGAAGAGTTGGCGTTGGCCATGTACCACGGGGTACCTCAAAAATGATAAACCAATTTGGTCGAGCCGTATGGCCAACTATGGCTAACATGTGAATATAAATATATATTGAAAGATTATAATATAAATGTATGACTTTAAAATATTCCTATGAACATGAAAGACATCAATTGTGCAGTGTACAGTACATACTTTAGTCTGGATATATTCTGAGAGTGTACTAGTTTACATTACAGTACATACTTTATTCTGGATATATTCTGAGAGTGTACTAGTATACAGTACTGTACATACTTTAGTCTGGATATATTCTGACAGTGTACTAGTTTACAGTACAGTGCATACTTTAGTCTGGATATATTCTGAGAGTGTACTAGTTTACAGTACAGTAAATACTTTAGTCTGGATATATTCTGAGAGTGTACTAGTTTACAGTACAGTACATACTTTAGTCTGGATATATTCTGAGAGTGTACCACCTGCAGCATANTACTTTAGTCTGGATATATTCTGAGAGTGTACTAGTTTACAGTACAGTACATACTTTAGTCTGGATATATTCTGAGAGTGTACCACCTGCAGCATACTCCATTACTATCATCATTGCTTTATCCTAGAATAGAAAATACTCAAATTATTGTTAAAGGGAGAAAAACTCGAATTATTGTTAAAGGAACTTTGCACGTAAATTCAAGTTACTTTTCATTTATAAAGTAGCATGTACTTATGTACTTATAAACTTATGTACTTTTTTACTTTTGTACTTTTGTACTTTTGTATTTTGTATTTTGTACTTTTTTACTTTTGTACTTTTGTACTTTTGTACATTGTACAATATTACCCTTAAATAAAAAAATTAATGAACATGGACGACAAAGCAATCCATGTTTTTATCACGAAATATAAATATATGTGCCGGCAGCCAAGAACTCAGGTGTACACTCATGTAAAGTGTGAACTCAATGCAAATGAAGTCGCATATTTACCATTCTAGAATTGTCAAGATTATTTTATGTATAATGCGGTTTTTAACTTTTAGTTGTGGCTTTATATGTGAGCATCTTCTCTTAGTACAGCATAACATTTTTTTAAATTTACGGATTTCATAATATTTTTTTGCGCATTTTCAAAATTTTTCAAAATCAAATAATTTAAGATAAAAATATTTTAAGATTACATATTTAAAGTCTGATTGGCAATAAACCTTCCCTGGGGCCACGTGAGGTCCCACAAAAAATTTGGGCCTGATCGGTTCAGCCGTTTTGACGTTTATTGGATACAAACAAACAGAAATACTAACAAGCTAAATTTATATATAGAAGAACAGCTTCCATAAAAAAAATCACAAACACTTCTGGCCCTTTATTGAATTATGCCAAGGATAATTGATCTTTAGACTTTACCTGTATAAAGTTTTCATGGTAGTCAATAATATTAGGATGTTGAAGCATTGATAATACTTTAATCTCATTTAATGCACCCTAAGCAAAACTAATATAGGAATTTTCTTCAATCTCTTAAAAATTAATTTTTTCTCCCTTTAAGTAACTTAACTTATATATATATTCCCTTTAAGTACCATAACTTATATATATACTCCCTTTAAGTAACTAAACTTATATATATACTCCCTTTAAGTAACTTAACTTATATATATATATATACTCCCTTTAATTATCTAAACTAGAATATACTCCCTTTAATTATCGAAACTAATATACACTCCCTTTAATTATCTAAACTAGTATGCACTCCCTTTGATTATCTAAACTAATATACAATCCCTTTAATTATCTAAACTAATATATACTCCCTTTAATTATCTAAACTAGTACACACTCCCTTTAATTATCTAAACTCGTATGTACTCCCTTTAATTATCTAAACTATTATATACTCCCTTTAATCATCCAAACTAATATATACTCCCTTTAATTATCTAAACTAATATACACTCCCTTTAATTATCTTAACTAGTATACACTCCCTTTAATTATCTAAAACTGCGTGTACGGTGTATACGGTATATACCTGCCTATCTGCTGCTGACATCTGCTCAACTTAAAAAAAATAAAGAATTAAATTTTTCATGACGCATTATGTGCTTTTTCAAGATAAATCAATCTACAATATCATTTCCTTCATGGATGCTGATTTATTAATCTGTTTAAGAATATAATTAATTTACCTGGGATCTGTTTACGAATATAATTAATTTACCTGGGATCTGTTTAAGAATATGTTTAATTTACCTGGGATCTGTTTAAGAATATAATTAATTTACCTGGGATCTGTTTAAGAATATAATTAATTTACCTGGAATCTGTTTAAGAATAACCTCTTTTCCATCTGAAAGTCGTTTAGCCAAGTGCGCAGTACCGTATGCCCCTGAAAGAATAAACAACAAAATCTAAAACTACAGAAAATATTTGTTGACAGCAAAGATGTAGAAAAAAATTAAAATTTTTACTAAAACATGTTTCTTATAAATTTGTTGGGGGAAATGTGATTGATATAAGGTTTTGCAATAAACATAATTATTGATTTCCTTATAGACACATCAGATAAAAGTAAAATTAGAAGCAATCAAAACCGAATTCAATTCGGGATCATATAACACATTTCATATTTTGCGAACAATCCATTTAACATGAGTATAAAGGTCGTCTTCCTATTTACCAATCATACAGCTCTTACTGTAACGTAATTATCAACTAAAAACTAAACAAAAACTGAATATTATTACCTCTTCCTACAACTCTTATTTTGCTGTAATTATCCATTTTTATGTCACTTTTTATAAATAATACTGTCACTATTAGCTGTTATAATACTTCGGAGTTAAAAGTTTATAGATATCACTTGATACAATCCAATATCACTTAAGTTGTACAGTCTACTGTAGTCTAGAACTTCTAAATAGGCTACTTTGCTTAGACTAAAAGATCTATAACTGCATTCAAAAAACAGTTTTTTTGTTTTAAGTTGCTTTATCGTGTCATTATTACTCTGGCTTCGTATTTAACGTACACTGTACTCATGTACTGTGTACAATGTAGCCAATAACCTTGAGTACAGTTTCCCTTGGTTATTTACGCAAAGTTTGCATCAGTATTTAATACATGCTCAGCCAGCACTGTAAACAAATATATAAGTATATAACATGAACAGGTTTCTTTAAACAAAAATAAAAAAGATATGGTTGAGAATTATTTCGGAATAAAAAATTTCATTTCAGAAACTATAGAGTATATAAAAGGGAAAAACCACTGAGCTGATTACGTAAAAGCTATAGGGTTACACACAAAGGCTGCGACTACAGAGACGACTGCACGGAACGCAAAGTGGCGCAACCTGACATCTACCCCCTCCCCCTGAAAATTTATCGCTAAAAAGTTAATCTATAGTTTGAGTAAATTTATTCTCTTACAAAATATTATTATGAGTATAAAATACAAACATTGTAAACAGAGAACTGACGTCATCCAAACTGAAAGAAAGAATAAGGATTTTATTGGACTATTAAAACCTTGGCAGGCTTGGAGGAGTATAGGTATAGGCCTATTCCTGGTCTCGTCCTTAATTTTGAGTAACCCTGTAGCTGAGAAAATAGATCAGAAAAGCCTCAGATTTGTTATAAATTGAAGTTTTTTTTTGGTATTAATATTATATATTTGTATTCCCTCGTATTGCTGATACAATGTTAGAATTATCTCTCGCTGAAACCTGAACAAAAAGAAAGAGAAGTGCGCATTTGACAATATTCCATAAAAATTATTAAAGAAAGAAATGAGTTTTTGCCACAAACTTAATGTTTTATCCTGAAATCTTTAAAACCTGTTGGTGTAAACCCATGATTATTTGATCTGACAGAATTATTTATAGTTTGTATTATCACAGATCTACAGGTTGCAAAGATATATGAATTAGGAAATCCGAGTTTGTGGAAAGAACTCAATTATTTTATCTATGTATATAATATTGATATTTATTTCTCTAAGTCTTAATTATTTTTACCTCAACGTATTCTAGAATATTCTTTTCAGAGCAAAAGTTCTTGTATTCTTCAACTTTGCTAAATCAGATTTTAATACTTTTTTGTATATATAAGATTTATTATCTACTCGCCTAGGTTTATAATAGTTCCTTCTGCCGTTTACCCGCGCTTGGTATAAAATCATGATTTTAGCTGAAATGCTATATTTTGCCCGCGGAATTTCAAAAGTTTTTAAAAAATTGAGCCTATGTTACCACCAGGTAGCCCATGGGTTCCCTCAAAAAATGTTAGCCAATTTGGTCCAGCCTTTAGGCCGGCTAAAGCTGACATATACATAATAGCGAAGAGTTTTATTATATAGATAGATTTATTGAAATGAAAATAAAAACTAATAATAAAGTAATAAATTACAATTACAAAATTTTCTCTAAATCTTGTAAAGTCCTTGACACTTTTTAATTTTATTTTTTAACGAAATCGACATCATATGAATCCAACTTCAAGATGAAAATAAGGATTCTAGAATTAATCATCTTACGCGGAATTACTACCATGACTTATCTTGACCTTGTTGTATACACTATACAGCCAAAACAGAACACGTTCGAATTGCATATCAAGATTTTAAAACTTTTTTCTTTTCATAAGTTAAAAAGAGTTGCCTTTAAACCATTTTTTATCTAGAAAAGAGATATAGGCAATTTCCTTTTTTGTTTCTGCTGCACATAAATCCCACAACTTAAAATGATCAATTTTCAAATATGAAAAGCCTAAATATTTACGTAATTTGTACTTTGACAATTATTAAAGGGTATCGTTGTGAATCCGAAGTGTAATTTTTTAATGAAGGGTGCTTTGAAATTACATGGGCAGTCCCTTTATGTTTAATGTTATCCCCTTGTGTTGCTCCAAACACATCATCGTTAGTATCTACAGACAGTTTAACACAGAACTTAGGAGACATCGAACCAATTGATAAAATGTTGTCTTTAACATTTTTTCATGGGCTTTATACTATTATAATTAAATCTCAGTAATTGTAAAGATAAATAAAAGCAATGAATGAAATATGCGGAAACAGTTTTAACGAAATTTATATAATTATTCAATTAATAAACTAAATATCTTCACTATTCCATTATCAGTAGGTTTTAGAAAACGACATTCTATAAATTCTTTCGATGTCTCCAGTTCTGGGCTTAATTGTAGCAAACCTTGAGTTTGATGTTGGAGATAGATCAGCTTTATTCCCAACCAGGAGAAGAGGAGAAACCAGCCCGTCCTCACCTAGCTCCATCTTCTCCAGGTAGTCCTGCAACACAATCAATCAATCAATCAACTAAAAAAATGTCGCGTGAAGTATGTTTGTCTATTCCCAACCTGTATCCAGGCTTGAGCACGGAGAAAAGTATCTCTCCTTGACAGATCAAAGAGAACAAGAGCACCGTGAGAATATCTAATAAAAAAGGGATTGTTCATTAATCATTAATTAGCAACAAAATTTCTTTTTTAATTTTCCACCAACCAGGCTTCAGATTAATTCAAAAAATGATTCAGGCTTTCCAAAACTCAATCATAGGCAAACTTAAAAACACAGAGTGCTACTTTAAGAATCTAACTGTTTCAAAAGATGCAGAGAAAGTGATTTTGATCAAATATTTGTTTTCCACAGCGCCATAAAGACGGTATAATCAAATAGAAACAAGAAAATTTAGGAATGAAAGAAAGTTAAAAAGCAGATATATTACAAAGAGGAACAGCAAGATGGCTGCAGACGTATGTGGCCAGTACTAGAAATTATGAAATACAGTGACTCTAAAGTGTTGGTCTCATTTTACCAACTAAAGTTATGATCCTGACTTAAGTTTCATTTTTCGATAAATTGCAATGGTTCCAACTAATCAGTGGATATATTTGTGAATGGATACATGTCAATAGATTTGTTTTTTTAAATATAAGGAATGAATATTTGTACTTGTAGTATAATTGAGTTTTACTGGTAAATATCTCATGGCCAGGAATATCCCAAAGCTGTAGATTTATCTTCTTATCTTGGATATACAGGTCCTTCACTTCAAATCCAGGCTCAGTACTTATTCTATAATAAAATCAATTAAATCATGCAATTAATCATTCAATTAAAGAACCAATTTCAACTATATTATTACCTATATTTCTAGATGTAAGACCAGAATAAGGATATTATTACCTATATTTCTAGACGTAAGACCAGAATAAGGATATTACTACCTATATTTCTAAATATAAGATCAGAACTAGGATATTTTTACCTATATTTCTATATATTAGATCAGAATAAGTCAGTTGCATTCCTACAGCTTAGGAGAGCAGAGCTCTGTTCAGAAAGAGGTCTCTGCACTATTTGCAGTGAATGCTGAGAAATGTGTCTGCATATAAGAGGAAGGAGAGGCCAAGGGGCCCTGAACCCCGTGCTCGATTAGCTAGCCTCCTTTCTTAACTACAGTACCCACAGTCTAGGTACTGAGTCAAGAAATAGGAATAACAAAGAGCAAATATGTCTATACTTATCCAATTATATCCACTCCACTTAGTGATTGGAGCCCTTTCTGGAAGGTCCCTGTCCCTGCTCCCTGAGCAGAGCTGATGAAGGGGACAACTCCGCATTCTGCATGCAGCGGTGCACACTAAATGCGATACTTCCTAAGAAATTCTGCTGGACTGGGAAACAGTATAACATATGGACAAATGGAATGATCTTGAAACATTCCTGATACATTTGCACTCCTGTCAGCTCTTATCCACATCTCCACTCTCCTCTATCTACCATCTAACCTATAACTCACAAGCAACGAAATGAGACTTGAGGACATTTCTATGTTGGAACCTTGATTATCCTTCCTTGAATAGCAACCCTCCTTGTATAGGAAAGTAACAATGTGCAGTTCGTAGCAGGGAAGCTATTGCTCCCTTGCTGAAAATAGAAACTAACTTGAATCATACTTGTTATACCTATATTCAGAAGAGAACTGATTCAAGGTGTATCTACTAACATACTTATTTTACCTAAATTTAGTAGAAAACTGTTCCAGGGTGTATCTACTAATCCTTGTTATACCTTTATTCAGTAGAGAACTGTTTCAAGGTGTATCTGCTAATCCTTGTTATACCTATATTCAGAAGAAAACTGTTCCAAGTTGTATCTACTAATCCTTATTAACCTATGTTCAGTAGAGAACTATTCCAAGGTGTATCTACTAATCCTTATCATACCTATATTCAGTAGAGAACTGTTCCAAGGTGTATCTGCTAATCCTTATTATACCTATATTCAGAAGAAAACTGTTCCAAATTGTATCTACTAATCCTTATCATACCTATATTCAGTAGAGAACTGTTCCAAGGTAAATCTACTAATCCTTATTATACCTATAACCAGAAGAAAAGTGTTCCAAGGTGTATCTACTAATCCTTATTATACCTATATTCAGTAGAGAACTGTTCCAAGGTATATCTACTAATCCTTATTATACCTATATTCAGAAGAAAACTGTTTCAAGGTATATCTACTAATTCTTATTATACCTATATTCAGTAGAGAACTGTTCAGAGGTATATCTACTAATCCTTATTATACCTATATTCAGAAGAAAACTGTTCCAAGGTGTATCTACTAATCCTTATTATACCTATATTGAGTAGAGAACTGTTCCAAGGTGTATTTACTAATTCTTATTATACCTATATACAGTAGAGAACTGTTCCAAGGTGTATCTACTAACATACTTATTATACCTATATTCAAAAGAAAACTGTTCCAAGGTGTATCTACTAACATACTTGTTATACCTATATTCAGTAGAGAACTGTTCCAAGGCGTATTTACTAATCCTTATTATACCTATATTGAGTAGAGAACTGTTCCAAGGTGTATCTACTAATTCTTATTATACCTATATTCAGAAGAAAACTGTTCCAGGGTGTATCTACTAATCAATGACGTTTTACCAACTCCTAAAGAAAATAGTGTTTTCTTTTTTGATTATTATTTAAAAAAAAAGTATTTTACCAATATCTCCTAACACCATCAGTTTTAGAGTTGTTTCATTCATAATTTCATTTTATTAATCTTTTATAATTCTTTTCTGAACAATATCTCAGATTAGTTGAAACTTTGGAATTTAAAATGAAATGGATGGAATATGAAGACGACATTATAGCAATATTCAAGTGTATTTGATGTTGTTTTCTTGACACTTGTTACCCACTTTAGTGATATGGGTCTGTTTACACTGCACAATTGCTGTGTCTCATTTATTTAACTTTTTAGAGTTATAACTTTAATCTAAAAGTCGTCTTCCTATTTCAGAGTTTTCTGATTATCACTGCAGAATATGGAAAAGTTTGGAAAATAAATGGAATAGTTTGGATAAAGAATGGAATATTTTGAAAATAAATAAAAAATTTGGGATATAAAATGGAGTAGTTGGGATATAAAATGGAATTGTTCGGATAGAAAATGGAAAGGTTGACATAAAATGGAATTGTTAGGTATAAAATAAAAAAGATGTGTAAAAATTGAATTGTTAGGGTATAAAATAGAAAAGATGTGTAGAAATGGAATTTTTAGGGTATTAAATGGAAAAGAAGGGACAAAAAAAGAAATTGTTTGGATATTAAAAGTAATAATTACTTTAGGAAATAAAAATATTTTGAAAATAAAATTGGAATAACTNGAATAGATAGATAGATAGATTAGATAGATAGATAGATTAGATAGATTAGATAGATAGATAGATAGATATTCCACTGTATTTGTAATGGTTTGTATTGGGTTGTTATGGTAACATCTAGAGTAGCCAGGTAAAAGAAGGAAAGGAAAGGGAAGGAAAGGGAAGGAAAGGAAAGGAAAGGGAGACAGGAAGATAACATTTTTGAAAAGGAAAGGTAGTTGATAGATAGATAATTTTATATCTAGTGTACAGAGTTAAACGTACAGAGTATAAGTTTGTTTACTCTGCAGTACATAAAGAGAATGTATGAAAAAGTTAGAACAGTTTCTCTGAAAGGAAGTGTAGACCCACAAGTAAAAAATCTACAGGTTAATATTGTTTTAAAAAATTTGATTTCAGCATTTAATAGTAAAACTGTGAAATAAAAAAACACCTCAGAAGCTTTTGAAAAAAATGAGATTTAACATAATTATTTTAAACCCTTTTCCAAATCAGAACCTTTGTACTCAAGAGAACTTTGAACAAGCACTATCGCTAAATTGTATTAATACTAGGCTTTTAGGGCGCTTCCCGTCCATCTTCTATTTCAACTTTTAATTGTGGCTTTTTTTCTGAAGCATCTTCTCTTTGTACAGTACTAGAAATTCAAGGCTCTTCGCGCCCTTCTTTCTAGCCTTAGAGGGCGCTTCGCGCCCATCTCCTAAATTTAAACATTCTAATAATTNTTTAATGACGATCGAATTTTGATGGAGACAAATATTTGAAATTTTGATGATTCATAAACCTTCCCTGGAGTCCCTAGATGTCCCACAAAAAATTTGGGCCCGATCGGTTCAGCCGTTTTGACGTTTATTGGATACAAACAAACAAACAAACAAACAGACAGACAGACAAACAGACAAGCCAAATTTATATATAGATAACATTTTTTTAAGTTTGCGGATTTCATATTTTTTCGCGCATTTTCAAAATATTACAAAAATCAAAAACTTTTAAACACAATTTTCTAAAATTTTGATCATTTATAAACCTTCCCGGCCTGGGGTCACGTGAGGTCCCACACAAAATTTGGGCCCGATCGGTTCAGGCGTTTTGACTTTCATTGGATACAAGCAAACAGACAGACAAGCTAAATTTATATATAAATTTTACCAAATACTACCTTAGAACTGATGTTAGGGTTGGTGAGGAAAAGCAAAGGATCGCTCTCAGGAATGAGAAAAAAGTATAAATCCCAAAAAATTATCTTACCGCCTTTTTGAGCAAAATTACCAGCCTATGATTCTTCTTCCTGGGGCATTCTTTGATTAAATTCTTTCTTAACAGACCTTCTTGTAACGATCTCTTGAGCCCTCCTTGACACCTTCCAATGCAAAAAATTCTTCTTGGTGACAACATTGTCCTTTTTCAAGTTTTATCTAGTGAATTGAGATGAAACTTGTGAATTTTCTAAATATTTTTGTTCAATCGTTTCGTGAATTTCAAACATTGAAAACATTAAAGACTCAAAACTTTCAGATTTATATTGCTTATTTTCTGTGTGCCTGTAAAGTAGTTGTAAATGGAGTTGTTATTTCCAGGTTGTAAGCTTTGACTCTGACTGGAAGGAGGTTTATATTGGAGCGAGTAAAAAGGATTCTTTTACAGCAGTTTGCCCAAACAATATTCCTCAATGTGCAGAGGTATTTTTTATATTTTTTTCTTCTAAAGGAATTGAGTCTTTGCCACAAACACAGATTTCTTAATCTCAATGATTTTGCAATTCCTGCTGGTGTAAACCGTTGATATTTCAAACTTTGATTATTTGATCTGATAGAATTCCTAGTTTTAAATATCTAAGGTCTCCGACGTTGATTTGTGAAGATATAGGGATTACAAAATTTGATTTTGTGCCAAAAACTCAATTCCTTTCTGAATTTGTTAAAAGATATAAAAAAATATTAAAAATTTATAAGTTCATTTAGCTATTGCTGAAAGGGACCGTTAACGTAATTTCAAGTGACCCTGTATTTAAAGAGGGTGGCATGCTCCATTCACTTCGGTATCTTAAGAAACCTTAATCTGATCAATAATGTATTTTTGTTTGAACAGTGTTAATTTTATCAATAAATCCATTGCTGAAAAAACTTGGAGTTTACTTTTGAAGAGAAACCGGGAATGAAAATAATCAGTTTTAAAAAAACTTATTTGTTCTAAATCATAAAAAAACTTTTAAGGGTATTGTAAGGAATCGGACATGTCCCTTTAAAGATGAAGGGTCTTTTGAAATTACATTTACAGCCCCTGTAAACAGAAAGAAAATTTAAATGTTTTAAAACTTTCTCATTTCGGAAATATTTGAACAATTCCTTTAAAATATCATGTTAAGGTGAGTGTAAGATATGTGTGTAAGAACAAGGAAAACGCCAGAATATCCTGCTCAAAATGGTAAATTCATGATTTCAATTCTTTCATTTTTATTGTAAATTTTTCATCTCAAATATGCTAGACTAGACATAAAGAGAAGGTAAAATTAATGGTAAAGGAATTGAGTTTTTGCCACAAACTCTGATTTTCTAAACTCTATATCTTTATAACCCAATGTCGTAGACCTTAGATATTTCAAACTATCAATGCTTATAGATAAAATAATCTAAGTTTGAAATATCAAAGGCTTGCACCATCAGATTGCAAAAATATTGGGATCAGAAGATTTGAGTTTGTGGCCAAAACTCAATTCCTTTCTGCCACGACGTTGGGTTGGGACCTCAAAACTGTTCCAGCTTTTATTTTACGCAATTACGTCTGAGAAAAGCTAATTTATTTAGATATACGCTAGAAATGTTATCCTTCCTTCTAGAGTGAGAAATCCTTAATTCTTAATCTGAGTGGACACGCTTTTGATTTTCTTCTTCATCCTCTTTTTGGTTATTTCTACTGTATAAAAGTTACGTTTGATAACAATTACAATGTTATATCGATTGGACTAATATCCGATTGAATTAAAGTCAGCTGTTCACAAGTCGGCTCTTAGAGTATTTGAACAAATATAAATTTAATCTCGTTAATATGAAATTATTAAAAACATAATTTAGGACTACTGTCATTTTGAACGTTAGCCGTAATAAAAATTAATCCAAAACTTACGTTCGTTCAATTGATATGACACCATCAACACCAGAAATGCGCAAAAAATAAAAATATCGAATGTGTATTAACCTAAGCTCTTGTTTAGTAAAACTAGGAGATCAAGCATTGATCTCAATATCCACCATTCTAAAGTTTTCAGCTCTGGTTATTTGCAATAAATGTTCAGTGAGAAGAGTTTAAGATTAAGAAGATTTAAGAAGATTAAAAACATGTTACATTTCAATTTCACTTGAAATTTACTTTGATATCAGGTGTTTAGACATCGATGGGCTTTTATTTACATTTTTGAACTATTGCCGATTAAAAATTAAAAATGAATTGTTTTTTTTTCTACTTTTACAGAATTAACAAAATTTCCGAAATTTTTTAAATAACTTTAAAGTGTTTGTCTGTTTGTCGACGACATTTAAAGTGATAAATGAAAATATTCATAATTAATTTCCAACAAGGTTCTTCTGTTCAGGTGTCCAATGGAGAACTGTACAATTCTAGTGCTAGGGAGTCAGTTCGGAATACAGGTTCATATATATATATATTCAGGTTACATATTTTAATCTGAAATACCAAATGTAGAAAGTTATTCTTTTTATAGCTTGAATTTTGACATATTTTGTTTATATTGTGAAGAAAAAAATTTTTTATATAGGTATCCTGAAGTTGTACTATTATGATAATTTACTAAGATTATGTGAAGTACAGTAGATTGCAATAGAAAAATCTACCAACTGCGCACAACGTCACAAGTGTCAAATGTAAAAAGAAAGACGACATGCTGTCAAACTTGTTATTATGATTTCCAAGATTCAGCTGAGATAAATATCGTCTTTGCAGGAAAATCTATTTGAGATCAGCTGTATCTTAGTTCTGTAAACAATAATAGTTTAACAGGAGGACCCACTTAACTTGAATACTGGGATATGAATTAAATATCATCTTTGTTCTTCAATATATATCCAATGACATACTGGGTGTCCCACGAAACATGGCAATAGGAAGACGACTTGAAAGTCGTCTTTGGTATTTGAATTTATTTGTGACATTTAGTCTTCTATCTACTTTAACGTGCATGATTCTTGAAACAATTATCACATAATTCTCCTAGCCATGGCATTTCCAAAAAGTGGTCTGCGTTTTTTTGCTTTCAATATTACCGGAGATATATAAAGAGTTTGGTTCAGATTTCAATTTTGTTAAATAAAAGCAAAATTGTCGAAATCTGAACGAAATTCTTCATATCTCGGGCAATACTGAAAGCACAAAAAAGGCAGACCACATTTTGGAAATGGCAGGACAAGGGAAATTTTGTGATTATTTATTATCTCTAGAAATTTACTTCTAAAATTAGATTGACTAATAACGCAGCAAATTATATCAAAAATCAAGACGACATTCAAGTCGTCCTGCATACTGTCATGTTTCGTGGGACACCCAGTAACTGAATTTATTTCTTGTCAATAGATCAAAGTGTAAACGTAATTTCAAGAGACCTTGCGAACACAGACGGCATTTCCTGATTCACAGTACTCTTGAACCCTTCATCATAAATGTGGAATATATTGTAATTTTTCTTGGTATAAATCTGATAATTAGTAAATATTTTTCTTTAGTAGATATGTATTTTATAGAAACCACAGTTGAAAATAGCATTAATATCCAGGAAATAGGAATAAAGGGAAAAGAAATGGCGCTGGTCTGGCATGAGAAAGCCAGTCGGACTGCTTTGCAGACAAGTTCGGTAATACTTACACACACTCTTTTGGTACAGATACACAACATGACTACAGTCAAGGAAATTGCAGAACGATGTTGTCAATTATAATTAAACTTGAATAACGAGTAGTTTATTGTAAACTTAGATCAAATTATATTCTTTGCATGAAAATTTGGCTTATAGTGTTGACTTAAATATATAAATAATATACTACATGTATATTAAACTTATTTTTAAGTAAACAATTAACAATAAACAAATGTACCCTCCTAGACTGTACAAATACCGAGATTCGTATGTACTGTATATACCTACAGTACACACTATCACACCTTCGGTTTGGTAAACCTTACACACACTCTTTTGGTACAGACACACACACATGACGTTTCCGCCCCGGCCCTGTTAATATCTAATTCATACTTGATAAGACTAATCTTTCAATGGTACCGTTTTAAATCGGACATTGCCCTCTTTTTGTGAAGGGTCACTTGAAATTACGCTCACAGTCCCTCACTGTCATTTAAATATCTCCCTACCTCAAGCAAAAATCGATGAGAGTTTTGCCAATTACTTCTTTAAACCAAAGGTAACAACAAGCGCTTTATAGTATTAAAATGTACATGTACAGAGCTACAGAAAAGCATTAGTGAGTTAGAGCGGTAAAAGTGAAGCCCAAGGCGTTGAGACTGTTTATAAGCTGACTGAATCTATGTGCCCAATTAAAGAGACTTTCTCCTAATGTAGTGTACCCCTGAAAAGTATAAATAAGTCTGCAAGACTTTTTCAATGATATAATTACTTAAAAGGCTTTCAAACATCGAAGACTCCCCTTTAGTACTCCCCTCTCTCAATTACACAGATTCATCCTGCTTATAAAAGTCTCATACATTTTTGTCGACTTTAAAGTGTCGTAAAGCTTAGCACTTGTTGTTAGCTTTGGTTTTTAAGAAGTAATTGGCAAAATTCTCATAGGTTTTTGCTTGAGAGCTTGAGATCTTTAAATCACAGTGCAATTGCCATGTTTTGTGAGACCCCCTGTATTATCTTTAGATACTTGATTGGGATGGAGGAAACCTAGTGTATGAGTATGATTTTGAAGAACAGGGATTACCTCCAGATGAACTACAGATTCTTGGTACTTTTCAAATAAAATGTTTCAAAGTGTAATCTGTATTGTGTATTCTAGTATACATGTATACAGTACACTTGTCTTGTCCAGTTGTCTAGTCTACTTGTCTAGTCCACTTGTCTAGTCCACTTGTCTAGTCCACTTGTCTTGTCCAGTTGTCTAGTCTACTTGTCTAGTCCACTTGGCTAGTCCACTTGTCTAGCCCACTTGTCTAGTCCACTTGTCTAGTCCACTTGTCTTGTCCACTTGTCTAGTCTACTTGTCTAGTCCACTTGGCTAGTCCACTTGTCTAGCCCACTTGTCTAGTCCACTTGTCTAGTCCACTTGTCTTGTCCACTTGTCTAGTCTACTTGTTTAGTCCACTTGTCTAGTCCACTTGTCTAGTCCACTTGTCTAGTCCACTTGTCTTCTAGTCCAGTTGTCCATTCCACTTGTCTAGTTCACTTGTCTAGTCCACTTGGCTAGTCCACTTGTCTAGTCCACTTTTTAGTCATGCACACCTATTTAGTCCATTTGTCTTGTACACTTGTCTAGATCACATGCCTAGTCTATTTGCTAGTACATATGTGTAGTCCACTTATCCTGTCCACTTGTCTAGTCCACTTGTCTAATCCACTTGTCTAGTCCACTTGTCTAGTCCACTTGTTTAGTCCACTTGTTAGTCATCTTGTCTTATCCTCTTGCCTTTTACACTTGTCTTGTCTTGGGAAAAACGGACAATTGGACTATGATACATACTGGCAAGTGGACTAGACAAGTGTACTAGACAAGTGTAATAGACAAGTGTATTAGACAAGTGCATAAGACAAGCAATAGTTTCTGTTATTTGAAAATAAATTAGGAGTACATGCCCGGGGAGTAGCAGCTGTAGGAACCTCACTGCTTGCTGTAGGTACAACTCTTACACGAACTATAAAAAAGAACAAATGTCGCAAAACATGTTAAAAAAAAATGTATTCAAACATAAAATTTCGAAATTACAAAGATTTTATCATTTGGTGATTTTACCCTTTCCAGAATTCAATATCATTTATTATCCGCGAACCAAACATGCAAAGTAGAGCAGTTGCAGTTTATAACAACCAACGCGACGGTCGGTTTAAATGAATAGAAAGAGATAGATTATTCATTCCTCGTTAGTTAAATAACTTCGCTAAGACGTTCCTAGGAACTCCAGCGATATACTTCAGTTATCTGTGCCCAGATCAGCTACAACTAGAGATGGACGCGTTTGACTTTTTTCCATTTGTTTGTTTATCGTTCATGAAAGGCCCATTTTGTTCTTTTTTCAATCGTTAAAACAATGGTTTTGTTTGTTCTCAAAAACATCTTTAATTTTCCAACTATTTAAATTGTTTTCTCAGTGAACGATCGCGGTTAGTAAAATTGTTTGATGAGTAAAATCGTTCGTTCAGTGAAATTGTTGGTTTCGTAAAATCGTTCGTTTAGTAAAATCGTTTGTTTCGTAAAATTTTTAGTTTAATTGTTTACTCAGTAAAATTGTTCGTTAAATAATGACATTCGTTCAGTAAAAAGGATTATTTTTTAAAGTTTGTCGGCAAAAATCGTTTGTTTTTTAAAAACATTTGTTCATTCCTTTGAACGATTAAAGTCGTTTTTCTATCGTTAGTTTTTTCTAGGCAACATCATTTACAAAAAAATGTTCGTTCTCAAAAATTTAGTTCGTTCACAAAACGATGCCCATCTCTAGCTACAACATCTATTATATTCCCTTATTCCTATACTCCGGCCCAATAACATTTTTAATATAAAATCATATTTGTTTAAATATTCGAATTTGTGGCAGGTTTACATACTGGAGATATCCTGGTTCTAAGTATTGAACTACAAGGAGAATCATATCTCTGCAATATTGTCGAAAAGTAAGAAATGTTAAGATATTAATAATCAGTCTTAGCTATAAGAAAACTATACATGGGACCACTAATCTGTACAAGTACAAAGAATAGGTAACTTCATATGGGTTGCTTGCATGTTGCTTGTATGTCTCAAGGCAGTTTAATCACGAGTTTAAAATCGTCTTTTAAATAATATTTGATTTATTATTGTGATTGGTGATGTCTTATATACAGGGTGTCCCACGAAACATGACAATAGCAAGACGACTTGAAAGTCGTAGTTTGGTACTTGAATTTATTTGTGACATTTAGTCTTGTATCTACTTTAACATGTATGATTCTTGAAACAATTATCACATAATTCTCCTAGCCCTGGCATTTCCAAAAAGTGGTCTGCGTTTTTTGTGCTTTCAATATTACCGGAGATATAAAGAGTTTGGTTAAGATTTCAATTTTGTTAAATAAAAGCAAAATTGTCGAAATATGAACGAAATTCTTCATATCTCGGGCAATATTGAAAGCACAAAAAAGGCAGTCCACATTTTGGAAATGGCAGGACAAGGGAAATTTTGTGATTATTATCTTTAGAAATTTACTTCTAAAATTAGGTTGACAAATAAACGCAGCAAATTATATCAAAAACCAAGACGACATTCAAGTCGTCCTGCATACTGTCATGTTTCGTGGGACACCCTGTACAAAGCGGCCCAATATCCTATTGGATAATCTCCAAGTTTTAACGCCAAAAAACGTAAAAAACCTAGTATTTTCTGCAAAATATTTGTTTTATTAGCCTTATACATTTAAAAAAAAATATTTTTGTTTTCAATTTTCTGATATTTTGCCTTAAATCTCAATTTAAAGCTATTAACGATCTAATATGATATGGGATTGATTGCATACTGTTGTACTGTAAGATAATGAGAAATTTCTTTCCTGTTAACAAACAAATTTATACAGTTGTCCCTCTTTACTTAAGTGTTTAATTCTGACAATTCCACCGTTGTTTCATGTAAGCATCAATCTATATAAATCATTTTAAAGGAGAAAATATTGTGAATTTGACATGCCGCTGAGGGAGGGACAATTGAAAACTAAATAAACCAGTTTTGAAACTACATAAACCAGTTTTGAAACTACATAACCAGTTTTGAAACTACTTAAACCAGTTTTGAAACTACATAAACCAGTTTTAAAACTACATAAACCAGTTTTGAAACTACATAACCAGTTTTGAAACTACATAAACCAGTTTTGAAACTACATAAACCAGTTTTGAAACTACATAAACCAGTTTTGAAACTACATAACCAGTTTTGAAACTACATAAACCAGTTTTGAAACTACATAAACCAGTTTTGAAACTACATAACAAGTTTTGAAACTACATACCAGTTTTGAAACTACATAACCAGTTTTGAAACTACATAAACCAGTTTTGAAACTACATAAACCAGTTTTGAAACTACATACCAGTTTTGAAATTACATAAACCAGTTTTGAAACTACATAAATCAGTTTTGAAAACTACATAAAACAGTTTTGAAACTACATAAATCAGTTTTGAAAACTACATAAAACAGTTTTGAAACTACATAAAACAGTTTTGAAACTACATAAACCAGTTTTGAAACCCGGGTTTCAAGAATGGGGTTATGCAGTTTTGTGAATATCAATATTTTTGTTATGAAATATTTTTTATTTAGTTTCTTTATATTCTCAATTTTTGTCGAATCTCTAGAATCAAAATCTAAAAAAATGGTAAGACCCCAAAAAGGAAAGTTTCGTTCAACGAAACTCTTTTACATTTCGGGGTTTGTAGCCTGTGTGATTACTGTACACAAATCAACTGAAGTTTTCAGAGATGTATTATAAAATGTATATTTTTAATTATATGTTATTCTATTTCTAGATTACGAGGTCATCTCAGCTATATAACTGATCTAGCTAGTTCTAGCACCACGGTAATTCTAGTTTCTTAAAAATGATAAATTTATTTATTAAATAATGATCAATATTCATCAAGTCTTTGATAGTTTGTTTTATTAGAAACTAGCTCAGTAATACATCTAGCTTTCAGAGAAGCAATAACTGGCTCTGGCGCTTCTAAAAGTACTCAGAGATACAGGGTGAGAGAGAGAAAATGGCAAACTAAAAAAAACTTTAATGGAAAAGAAATATACGGAACTACAAGAAACATTGAAGGCCTTATTTAATATTTTAATACTGTATCAACCTGGAAAATGGAGGTTTTTACCTAGCTGTATCCAGATTTTGCTACTGGCAACTTTAAATATACTCCTTAATAACAAGTCTGGTTAGCTGTTATTAAGTATCCCAACTCGTCGGAAAGATGTAAATTCTTTCATTTGAATCTGGTTCTATGATGTAAGCATCAAGGGAGCTCAGAACAGTCAAGTTCTTATACAACTCTCTCCAGTTTATTGTGGCTTAACAGAACCCTGTGAAAAAAGTAAATAATAGTGCAGAGAAGGAGGGGTTTCTCTACGCTTTTCTTCTCCCTCCATCTTGTCAGAAACAAGGAAAATATAGAGACGGGAACTCTGTAAACCCTGGATAGAAACTGGAACTCTGTAAACCCTGGATACAGACGGGAACTCTGTAAACCCTGGATAGAGACGGGAACTCTGTAAACCCTGGATAGAGACTGGAACTCTGTAAACCCTGGATAGAGACTGGAACTATGTAAACCCTGGATATAGATGGGAACTCTGTAAACCCTGGATAGAGACAGGAACTCTGTAAACCTTGGATTAGAATACTGATGGGTGTGCACCATGCACTATGATACCAGATTATGCTCTGCGGCTGCAAGGAAAAGATTGATGTAGAGGAGGCCATACTCTGAAGCACTGCGTCCAAGATGAACTTATAAGAACCAAAATTCTTTTGTTGAAAATATCCACTCCTTTCCTAACCTCTTATCCCATTTGTCATCATTAAGGCGGAAATCGGACAATAAATATCGTCAGAATTTTTTCAAACCCTGCTAAGTGCAGTGATTTTCTTTCTTCTCCAACCTGTAAGAATATTCAACGATGAATTTATGTTTTAATCTGAACCTTCAATCAGTTGAGTCAGACATTCCTGGCAAAACTGAAAACTGCAGTTCAGATAAAAAGAAGTTGCAAGTCATTGAAAAATTCCACTACTATTTTTAAAATTTGTTAAAAATTTTCTCGTTAAAAATAAATTGTAAAAAAATTAGGACCTAGCAGAAGTGTCCGGCATTACCCGCGGAATTTTAAAACACAAAATTGTTTAACCTGTTACCTGTTACCTGGTATTTATGAGTTTCCTCAAAAAATGTCAGCCAATTTGTTCCAGCCGTTTGGTCAGCTATAGCTAACATATACATTAATTACAAATATACAAATATACAAATATACAAATATATATGTATGAGCGATGAGCTTTATGATATAGAAGAAATAGCTAATGACTAATATATTTCTCTGCAAATGTTGAGGAAAAATTGTTAAAAGATTTAATAAAGACTATTCTGATTCACACCGGTACCCTTTAAACATTATCATATCAAATTTGGGAGTTTCTTATCTCTCACGCAAAAACCATTTAGTATTTTTCCAATTACTCCATTAAAAGTTCAGCTAGAAACAAGCATGTTGCAAATTGTATATGTCTATGGCTAGAAAAAAGTAAAAATGACTTTTTGAGGAAACGCAAAGCCCAAGCTGTTGCAACGCTTTTAAGCTCCTCTATTAAATGTATTTGAAGTCCCAGACTAACCTCTAGGCAGCTAGTTTAAAAAGTTCACAGACTAAATGAGGCAAAATAGAACAGTGCATCAAATTAATCATTCCCGTCTAGTGTATACTGAGTAAATGTTTGTTTAGAACGGTCGTGTTCTTGCATCAGGAGACAGTGCGGGTACAATCTGTATATGGAAGGTATTTTATACACTCCCATTCTAACATTTACAATCCTATCATTCTAAACTAAGAACTGAAAATAGAGCTTTAATATTTTATTTCAATAATTATATGTATTCCCTGTCTTAAGTTTTATAGAATAACCCTGCTTATAAAGGAGGAGGGGGGCTCCCTGCACCTCCAGGATAAACTAGCAGACTGGGTAGGATTCCCTATCAATACACTCTCCATCTGGAACAGGTTTAATTTTTAATTGTGTAATAGTAAATACAGTTTTACTTTATAATAGTGTAATAGTAAATAAAGGTTAACTTTATAACAGTGCAATAGTAAATACAGGTTTACTTTATAACAGTTTAACAGTAAATACAGGTTTACTTTTGAATAGTGTAAAATTAAATAAAGGTTTACTTTATGATAGTGAAATAGTAAATACAGGTTTACTTTATAATTGTGTAATAGTAAATATATGTCTAAATTTTAATAGTGCAATAGTAAATACAGATTTACTTTATAAAAGTGTAATAGTAAATAAAGGTTAACTTTATAACAGTGCAATAGTAAATACAGGTTTACTTTATAACAGTGCAAAAGTAAATACAGGTTTACTTTTTATCAGTTTAACAGTAAATACAGGTTTACTTTTGAATAGCGTAAAATTAAATAAAGGTTTACTTTATGATAGTGAAATAGTAAATACAGGTTTACTTTATAATTGTGAATAGTAAATATATGTCTAAATTTTAATAGTGCAAGAGTAAATACAGATTTACTTTATAAAAGTGTAATAGTAAATACAGGTTCACTTTTTAACAGTGTAATAGTAAATACAGGTTTACTTTATAATAGTGTAATAGTAAATACAGGTTAACTTTATAAAAGTGTAATAGAAGATACTGGTTTACTTTTACAAAGAGTAATATGTAGTTAAAAAACAAGTTACATTTTAAAATCGTAAAAACTATAGTTCACTTGATAAATAATCATATAAAATATACGTTTGCTAGATATAAAGAGGGTTTGATTATTGCTGGATATGGAAGTGGGCATATCAGGTAGTTTTCTAATCAAATAATTGATCTGGGTTCTACACTCAAATCCTTTTTTATTTCAAAAATGTATTTAAAATTTGTTTTCCTGCTGCAGAATGTTTAACATTGAGACAGGAAATATTGTGTGCGAACTTACAGCACATTCAGGTGAAAGTTTCATAATCGTTAAAACAAAATTATATCCTTGTAATTTTATCTGAAAATTGATAAATTCCCATTTTGTTTCTCTATTTTATGACTTTTCAGTAAGTAAAACGATGCTTTGTGGCTTGTTTTTTCAATCTAAAAATTGATAAGTTCCCATTTAGGTTTCTTTATTTTGTGATTAGTCAGGAAGAAAATCGACAATATCTTCCTCCTTTGTATAATTTTTTAAAAAATCAGAAGAAAATATATTTAGAAAGATTGCAAATCAACATTTCATAATAATGCGTACAAACTGATGTTTACTGTACTGTACTGTATATTATTAGGTTGGATTACTGGAATGGATCTTGCTAGTGGGTGAGTAAAGCTTATACATTGTACAATTTCATGTTTCAAATCTGGTTTATTTATATTGAATAAGCGTTATCAGTGTCTACCTTGCTCTTAATAGTTAAAAACAAAATGGCGCTTAAGGTTTGTAATTTTTAACTTTATTGCAAGAATATTTGCAATAATTTGCAATGACTACTCTATATACACAGAAATAGTGTAAGCTTTTGATTAAAACCAATTACGTGCTTAATCCATTATATTCAGCTGACTTGTTTGTATTTTGTTATCCTTCATTGGTCGAGACTATATTTTTGAGGCTTCTGATTGGTCAGACATTTAAACTTATTCAAAAGGAATTAACTTAATCTGTCGGACTAAGTAAGTGATAAATATGCACTCTCTGAAGCGAAAGTATAAAGTTTAACCTTAGGGCACATTTTTGGATCCAAATTACAAAACAGTTGTTGTCATTTTTTATCGAATGCATATTTTTCTGTTTTTTATTGATCAATTGTGATTGAACAACTTTTTGATGATTTGATTACTCAAAATGTTGATCGATTGATTGATTGACTGATTTGTTGATTGATTAAATGATTTGTTAGTTAACTATTTATTAATTGATTTCCAGGTCTGGTCTGTTGTTAACCTGTTCTGAGGACAGCTATGTCAGAGTTTGGCAGTTAGCACTCAAGGTAACATATGGATGTCCAAAGCGCTACTGTGTAGTGTAGCTAATGGTAACATACTAAATTTCAGTACACTAGTATGTAGGGTATATAGAGCTTACCTCAGATGTACACAACCGACCTCCCTATATTAATTAATTAATAGAGTGGTCGGTTGTATACATCACGATATGTTTACGTATCTAACACTTTACATTTGTATATAGAGTGGTAAAATGTGGATAATTGAATATTTGTATAGATAATGCGATAGACGCTTAATATGGATTGTAAACACAGGATTGTATACTGCAGTACAGTTCAGTTGTTTGTTTATGTTAATAAAAGTATAACAAAATATTTCATCGTGAAATCATGCACAAATAATTCTTCTTGTAAAAATGTGAATTATTTTCAAAATACCAAAACATTGTGCATGGCTAGACCATTCAAGGTTGGGGAGACTCCACCATATATCCCTCAAGTTGTATTTGCTCAAACCATTTTAAAGAAGGAGATATTAGTCAGGGGAAAAAAACCAAGTTTTGCTTTTTCAACTTTGGGTGAGAATAAAAATGAATTTAAAGTATTGTTTTGTTTATGATTTAATAAAGGGACAGACCGACATGTAACGTAGTTAAACTGATTATGCAGTGTTGTGGACTAATTCTTTAGGGTTCATTTAAGACATATAAAACTTTTTAAAGATCTGTAAATCCTGAGTTTGAGCGCAAAGTCGACGTTCAAAATCGTACTTTTGGGTGGATACGTTTTCAGAATTGTTTTTTAAATTATTAAATAACGACGACAATAAATGTAAACAAAATTCTACAATAAACTAATTAGTTGTTTAGGAACCGGTTGAGAAAATAAAATTTAACTCTTCTCATCGAAAAAAAGTAATCTTTTTCAATTATTAGTTTCAATAATCTCTCTTTAATCACAAAGATATTCTGCAGATTTTCTGGAATTTTTTTCAAAAAGACGACATTTGAAGAATTTGAAGAAATCTGCGAACAAATTCATAGAAAATAAGAAATTCAATGTAATGATTAAAAGGGAAATAATTCAAATTCAACCTTTAGATTGTTGTTTATGTTAAGAGCTCTGGTCGTCATCAGTGTTTTATATTTTGTGGGTAACCCTGGATTGCACTGTCATGTTTATGATAAAGAGTTGAAGATAAGAAAGAATAAAAATGTTTGAAATAAGAAGCTTATTAAAGTTTTAAGCTATAGGCATTCCATACAAACTTACTATTCTTTACAGAACTTTTATCTGATTAATTGAAAACCTACAAATTTGAAAGTTGTTAAATGTTTGAAGTCAACATTCTCGAATTCTTTTATATAAAGAAAGAAAATTAAAAAACTTATCAATTCCATAAAATCCCCCTGAGAAATACGATCACTCTATTTACAGGGTGTCCCAAAAAACATGGGAATTCAGTGACGAATTCGATATCGTCTTTTAAAAAAATTCTTTGATTTAGTATAGTGATACCAACTGAGAAAGCTTTAATCTGTAAGAGTTTCGTCTGCTATGTTTACATTTTGTTTGTTTATGTTTTGACTGCATACGGTTGTACTTAGTAAAACAAGAAAATTGCAGTATACAAACAGAGAAAACTTGTCCGTCTTCACTGTTCATCTTGCAGAGACATTATAGACACATCTTTACAGTCTTTTACCCTTTTCATAAAATAAACTCTAGCAGACATAATAATATTATGGCTTTTGAAATTAGGTATTACAATGCTAATTCATAGCAAAGACGATATACTATTCGTCACTGAATTCCCATGTTTTTTGGGACACCCTTTACAAGTGTACAGTGTTAGATACACAAACATGTCGTGATGTGCACAACCGACCACTCTATTAATTAATTAATATGGAGGTCGCAATTGTGTACTGAGGTAAGCTTTACCTCTTCGTTTCCTTTCTCTATGGTTGATCAAGGGAACATACAGAAGTGAAGTACACAAGAGCGTAGTGTAGCTCAAGTTAACATACAGAAGTGCAGTGCACTAGTTAGTGTTTTTAGGAGTTTAGAGAGTCCATCAAACCATTAATTTCATATCAATTATAATACTGACACTTTGAAGTTCGTAGCTTTTCTACTACACTGTACAGTGAACTGGTGGTACAAGTAGAGTACAGGTACAGACAGCCTTTTATTGAATATAATATACTGTACAGGGACCACTAGTAGAGTACAGGCACAGCCTCTATTGAATATAATATACGTTGTACAGGGACCAGTAGTAGAGTAGAGGTAAAGCCTGTTGAATAAAATATTGTGAACGGATCAAAAGGAATATTGCTCGAAAGGGCGGAAATGGAGCGGAGGATATGCAACTCGAGGATGACAAATCCTAAGGCGAATAGGCTAGATAAACACTCTATTCTTCATGCATACATAGATGAGAACTTCTTCTTGAAAAAAATATATTTCAGTAACGAGGTTTCCTACAAAATCACAAATTGTTATTGACGTACATGTATGTAAATAATGATTGATAATAAAGATTAAACCAGTTGGGTGTAACTAAATACATGAATATTGTTGTAAACGAACAATTGGTTAAAGAAATATATATCATTGAGAATTGAACAAAGGCTTAAAGGTCCTGTTGTGAATCGGCAAATAAAAGGTTTAAAAGATATTGTTGTGAATTAAACATCAGGAACTTACGATCTAAAATAGTGTAGCACGGGAATAGTTGTTTGGATTGAAGTCTAAAGCAATTTAATCTTCTGAAATAAATATTCATTGGTTAAAAGAATTTCACTGTTTATTCGTAAATGATTCACTGAAATTATGTTTAAATTGGTTCTTTTAATGAACTTTAAGTTTTATTAGCTCCATGAGGCGCTTGTTTACATTTACGCGGAGACCTTGGAAATGTTTGGTTTGGAAAGTGGACGGAGGGTTCAACAGAGGTACAATTTGTCAGAGACGACCTTACAACAGTGTAAATTGAGGGGTATGGTTCACAAATATACGTTGTACAGGGACCACTCGTAGAGCACAGATACAGCCAGCCTATACATGATTCTCTACTAACTGGAGCAAAGTTCTTGGATCCGAATGGCTCAGGTTTTACTTTTAATTATGATAAATATAATAATATTAATCTATATTTACCCCCAAGGTACCCATGGGTTGCCTGTACTTATTTTTACTTAAACTCTTAATTAAATGAATTAAGAACAAATATGTCTATTTAAGAAAGTTTAAAAAAATGTATTTAATCATCTAAAATAAATTGTTTGTAGAAAAAAAATGTTATTAGGTTTATAGGACGTTTTAAAATGTGCAAAAAAAAACATTTCTGACGTAAGCAAAACCTTGCTGCAGTCCTTCAATTATCATACAGGGAATTTTTCATCTTTCTAAATATCCCAGAAAAAATTCTGACACCTTTTTCAAGGAAAAAATCGAATTTAAAAAAACCTTTAATTTTTGAAAAATTATTTTGTAAAAATGGCGAATTTTTTAGTCTATGTTTCCTCAAAAAAATATACGAGCAAAAAGGTTTCATTTTACAGATAATAATAATAATGATATTAATAATATTAATAATAATGATGATATATTTCAGTGTTCTGTGTATCTGTTTACGATTCTACTGAAGTTCCAATTTATCAAATGTAAAATTTAAAAAGATTCCTCTATTTACGGAAATATTTGTGGAAATAAAATTAATTAATGTTATGTAACTAGTTTGTATATACAATATATATATCGTACAGTAAGAACCAAAATAATGTGGAAATGTCGTCTGTGTACTTTCCTTTATTTAAGAATTCTGCAATTATTGTAACTGAGATCTTTCTAAAAATTAGTCAGGGCAATTTTAAAGAAATAGATGGGTAAAATGTTAAAATCCTAAGCTATAAATGATTTACCACTCTTACAATCATATTGGATTGTGTTGAGCTCCAAAATAAGATTTGTTGGCCTCATAAACCAACCAACCCCCCTCTTGGCTCTTAAATTGCTCTTATTATCATTGCAAAAACTGACTCTCCGGGAGGCTGCGTGCCCCTGAATACCAATGCCTCCCCGTCTCAAGTTTTCATAAATATGCTTTATAAATATTTTATTCTGCTAGCCTTATAGGGCGCTTCGCGCCCATCTTCTAAATTAATTGTGAACATGTTCTCTTTGTGTACATCGTAAAACAAAACAAAAATAATTCGCAGATTTTCACAAAAAATTCCGTGGATTTTCAAACTTTCAAAAATTTAATGAAGATCGAATTTTGATGGAGACAAATATTTGAAATTTTGATCATTCATAAACCTTCCCTGTGGTCACGTGATGTCCCACAAAAAATTTGGGCCCGAGCGGTTCAGCCGTTTTGACGTATATTGGATACAAACAAACAAACAGACAGACAAGTCAAATTTCTATATAGATATGTAAAAATATATATTTGATTTGATTTGATTATTTTATTTAAATTCTGCATGTCCCAATTGGTATCCCACAGTATATTTTCTGTGTAACTCTCTGAAGACCTGAGTAGTTTCCTAAAGACATTCATCTGACCTCTGTATCCTATTCAGCTCCCCCACGCCAAGCCAAAACTATTTTGATTTATGGTGCTCATGTAGTTTGATAATTACATGATACACCTATAAAATAATATCAAATTTCTCTATATAAAACTGCAATAGTTATTCACAAGTTAAGGAATTTGTGAAATTTACAAAACAAAAATAGAAGTCTTAATCTCAATTAAAATATACTTTTCAGTACAAATTATTAATGTATCCTTAAAAACTATTTCAAATGTTGAGATTCTTTGAAAAAAGTTTTTTTTGTGGATGTAAGAGTCAAATATCTTTCATCCATGGAGACCATTAAATGCAGGGTGGTGGAGGCTTTGAGATGTAGTAAGTCGAGGTGCAGAGACGGTTCCGTAGGGCTTGGAGGTCATTGTGTCATGTGTTTATTATTGTGTCCTGTGTGTTGAGGGTGGGATCATTTTAAGGGGCTCATGGGGCAGGGCCCCCCTGGAACTCCTAGGGGGGCAAGAGGACTACTGCCCCCCCCCCTGGTACTGGTTCTTGATATGTTCCGCTTGTTCGTTTTTTTGCTAGTTGGGTAAGATTTTACAAATTCACCACAAGAGGAGAAACTTATCCCAACAGGAAATTGGGGAATCTGAGGAATTTTCCCAAAACCAAGGCACTTGTAGACGACATTCACAGTTTCCCTCAGGAAACCAAATTCTTAGACGTCATGAAGTCACGTGACCGGACCGCTCCCAGCACTGCACTGTATAAACGAGGTTGGAAACTTGGAAAGTTTACTATTATCGACAGTGTTCACCACCGTACAGAAAAACATGTCATTTAGTAATTTCATGATTCAGCAATAATATTTCCACGACAATTCAATTGTTTAACAGCGGGTTAAATACATATTTAATTTTCCTATCAGATCCTATCTTTACTCAAACAGACTTCCTCAATATAATGTTGAAATGTAGCGTGGCAGAGTAGTGGCAGTTAATTTTCCCAGAACTGACGACGGATTAAACATCTGGACAGGCTGGAAAGTTTAGTTAGTAAGTAGTTACCTGCCTTGTTGTGAATACAGCTTCAAGAGGTGTTTGATTTTAGTTACGATTGCGTCATTAAGCCAGTTTGGTGTTTACATTAGTCAATGTACTGCACAGACCTTCACACCTTCATATCATTAGTGTACTTCAAAGTACTAGTGCTTAAAGTACTATACTACGTTCGAACTTATAGTATGCATTTTTCATGTCAATGTTTATGTTATTTGCAATATAATCACACTTAGAGGGTTGTGTATTGTGTATTGATCTCATGATATCTTTTGACATTTGAGAATTACAATTTCTGGATTATTCAGGGGCGTATTCACGAGTTTGTCGAGGGGGGGGGGCTTAAACTTTTCTTTACTGGGGGTGGAGGCCCAGCATCCGTTGGGGCCTGAAAACCCCTGAAATCCGTAGATTTCACTGGTCCAGGGGGGGGGGGGCTCCTGAATATATGCCTACATACGATGCTAGATGTTTTAGCAGGAATACTGAAATAATTGTGTTCATGAAAAATGCCGCATGGAAGATTAGATAAAGTCGTCACTGAATTCCCGTGTTTATTTGGACACCCTGTAGAATTTAATTCTGAGCAGGGGTCCGTCCTAGTATACGATTTTTGGACCCCGGCCCCCCCTCCTATCAATTTTGTACATGACCACTTATTTTTCAGCAAATTTATTATTATTTATTTTTTTATTATTTAGGGTTAGGTTAGGTTAAGACACTTTCTGGGTATACTTATTAAAACAGTCAATTTAGATCTAGATATCTTACATGTTAAAATAGTCTTCATCTAGATATCCTACATATTTAAATAGCCAATTTAGATCTAGTTATTCTACATATTGAAATAGCCAATTTAGATCTAGATATCCTACATATTACAATAGCCAATTTAGATTAAGAAATCCTACGTATTAAAATAGCCAAGTTAGATCTTGATATCCTACATATTAAACTATCCTTGAGATCTAGATATCCTACATAATAAATAGCTTTTAAATCTATAAGATATCCTACATATTAAAATTGCTTTTATATCTAGATATCCTACATATTGAAATAGCCTTGAGATGATATCCTAAATATTAGAATATCTGGATAAATAAAAAAAAAATGATAAATCTTTATCCTTCAAAAGAGAATTGTCAATTTGTGTTTAATATTTGAACCTGGGGATACAGGAAATTGTAAGATATCAATGGAATTTATTCCCTATCTCAAGTTGTACGAATTCCCTGGCAATCCCCCCCCCCCATCCTTTCGATAAGCTATTTGGGAGGGGTAAGGACGGGAGAAGAAAGGGGGGGGGGCGAGACTGAATAAAATTTCTGAAAGACTAAGGGGGAGAGGGGCGATATTGAATAAAATCTCTTCTAGGGCTAGGGGGAGGGGGTGAAACAAATGAGAGGCTGGGGGGGGGGTTGGCTTTTCACACCTAAAGAGCATTTAGTATTTCCTGATGTCAAGAAAGGCTTTAATTTCCACCTGTTGGTTATTTTGCCCCCCCCCCCTCCCCTCCATACAATATGGTGTAGAACCCCCTGACTGAATTGGCAGTATTGATTAGTTGTTTAATTATCATAAAAAGAAAGTCCTTCTTGTTTAATAATGCTTTATATATAAAGTAAAATATATAAATACTGTTTATAACCCCACCCCATCCACCCTTGATTTACAGGGTTTTACAGTCATATTTAAATAAAATTGTTTATTTCTTGATCTTTCCAGTTTTGAACTAATGAATAATTGAGTAAATTATCATTTCAATTTTGAATTTTTGGGATTTGAGAGTTAATGGGACTTAAAATAATTAAATCATTTAGTGTATATGAACTTCGGCCCACCCATCCCCATTCAGGGAACTAGAGGAAGAAGGATACCCGCCCCCAATCAAAAGGAAATTTTTTGAAATAATAATATTAATACAAGATTATTAATTTTCAATGAATTTCCACTCTCGTGAAGCAAATCATTATTAATCTTGTTTTTAGTACTTGAGCTTTTTAGAATATTATATATAATAAAACTTTTCAACTTTTTTCAGTTTTTCAGTAATGTTTATGAAAGAGAGAGATAAGAAATTAAAAGCATTTTTAAATCACGTTTTTTATTTAAAATAATTTGGATCTGTAGCCGTAGGTCAATGAGTGAAGTAAGCTTAAGTTTTATTATCATTACGCATATAAAATGTATTATTATGGAAATTGATATCTCCTCTATTTCTTTTTACAGGTAGTAGACTATGTATTGATCCCCTCTCTTCTCGATACAATGATTCTTTAGTCTCTAACCATCCATTATTATAATTTTTCCCTTATCCTGCTTCTTCACCATATCTTTCTTTTTTCTTACATCTTTTCCTACATCTTTGCAACCCAATGTCGTAGACATTTGACATTTCAAACTATGATTTCTATTATACGTTTGAAATATCAAAGGTTTTCGACATTAGGTTCCAAAGATATTGGGATTAAAAAATCAGAGTTTGTGGCAAAGACTCAACTCTTTTCTTTTTCTTTTCTTCACAGAAGTAGTAATTTCTTAAAAATTATTGAAAAAGACGAATATATGAATCAGACTTTATTTTAGTTTTTCTAAATATGCCTTTTTGAATTTTAATAATATCTTTAGATTTTAAAGTAAATATTTATCTAAAATAGTTTCTGTGTAAAGATAGAAAAAAATTAGGTTATCTATGTAAACATTTGATAATCAAATTACTCGAAACTAGAAATGCGGGAAATTTTAGAGTTTTGGAAGATTTTAGCAAGATTAGAAGCTTGTGTAAATTGGAAAATTCTTTTTTAAAGCAAATATTTTTAAACGCATCCGAGTTTGGAGAAATAAGATTTTTTAACAATCCATCTGTATATTAATAGAAAATCCGCGAAATTTGGTTTACAATTACAAAGAAAAATGGCAGCTTGACAACCAAAATTGTAACGCTAAAATTGTTACTGTAAGCCTATTTTATTGAAAATAATTGTACTTTACATACAAAAAAAGTTTATTTAACAAGTTTTTATTTTAAAAGTTTTAGTTGTCCAACAAAATTAAGAATTAAACTTGATAACTAAGAATATACTAAAACTGAGTTAATTTTAAATTTCGACATTTTTTAAAAACCGATGTCCGACATCTAAATTAAAAAAATACGAAGATTATTTTAATTAATATAGAATTGCTCCTCTAACCAATAATTGCCAATCTAGTTATCTGTCTATTTATCTATCTTTTATATAGAATGTCCATATCTAGTTTTCTATCTAGTTTTCTATCTAGTTGTCTATCTTTATATTTTGAATATATTTGCATAAATGACGTGCTCATAGTTAGTGTAATACTAATCCTTGAAGCATATTCATCATTCCCCCTCCCTTTCCCTCCTCCTCCCCCTCCTGCTCTACCCCCTCTCATATTAACACCACCTATCTGATATAATCAACACCCCTTTGCAGAGTGCATATTCTAAACTAATATTTACTAAATACTTCAATTCTAAACACTAAAAAATTTTATTTTAGTTTGAAATATTGCAGGTTTCAATCCTAGATTCAGATTTAACCTCCCACTTAAAAAACTTACCTGATGTGATCAGTAGGTCTGTTTTCCGTAGTTCAGTTTCTATAGCATCACAAAGCGAATGACTCATGATTTCAAAGCTAAAAACTTATGTTGTGAGTCTTAAATCAGAATTTAAAGTTTTCAAACATGTAATTCTTTTGAATTCTAATTTGCCTGTAGGGGAATAAAATGTTCTTTGTCCGTGACTCTCTGCGCTGTATCATCTTTCTCAATGATAAAACTTGTCGCTTGTGTTTTAGATTGTTCCAGCTCCCCCCCCCTTCCCAAACCTTTAAAAAAGCTTTTTAAAAAGTTGTAAAATGAACATTAAAATAGTTTTGAAATGTTAAAACTGAAAAAAAGAAAACTGTAAATTACAATTTACTACATTTTGGTGGTTATTAAAGATAAAATAATATTCTGTTGAATAAAGTAACTTAAGAAGAATAATACAGAAAATTGCGAAACTCTACAAATAATGGGTTATTATACTTAAATTAATTTGCTGTTGACCGTCACCCCACCTCTCACTGCACACAAATTTTAGATTTTATTTCAGCTAGCTGAAGTGCCCGGCGTTGCCCGTGGAATTTTAAAAGCACCCATGGGTTCCTTCAGCCAATCTGGGCCAGCCGTTTGGACAGCTATAATTAACATTTATAAAAATGTATATATGTAAAGAGCTTTATTACATAGATAAACTATATAATGACTAGACTGAAAAAGTAACTATTGAAAAAAAAATTATTATAAAAGGGGGATCCTAAAATAACTCCAAGAGTACTGGGGTAGTGCCCAAATATTTATAAAAAAAAACTTGTGAGTATAACCCTATTTTACTAAACCTTGATACTCCAACCTTATTTTACTAAACCTTGATACTCCAACCTTATTTACTAAACCTTAATACTCCAACCCTATTTTACTAAACCTTGATACTCCAACCCTATTTTACTAAACCTTGATACTCCAAAGCCTAGAAAGGTTCTAATGTGCAAAGAACGGTTAGATGACTTCACGATTAGTTATAATGAATATTAATTCCAACCGTCCAAATATTTTACTGAGTCTGAAACTTTTAAAATTAGAAATTTTTAAACACAATAAAGCGATATAAGAGAAAATGTATAAGAATTGTACTGAACTTCTTCGACTTTTCGAATTTCTAGACTCATTCAATCTAATTCCTAACTATTCCTATGTAGTTGAATTCCCAGTTGTTTCTTCACAATTTAATTCCTATCTGTTCCCATACAATTTAATTCCTATCTGTTCTTATACAATTTAATTCCTATATGTTCTTATACAATTTAATTCCTATCTGTTCCCATACAATTTAATTCCTATCCGCTCTTTTACAATTTAATATATATCTGTTCCCATACAGTTTAATATATATCTGTTCCCATATAATTTAATTTCTATCTGTTCCCATACAATTTAATTCCTATCTGTTCCCATACAATTTAATTTCTATCTGTTCCCATACAATTTAATTCCTATCTGTTCCCATACAATTTAATTCCTATCTGTTCCCATACAATTTAATTCCTATCTGTTCCCATACAATTTAATTCCTATCTGTTCCCATACAATTTAATATATATCTGTTCCCATACAATTTAATTCCTTTCTGTTCTTCTACAATTTAATATCTATCTGTTCTTGTACAATTTAATTCCAATTTCATCCTATACAATTTAATTCCTATCTGTTCCCTTACAATTTAATTCCTATCTGTTCTTATACAATTTAATATATATCTGTTCCCCCCCCCCCTAGTTTTCCAGGGAAGGGAGACGTCCTCCCAATTTTCTGGGTGTCCCCCCCCCTGAAGCCGCCTCTGCTTTACACATCGGCTTTAAACCTTATCAATGCTTGAAACAACCCTTACCTCCCTAATCTCAGTTAACGGTTTAGATTACCACAATGCAATAAGTTCTCATTTGTCTTTCATTTATTTAACATATTCAAAACCCCATACACCAAAATGTTTTTTTTATAATACATCTAGATTTTTCAGAAATAAGTGATAAACAAAACTTACATTTTTATTAAGCTCAATTTTTTATTTGAATCATTCAGATGCTATAAATAAATCTTGTAAAATGTACAGTGTACATTGTACAGTGTACAGAAGGTTATTACGTACAAAAAGTTTGTTTGTTTAGGGTTTACATTAAGCCTTTGTTTGACTTGTTTCTTTATCCCAAAATAGGTAAACAAATAATTATCTATCTATCTATCTATCTATCTAAATATATATATCTATCTAAATATATATATCTATCTATCCAAATATCTATCAAATATCTATCTTTCTATCCAACCATCCATTGTTTTCTTTCCAGCAAAATTCTGTGTTTAGTATTTCTTAACAAAAATTATGACTCCTTATAAAAAATATGAATTATAATGGTTTCGTTGATTTCAATATAAATTTAATATTTTTGTTTTCCTCGTATAAGATTATACACTAATATTTCACCGAAAAGTAAAATATTTCTCTAGTTGCGGTAATTCAATTTTTTAAATTTTTTCTAAGCTCACTCAAATTGTCACTTTTGACATATTTCATCATGTTTTGCAAAAAATAATCATAAAAGGTACGTTAGAATAGTAATACTTTAAAATCAGGAAGAATTTGATTTTTATGAAAATAAAAAAAATTAATGATACATAACAATAATAAAAAAAGTTAATACTATGATAATAAGAGCTCAATGATAACAATGATGATAATAATATAAAAACCCTGTCACATGACCAGCAATTTCTACCAAGGTATGCCTAGAGATGATTGTGTATGGTAATGTATAGAGAAAGTTGGCAAGTCTAATATAAATACATGTAGTCTTATTAATAAACACATGTAGGAATAGTTTTACAATAATTCAGGGGGAGGGGGGTACAAAACAGTAACATTTTATCAATTATTTTTCCAGATTTTCAATGAAAAGTTTTGTTGAATGAATATTTATTTTTCTCTTCTGATTTTAATAAAAATAAATAAAATAATATTACTGTAGTGCAAAGCTATTGGAAGTATTGAACCCTCCCATTGCATGTCAGGTTTTTGTCAAATATTTGAATTAATTTTGCGGCAAAAAATTTAGTTCAAACGTTGAATGCTTTTTTATTTATTTTTTTTACTTACTGTAATTTTGTATGTTTCAGTTTTAAGAAATATCTGAAGATGTTTTGTTTATATAGCTTAATATCAATATATCAACTTTGATCTAGATATCAAGAGAAAGATAGATAGATAGATAGATTGATAAGTAGATAGATAGATAGACAAGACAAAGAAAATTCTATTTATTTCAGCATAAAACTAAATTATCTTCTAGATTTGCTTAAATATAAAGCCAGAGTATAACTCCAGACCATAAGAAGTAAATAAAGAAAATGTAAACATAAACAAACTTCACTCGGGGGGGGGGGGGGATTTTATTTATCTGCATAACGTAATGTTTATATTTGAATGTTAAATATACCCGCATTGCATAAAGGCAGTCCTGGGCCTAGAAACACCCATTTTGTGCCAAAATAACATTAAAAATGTTAGATGCAAGGTTTTAAAATATCCTAAATTCTTGAAATCCCAGCAGGAAGTAGCCAAAGATTATTTTTAAATTGTTTTTAATTTCAGAATTAGTTGCTGAGTATAGAATGAAGAGAATTTTCTCGACCTATAGCTGTACTGTAGTGTAAGTGTACTGCACCGGTGTACAAGTTACCGAAGATAAACACGTGATCTCAGAAAAGTTTCCGAAACTCCGCAAAGCAGTCTCAAGATTGCGAAAATGCGGGAGAGCAGAATGAGTCTGAATATTTGCACAAATAACAATGTGGTCATTGACCACGGAACATACAATACAAAGGTGAAGTTTTCTCTAAATATGCTGTATGTGTTTTTTAAGTGTGTATTAGAATTTATTCGGAAATTTGTTTTCTGACGAAATTTTTTATATACGTCTTTCGATCTTTAACCAAATATTAATAAATATTTCAACGAAAAAGTTTAGAAAGAAACTGAACATTGGCCACAAACCTGACGGCGTGAATCTTGAAAAAAATTGTTAACTTCAGTTTTTTGACCTGTAAGTAGACTTTAAAGTTTGAAATATCAATGATAAAAGACATCTGATTTCTAAGATTTTAAAAATTGGAATTTGCGGCCAGTGTTAAGATTTCTATTTTAGTAAAAGCAAGAAAAATCATGTACACGGAAAAAACATCATGAAAAGATTTTCCTCTCTCAGTAAATCTAGTTTGATTAAACCCCTGAAACTCGAGCTCGATTATATCCTAAAAGGTTGCCAAACATCGTAATTTAATCAGAAACCTGAAGGCTGTCCTAAAAACAACAACGTCAAATTCAAGGAGAAGTACAGGGTTACCCACAAAAGATGAGACTACTATGGAATGTCGACTGTCTGTTTCCTTATATTCAGGATTCTCTGCTACTTTAACTTTGTTTGTATATTAGCCAAATCATTAAATAAGCAATTTAATTAAGATATTTAAGGCAGAAGACTTAATTTAACCTTGGGTCGTCATTTTATAAGAGTATCCGTCTTGACAGTCTCATCCCTTGTGGATAAACCCTGTATGTCCAAAAGTTAGGTACACACGCAGTTAATGAAACCTTCAGGAATATTTATCGGTAGGTTTACAGTTTAATCACAATCCAAGAGAAAAATATAATTTATTTTTTTTATATTCATATTTTATATTTATCACTAACAAAAATTAGGAAAAATTTCCATCCCATTACCTCTAATCTTCCAGTTTTCTTATCTAACTATTATATCTCTATTTCTTCTTACAGCTATACAAACTAACTGCTCATAGAGTATACAGAAGCACAGCATTGATACTATTGTCTGTTTCTCCTTGTTTACTTGTAATTTATCTAAAGCTTGTTAGAAATCAAAACTTTAATAGAAAGGTCGTCTTCGAATGTATACAAAATCAGTTTGCAAAGATTTAGGAATTAGGATTTTTCAGTTAGTGACAAAAACTCAGTTCCTGTACAAAAGCAAGTATATCTAAGTTCATTCATTTGTCGTTCAGTTGTTCGTTTTTCAAAATCTTCATTAGTTTCAACTATTCGTTTGTCTAAAAACGACGGTTTTTTTGACAGTTTTTAAAATCGATGTCTTTCCCTACATACATATAGTAGTTAATTTCAGGCTGGGTTTTCAACACAAGATTCACCCTCAACTATCCTGCCTACATATATATATAGTAGTTAATTTCAGGCTGGGTTTTCAACACAAGATACACCCTACATATATATATAGTAGTTAATTTCAGGCTGGGTTTTCAACACAAGATTCACCCTACATATATATATAGTAGTTAATTTCAGGCTGGGTTTTCAACACAAGATTCACCCTCTACTATCCTGCCTACAATCATTGGACATGGAAGACATAAGGTGAAATAGAAAAAATACAATAATTCAAAATTTCAACAAGATTACGAAAACGATACAAATAAACTAAATCTTTGTATAAATTGTAAGGGGGGAACGTGACACGTGCCCTCCCTCTCCCTTTTACGATCAAATTTGTTGTGAAAAAAGTTCTTTTTCACTGTGTATCTCCGTCTTCCCTGCGTCCCCCCCCCCTTTTTTTAACACTTCCAGTTACAAACTTACGAAGACGAAGGCAATTTACTTGTTCATTTAAAAAATATTTTCCATAGGCTCTTTAATAAGAATGCCTAACTAAATGCGTTACAGAAAATATGGTTTTAAAAATCAGAGATTTTATTTTTGTGTCTTATTATCGTAAAGTCTTCTCACCTGTCTTTCCAGATTTTGTAATAGCCAATTCGAGATTGGCGTGTGGTTGTAGGACAATTGTAGAGGACATCTTTAAACTTCTGATTTGATAATATTATTTTATCATTTTTCTATTCAACATTCTAGGGAATTTAGGGCCAGAATAACATCAACAAAAATAGCCGTTCTATAGAATCATTATACCCCACTAAAGGACATCTATGAGGGGGACAGAAGTGACTTTATCCCCCCCCCCCTGTCTAGAACTTTGGGTTTACGAAATCCTTCAAAGTACGAAACTTTGTTTTGCTCAGTCCATGGTAATTTATTACATCTCAGTTTCCTTGAGCAGTAGACATGTTTAATCAAATATTTATTTTAATTAAACTTAGTTTTGGAATTAATTAATTCGATTACTAATTTCTTAAAACATTTTTCATTTAGAGCATATGGAGAGGGGGGGGGCTTAATAGCCTTTTTATAAAAAGTATAATCAAAGTTTATTTTTATACATATTGTTTCGAATCCGAGACGTAACTCGTTTTTGATTGTTAGTCCTGAGGGGCACTTGTTCATGGTGTGAATTTTCCCAGAGAAATCTTTGTTTCATGTTTACTTGCAAAATATTTCAGAAATATTGTTTCATTCAAAATATTTCAAAAATATAGTTCCATTGCAAAATATTTCAGGAATATTGTTTCATTGCAAAATATTTCAGAAATATTGTTTCATTGCAAAATATTTCAGAAATATTGTTTCATTGCAAAATATTTCAGAAATATTGTTTTATTGCAAAATATTTCAGAAATATAGTTTTATTGCAAAAAAAAATCAAAAATATTGTTTAATTTCAAATATTTCAGAAATATTGTTTAACTGCGAAAAAACACTTACACTCTCAGTACGAAAGTGTACACTGTACACTGTACAGTACACGGCCGGTAAAAACTTAAAGTTACGGTTAAAGACTAAAGAGGCTGATAACGTGATTTTCAGTGAATCTCCTGTATAGAGGTTCATTCCGATTCACAATTCTTAAAATCCTCGTCTCATCAAGATGACTGAGATATTCTTATTCTTAACTAAAAACTGATTATTTTTAATTGAGTTTTTTTGTGTTAGTGATTTTTTTTATATAAAGTGCAGAGCCTAAGAAAGACTTGTGAGAATATTCTACTGTTCAAGATAGAAAAACTAAACATACATATATTTAAAATTGATATCGTTCACATTGTTTATTATAGGACATTAATGTTTGGTATATATAAAATATATATACATTTATATATTTGTAACATAAAACAGATCAAGTAATGGATATCTACCATTTACAAAAGTATTAATGTTTAATATCTAATTAATGAATGTGTAATAAAGAATTATAGAAAATAGTATTTTTATCCAGCATTTTTTTAAATCAAGAGCTTTCTGGATGAAACTGATTGGTTGACTTTTTATTAGTCGTTTTTTCGATCTAAAATTTAGAATTAGAAAGGTATACGTCATACGATCAAATTTCACCTTTTTGAAATATTTTAGAAAAAAAGAAATTCTGGAAATTCATATTTTGTTTGGTTTGTGAATACTCTTGAATTTATTTTGTTCTGGAACTTTCTCTGATTGGTTGGGCTGATAAGATTTATTTGTTATTTTAAGGATGCTGGTTCGGATTAGATTTAATATACTAATTGGTTAAAATTGAAGCTTTAGTTTTTCTCTTGGTTAATACTGTTTGGTTAAACAGTATTGGGGGTCGTTTTGCTTTGTTTTTCTTAAAGGGGTTGGTTTGATTATTTGTTTTGGTTTGGTTTAGCGGTATTTTTGTTTTTTATTTTGTTGATGTTTTTTCTTTGTACTTTATTGAAAAGGCCGGGCTGGCCTGTAATGACTGATTATAAGGTTGCGTGAGAAAATATAATTCTTCACCTACCGCCAACATTTCTAATAAAAATAGATGAAAACCTTAGAAAAGAAAATCATTCAGAAATACATTTTCGCACGAAGGGAACAATCAGGATACAACAAAACAATTGTTTTCATAAAAAAATCAAGAAGATGAATTTTAAGTGTTACTGTCGTGGATTACAGTTTTCAAAGTTAAATGTTGAGTTAAGGAGAGAGTTAGTTCAACTTAACAGGAGATTATTACTGGGACGACGTTTTGATCTCGTATGTACAAATCTAATTTATCCTTTTATTCAAAACATTTTAGGTCTTCTTAAGAACTCTTCAATAAGAGGAGTTATGATTGATAACATATAAAATATTTATCTCACGGTGAAATTTACTTTAGTTTGACGTGACTCATTTAAAACAATTTAGTTTTTCAGTTAATACAAGAATTACAGCTAAGATTAAAGGAATTGAGTATTTGCCACAAAATCAAAATTTCTAATCTCCAATTGTCTTTTCAACCTGATAGAATAAACCTTGGATATTTCAAGCTTATGTTATTGGATCTAACAGTGGCAAAGACTCAATTTCTATTTAAAATGTAAAACAAAAACAAAAATATGATTATTTTGTAGGGCGCTATGCAATCTCTAGGCCTGAAGGAAACATATGTAGGATCTCAAGCACAGGTATCATTATTATTATTATGATTATTTTTATGATTATTATAATTATTATGATTATTATGATTATTATTATAATTTTCATAATTATTATTGATATCATTAATATCATCAATGGTATCATTATTTTCAATAAAATTATTATTATCAATGATATCATTCTAAAGTATTATTATGAATTATTATATTGGGTTTAATCCTCCAATGTTTAAGAATATCAAAGCTCGGGTAAATGCCTCCAATTGTACAGTTAAATATTTGGCTGAGTAAGTCTAAAATATCAATGGTTAAAAATTAAAGGTTTGCTTCAGCAGATTTAGGAATTTAAAAAAAGGGTTTGTAGTAGAGTTCAGTTCCTTTCATTTCGAAAATAACATTCTTTCTCAAATTGTTGATTATTTACTTGTGGATTTTTTGTAATTTTATGATATTTATTTTTTATTATTAAGGCACTCAGAGGGATCCTTGCTATCTCTCAACCAATAAAGCAGGGTGTTGTACAAAACTGGGACGATTTAGAGGTAAACAATTCAAGAAAATTTTTAAGTTTTTAAAGTTTTCTTATCTTATAAAATAATGGTTTTTAATTGGTTCAGGCAATCTGGGAGCATATTTGGTCCAGAGAACTTCAAGCCGTTCCTTCAGATATACCAGCCTTACTCACACATCCTCCATCCTCTACAGGTAGATATACCAGCCTTACTCACTTTCCTCCATCCTCTACAGGTAGATATACCAGCCCTACTCACACATCCTTCATCCTCTACAGGTAGATATACCAGCCTTACTCACACATCCTCCATCCTCTACAGGTAGATATACCAGCCCTACTCACACATCCTCCATCCTCTACAGGTAGATATACCAGTTTACTCACACATCCTCCATCCTCTACAGGTAGATATACCAGCCCTACTCACACATCCTCCATCCTCTACAGGTAGATATACCAGCCCTACTCACACATCCTCCATCCTCTACAGGTAGATATACCAGCCCTACTCACACATCCTCCATCCTCTACAGGTAGATATCCCAGCCATACTCACACATCCTCCATCCTCTACAGATAGATATACCAGCTCTACTCACACATCCTCCATCCTCTACAGGTAGATATACCAGTCCACCATCCTCTACAGGAAGATATACTACTACTAGTCCTCCATCCTTTACAGGTAGATATACCAGTCCTCCATCCTCTACTGGTAGATATACTAGTCCTCCATCACTTTTAAAGATGTTTGGAAAAAAAAGAAAAATTTGACATCAAAAACCAAGTTTTTCATCCTGTTTAATACATTTTACCCAAAGATTTATTTATGTTTCCTTAAGAAAATTTTCCCCCACAATTCAGCAAATAAAATCAAAATTACATACCCAACTACTAGAGCAACGAAATAATTTTCAAAAGGGGGGATGACTTTCAAGAGAATATACACCCCTGGTTAAAATGCAAGCTTTAATTTACTTTTAAAAAAATTTAGAATTTTTAAATTTTCTAAAGAAAACTTTTAAATTTTGTTTAACATTTTGTGCTTTAAAAGTGCATTTAATACATTTGAATTTTTTTGCATATATTTACAATGTTTCTTCCCCCCCCCCCGTACCTATCCCCCAGTTTGTCTGAATAATCTTAAATTCTTGTTGAAATATGTAAATACATATTAAATTATTGCTTTACTTGATATTCATGAAATTAATTTTCAAATTAAATTTTATTAGACCGTTAAATAATAAATATGTCTTCTCCTAATCCCCGATAAATGTTTAATTTAAAAGCTATGCAACATTTTTTATAAATATTTTGATAATTCGGATACTCAGGGCAAATTTTTTCATTTTTGAGCACTGTCGTAAATTGTCTTTAAAAATAACTCTAATTTTAATCAACCTACTTTTGTATTTTTTTCTATTCTATTTATTGTATATTTGTATTGTATGTGAATTGAACAAGATGTATTGTATATTTGTATTGTAGGTGAATGGAACAAGATGTATTGTATATTTGTATTGTAGGTGAATGGAACAAGATGTATTGTATATTTTATGATTTATTGATTAATATGTATATATATATATATGTATATAATATATATAGATTTGTTAATCAATGTATAGATTGATCTATTTCACGCCCCATCGGTGTACATTGTACATTTGAATATCCCTGCTGGACCAACCTTTGCAGTCCTTTCTTGGACTGTACCGCCAATTTACAATTACTAAAGCGGCAGAGGAGTGTGATTTATCAAAATATAGATATATAGATCTTATGATCAATAAATAGATCATTCTATTGATCAACATAAAGATGTACAGATTTATAGATCAAAATAACTATATATAATTATAGATTAAAATATAAATATTTAGATCATTGATCAAATAGATAGATCCATTGATCAATTTATTGAGTATGACCAATCAGTTTATTTTGTTTAGGAAGCTACCCTTACACTGAGACTGGGCGGTAAACAGGTACGGCTGTTTTTATAATTAAAAATGTATAAAATATTATGAAATATGAATGATCGGACAAGGATTGCTGTAATTCTCCTGGAAAGGAATTGAGGCCCTTCCACGAATTCGGATTTTCTCCTCCCTATATCTTTGAAACGCAATATTTTTTGTATTTTGTCATCACCTTGTACAGATTTAAGGATGAGAAAATTTGAGTTTGTGACAAAGGCTCATTTCTAGTATCAATTCATACTGAATAGTGAATATGTCAATGAAATCAACAGAAGATGACTTAAATATTTCTTGTGAAGAAGTAATTTTATATTGACCTGCACTCATCATATATGTACATTGTACAAATACTCCGGGAAAGATCCACATTGTTACCATTTTTATGAAGTTTAGCTGGAAAAAATGTCGCAATTGTTGGCCATTTTTCTGCTTGTTTTTGTTGTAAGATTCAACGTTAGGTCTTTAAAAATGTCATTGCTGATGGGTTCAGATATTTAGAAAGCCGATTATTTTTTCATCATTAGCGCATAAAAAATCTTAAATTGTAGAAACTTAAGAGTTGTCTTGAAGTTTAATTTATCTGATTCATTCCTCTAGGTTACATAACAGCGGATGAATTGGCTGATTTATTCCTTTAGGTTACAGAACAGCTGATACATTCTTAAGGTTACAGAACAGCGGATTAATTGGCTGATTTATTCCTTTAGGTTACAGAACAGCTGATACATTCTTAAGGTTACAGAACAGCGGATTAATTGGCTGATTTATTCCTCTAGGTTTCCGAACAGCTAATATATTCTTCGAGATTACAGAACAGCTGAAATATCCCTTTAGGTTACAGAACAGCAGATTAATCAGCTGATCAATATATTCTTTAGGTTACTGAAAAGCTGATAAACCAGCTGATTTATTCCTTTAGGTTATGGAACAGCTGATGAATCTGCTGATATATTCTCCAGGTTACCAACCAGCTGATGAATCAGCAAACATATTCACTAGGTTTCAGAACAGCTGATTAATCAACTAATATATTCTCTAGGTTACAGAACAGCTTATTAATCAGCTAATATATTATCTAGGTTACCGAACAGCTGATGAACCAGCTGATCAACGGAAAATATTCTTTCCCAGATGATAATTTTCTTCTCTGGAGAAAAAAGAAGAAAACAAAGTTCACAGTTTCATCAAAAAAGGAAATTATCAGGGAAATGAAGGTATATAAAATAAAGTTTAAAAAAAAAAAAATTATAAAAAAGAACAAAAATTACAGAAATCGACTAAGTTTACCATTTCGGTGTGATCCTTGGGGAACCATTTAGGAGGAGCATCATGTGTATCAAGGAGCCTCGGAGGAGAGAAGGGGGGGGGATCGGAGGAGAGAAGGTGGGGGGGGGGAATGAATGTGAGGAAAGAGTGATTGAAATGATTGATTGAGAGAAAGTAAAAAAAGTTTGTAAAGGTCAATTGAGTAATTGTGGTGAAAAACTGAGTGAAAACAGATTTAACAGAATTTAGCTTGATTTTCATCGAGTTACTAGCATGGCGAGAGTAGGCTGTAGTACTCAACATTAAGTTACTAGCATGCCTAGAGCTTGGTAAAATTAAGAGTAAGCATTTGGGATTTATACGCAAAACCTGACGCCTTAATTGGTTTAATTAACAAGCCACATAGTGTCGTCTTTCCTATTTTTAACTTTAAAAATGGACTTTAATTAGGTTTTACAATATTTTTAAATATTAATATGATATCAGATAAAATTATTTTGAGATCCCTATATTTCCCGATCTTTACTTTCTTCCTGTTCAGACATCATTCAATCATATTTCGGCTAATTTTGAAAAAAAATATTGGGATATCCTTGTAGTTCACCACATCACAAAAAAGAATTATTATTAGAGGATCTTTTTTTTCTGAACTCTGTATCTAATTGAACTGGCTACTCAACATCAAGTTAAAAGCATGTCAAAAGTAGGCTATAGTACTCAACATCGATTTAAAGCATACATAAGGTTGTTTATTACTCAACATCTATGTTCTTTGGTTATTCCTGCAACGAAAAACGCAGACGACAATATTTTTCCTTCTAATGTTTTATATTTTTTGTAATGGTTTCCATTGTATAAGGATTGCTTTGAGAGAGAAAAATGGAATTTTATAAGTTTAGAATATCAAGTGTGGTCAATTTTTAGAGCAAGGGGGGGGGGAGTTTGATCGTTGAATTTCATGCCTCTCAGTTTTGAGCACATGCTTAAACACGTTAAAGCAATCCTTGTCTCTCCAAGCTAGTGTAAATAAACACCTTCTAAAATAAACCAATAAGATTTAAACAAATACTTAACTCTTTACAAGGTTCCAGACTACAGAGTGGAACAGGGGGGAAATATCCGGGAAAGGAAAAGAATATAAAAATTTAATTAAGATGTTAATGAAATGAAATTTACTAAATAATTAGAATTTTTGAAAACTCATTTAAATTCATAGTTGTAGTATTTAATTAATTAAATTAACATTAAAAAAAAAGAAATTAAACGATTTTTTATTTTTAGGAGCAGTACTGTCATATTAGCACAACATATGATCAGGTAAAATAAGCAAATTTTGAAGATGTTTTTTTAAATCGTGTTTTGCAAGGATTCATATTTATTAATTTATTTACAGTGGTTATATGATTTGAAGAATTATCTCCGGGGTGAGGGTTGGGGGGTGGGGGGGGGGATGAATTTTGACACATTTTTGAGCGATGTTGGAAGAAATCAGATAACTAAACCTCAACTAGCAAGATTCCCCCCCCCATCAGCCTTCTTATATTTTTTCTCAAAAAAAAATCATTTATTTTTTCCCTGATAAGCGAAAATATGTGTTATTTTTTCCTAAACTAGTACCTTGTGCAAATATAGAAATTTTTTTTTTATGTTGTAATTGTGTAAGTTGTTTAATTTGTGAAATGTTTTTCATAAAATTGTCAATCCATAAATTATCTATCTATTGTGTTTTTGTGACTTGTTTGTCCTTGAATTGTCTAACTTTAAATTACTTAAAAACATGTCTGTATATTTGAATATCCCACCATGTCTGTATATTCGAATGTCCCAACATGTCTGTATATTTGAATGTCCCAACATGTCTGTATATTTGAACGTACCAACATGTCTGTATATTTGAATGTTCCAACATGTCTGTATATTTGAATGTCCCGACATTTCTGTATATATGAATATCCCAACATGTCTGTATATTTGAATATCCCAACATGTCTGTATATTTGAATGTCCCAACATGTCTGTATATTTGAATGTTCCAACATGTCTTTATATTTGAATGTCCCAACATGTCTGTATATTTGAATATCCCAACATGTCTGTATATTTGAATGTGCCAACATGTCTGTATATTTGAATATCCCAACATTTCTGTATATTTGAATGTCCCAACATGTCTGTATATTTGAATATCCCAACATGTCTGTATATTTGAATATCCCACCATGTCTGTATATTTGAATGTCCCAACATGTCTGTATATTTGAATATCCCAACATGTCTATAAATTTGTATGTACCAACATGTCTGTATGTTTGAATGTCCCAACATGTCTATATATTTGTATGTACCAACATGTCTGTATATTTGTATGTACCAACATGTTTGTATATTTGTATGTACCAACATGTCTGTATATTTGAATTTCCCAACATGTCTGTATATTTGAATGTCCCAACATGTTTGTATATTTGTATGTACCAACATGTCTGTATATTTGAATTTCCCAACATGTCTTTATATTTGAATGTCCCAACTTGTCTGTATATTTGAATATCCCACCATGTCTGTATATTTGAATGTGCCAACATGTCTGTATATTTGTATGTACCAACATGTCTGTATGTTTGAATGTCCCAACATGTCTGTATATTTGAATATCCCAACATGTCTGTATATTTGAATATCCCACCATGTCTGTATATTTGAATATCCCAACATGTCTGTATATTTGAATATCCCAACATGTCTGTATATTTGAATATCCCAACATGTCTGTATATTTGAATGTCCCAACATGTCTGTATATTTTAATATCCCACCATGTCTGTATATTTGAATGTTCCAACATATCTGTATATTTGAATATCCCACCATGTCTGTATATTTGAATGTGCCAACATGTCTGTATATTTGAATATCCCAACATGTCTGTATATTTACAGAGTATGAGCGAGGAAGGATATACAGAGGAGAGTATACGGTTACCAGACGGGAATATGATTGTTATCGGAAAGGAAGCTATTTCAGCACCAGAAATCATGTTTCAGGTGCAGTAAACAAGTTTTTCTCATAGTTGGTCAAAGAGTTGTGAACTGAAATAAACAAGATTGAATTAGTCTCAAGGGGATATTATGCACCGCCCCCTCCTTTTAGAAGTAAAAAATAGAAAATATCTTTTTCAAGGTCTTCAAAAATCATTTTAAAGCACAAGCTAAACCATAACAGATATGACTTGTTTTTAACAATTATTTTATTTGATATTTTCCCACTGTGAAAATAGTTTGGGAGTCCTTTAATGTTAATTTTGTATATTAAAAATACCATTGGAATTGTTGTTGTAGATGTTGATAATTATTGTTGTTGTAATGCTAAAGCGAGGCATAGCTCCAATTTGGTCGTGTGAATAGGAACTTCACAAATGACCAAATCAAGAGTTAATTTAACGGTTACATTAAAAAAAAGTTCGGACCGAAAAAACAAGGATATGGAATTTACTTCATCATCTAATCCACTACTGGAGTCTAATGTCATCCCGACCCCATGTCATTTGATTTGATTTGATTTGTGTTTTGATGATTCGATTCGATTCGATTCGATTCGATTCAATTCAATTCAATTCAATTCAATTCAATTCAATTCGATTCGATTTGATTTGATTTGATTTGATTTGATTTGATTTGATTTGATTTTAGCCTGAGTTAGCTGGTAAGAAGAGCTGCGGTGTACATGAGTTAATATACTATTCTCTCATGAAATGTGACGAGAAGCTTAGACCAGAGCTTTTATCCAATATTACACTGTCCGGTGGGAATACAAAGGTATTTATCCATCTACTTTTTGCATATGGTCGTCCGAGTAGGCGAGTACGATGAAACACGACCCCTGTCGGCGAAAACAATTAGAAAGCATAGTAAATTAAGATTATGTGATGATAAACAATCTGCGGCAGATTCCCTATTTTAAACTATAGTACTAGATTATATAGATTATTATGTAGATTATATGTCCCCTTTTTAGCCTAGTTCTAGTTCAAGGGCTATATATCATAATGGCATTGATTCTTACCTATAAAATATTAGGTTTTTAAAACTGTTGTTTGATTTACAACCAATTACCGAATAATATTTTAGCCTAGTTCTAGTTCAAGGGCTGTATATTATAATGGCATTGATTCTTACCTATGAAATATTAGGTTTTAAAACTGTTGTTTGATTTACAACCAATTACCGAATAATATTTTAGCCTAGTTCTAGTTCAAGGGCTGTATATTATAATGGCATTGATTCTTACCTATGAAATGTTAGGTTTTAAAACTGTTGTTTGATTTACAACAAATTACCGAATAATTTCGAAACATTTTTTTCACTATGCGGAATGTTTGAAATAAGACAAATTTTTGAAATAGGAAAAGTTTTTGGGAATCAGGATCTACAATTAAAAAATTGTCATTTTCTAAATGTTTAAAAATTAGAATCTTAAATTGAAATTAAAAGAAAACCAAATTTTGTTATTTTATTGACCACTTCACATAGACTGAATGATTTGCACTTTAAAAACGATGTTTTACCGTTAAAATATAAATCAAATGATGTTCTTATTCACCTAATTTATTTTATAAAGTTTACTTAAAACTATAAAAAAAATTAGAAATTGAGATGGATAGTCTAGGGAACATACTGTATTAATGTACTCTACTGCATATGACTTGTGAACATTTTCATGATTTGTACACTTTGAACTCCCTTTCAGGCTGAAAGGGACGGACAAAATTCATACCGAGGGATTATTTAAATTCCCTTCTATTCATATTCTCTGTTCTGTGGCTACAATATTGTATTTAGTTCCCTGGGTTTGAGAAGAGGATCTATCAGGAGCTCACCAAACTTCTACCAGACAAAACTAGTGTCCGGGTCAGAGCTTTACCAAACAGAGAGCTTCTAGGATGGGTTGGAGGCGCCAGGTAAACATCTAGGATAGTTGGGAGGCGCCAGGTAAACTTATAGGATAGGAGGCACCAGGTAAACTTATAGGACGGGTAGGTTGCGCCAGTTAAACTTCTAGGATGGGTAGGTAGCGCCAGGTAAGCTTCTAGGAAGTGTGGCGCCAGGGAAACTAATCCTGATGGAATCTACCCCTACCAAATAAACGCATATTCTTAGTTTAGTCTAAATAAAAAAGCCAAGGGTTGGGCGTGATGGTGTAGTTACTAATAATAAATATTGATTATAGATCTGATAAGTTTACACATTCTAATACTTTGCTTTATTGCAGGTTGAGTAACCTCAGTTCCTTCCAGAGATTTTGGGTTACCAAGGTACGTTTTCCAAAGTTAATTTTTAATTTTTTTCTTTTTGTTTCTTTTAGTATTTTTATTCAAGGAAGACATTTAATCCTAGCAATTTTTATAAATTTGGGATGAGAATTTTTGTTATTTTTGTTATTATTATTATTATTATTATTATTATTATTATTATTATTATTATTATTATCTAGGGAGATTACAGTGAGAACGGAGAATCAGTTTTCCAGCAGCAGGAGTCTCCAGCTGGATTATTTGATACGAAAAACGGGAATGTTCCGACTCCTGTTCCAAGCATTAACTAAGAACAGGAACGATTCTTCAGGTGTTTCCAGCTTCAACCAAGAACTGGAACGGTCCTAATCGTGTTTTAACCTAAACCAAGAACTGGAACGGTCCTATTCTTGATTTTTACCTGAACCAAGAACTGGAACTTCCCCAGCATATAAACCGCCTGCGAAACAGTCCTTTGTTTCTTGAAAAGAAAATTTCGCAAGAATGAAGAAGAGAAATTTTTGATTACTTCAGATTGAAATTAAGTTTTTTAATTATATTTATAAATTTTCTGGTTTCTGACCGAGATGAAGGTTATAGACTGAATTCAGAAAAAAATAGTTTTTGGGCGGAAAAAGGAATTTATTTTTAACTTATCCATGTCAGACCGTAACATTTAGTCTTATATCAGTGCTTTGTTGATTTTCAGCTCATTTCTCAAATATAGAAAAAAAATTAAATTTAAAAACTAGTTGAAAAATTTTGGCTGTCTTGTCAAATTTTAAATTAAACTCTTTGCTGAAAGATTATTTTGAATAAGAATATAAATAATTAATTTCTTGGTTTAATCTGCACTGGTTTCAACAGTGGAATTTGATTACAAATTGAATTATTGTCTTTTAACTTCTTTTAACAAATTTAAATTTTAAAACTTATTTATCTCTTCATTTGATATTGGTTATCACTTTATCAAAAATGAAACTATCGTAGTCTAAAAATAACAGCGATTACTAGCATTTCTAGAAAATTTATTAAAAGGTTGAAATTTGACCCGCTACGGGGTTATTGGTCCAATATGTTGATGTGCTAGCAACATGATATATTTGTGTTTGCTATGATATAAATAGCTAGCAACATGATAAATTTGTGTCTGCTATGATATAAACAGTTAGCAACATGATATATTTGTGTTTGCTATGATATAAACAGCTAGCAACATGATATATTTGTGTCTGCTATGATATAAACAGTTAGCAACATGTTATATTTGTGTTTGCTATGATATAAACAGCTAGCAACATGATATATTTGTGTTTGCTATGATATAAACAGTTATCAACATGATATATTTGTGTCTGCTATGATATAAACAGTTGGCAACATGATATATTTGTGTCTGCTATGATATAAACAGTTAGCAACATGATATATTTGTGTCTGCTATGATATAAACAGCTAGCAACATGATATATTTGTGTTTGCTATGATATAAACAGTTAGCAACATGATATATTTGTGTCTGCTATGATATGAACAGCTAGCAACATGATATATTTGTGTCTGCTATGTTATAAACTGCTAGCAAGATGATATATTTGTGTCTGCTATTTTATAAACAGCTAGCAACATGATATATTTGTGTCTGCTATGTTGCTACTAACAACATTATATATTTGTGTCCGCTATGTTATAAACTGCTTTGCAATAATTTCCAATGTTAAAATGTGCCTTTTCTACTTGTTGCTGACAAATGTCTTTCTTTCTTCAAAGCTATTGGATTATTCTGCTCGCGTTACATGATTACTTTAATTAATGGATAAATTTGCATTTTATTCAGATTATTTAAAATTACTGAGATCTGGAAGTCATGAAAACTCTGTAATTCTTTGTCCTCTTTGGAGTAAGATTTGAGTTTTTAATTTTCTTGATAGTTTTCAGCTGGAGGCTCATTGTTTTTGGGGATTTTAACGATATTATGCCTTGTATACAGGGTGTCCCACTAAACATGATGGTTGGTTAATATATCAGGTTGTATCAGAATATTATACCAATCTCAGATTTTATCGTTCATTAAATCTGTAAATTATATAAAGTACTATGAATTAGTTTTATTGAAATGACAAAACGACCTAGAACAATTAAATTGCGATAAAAGCCGCACCCAACTTTTTATAATAGAGCTTTGTATTATTTTGGTTTGTCTGCGGTTTGGCACACTTCTACAAAATATAAAAACATTCGAAACTGCACTCATTTTTAGTAGGACTCCCTGTATTCATTGGGTTCGCTTCTAATCACTGTGTTCGAATGAAGATGTCCCATAATAGCTATAAACAGTCTACGAAAAACCGCCATTAAACTTACAATCTTATTGATTGTATTCCCTGTGAGTCCGTGCTATCATGTCAAATTATACACACACAAAAAATTATATTGCTCCAGTAAACCGAGTTAGTATGATTATAATACAAATTAACCAATCTTACACAAATATTTTACCATATTTTATTTGCCATAAAACTGGTTTTGTCCACAGTGCGAGGCGTGAAGAGCTAAACCATGATTAAAACGCCATTTTTAATGTTTGCTTTCTATGTTATATGTAGACTCATTTAAATATATTTATCAAATAAATTTATGAATTTATTATTTTCATTAGTTGAATTATGAACATTTTGTACTTTACTGAGATTTGTACTGTGCTTGGAATAATTTATTGTATTGTATTGAACTGATCTGTACTGTACTTGAACTGATGTATACTGCACTGAACAGAGCTGTACTGTACTTGAACTAATGTTTACTGTACTGAACTGTACTTGGACTGATGTACTCGATGCACTGAACTGATATGTACTGTACTTGAACTGATGTTTACTGTACTGAACTGATCTGTACTGTACATATCTTATTTGTTAAAATATATTTGTTCAGTTTGCCATACGTCAACTCCACTATTGACGTTTTATGTGACAAATGTGTTTACGTTGTTAATTGGATTTTGGAATGGAATTTAATTTGACACAAAATCATACATTAAGACTTAACACACTACAGATGTCATATGACTAATGACTACTACTACTAGGACTACTGCAGGACTCCTTCCGTCATAACCTACAAACAGGGAAACCCCAAAGGCGTTCAGTTTGATTATAGACTAAATAAACCACATGGAATAATATGATAAAAATTTCTTGATATTTTGGGCTAATCTGCGAATTGTTGTCCCCCTTGTGTTCTATTGCACTCTATCTCCTTTCAAGCCACTGATGTCCTCTGTAGTCCCTTGCTGCTTAGTCTTCATGTAGGACTTTGTAGGACTAATATGTGATTTGTAAGTACTCCTAGTAAGGTCAATAGTTAGATCTAAACAATTGTCAATAGTTTTATAATTTTAGCTCCCATCCCATCGGCTTGGTTCATTTTTCTAAATATTTCAGATAGAATGGAAGACGAGTTTAAGATGGAAAAAGAGGAAGTTTCTTTGAAGGGAGAGTTCCTTCCGACCTCGACTGAAGAAGACACATGTGATTGTGCTGCTTATTACTCGTTTACTGTCGATGTACCTGGAGATAAAGTAGTCTGAAAGCACAGAATCTGAAGGTTACTTTGACAACTATAAGTTTGAAGTAAATGGAGCCTACGTATAAATTATACCATAAAAGAAGTGATTTATTTTTTCTACTTAAGTTCTTAATTATTTAGTTTTTTTTGTACAATATTTTTAGAAATACTTACTTGAGAACTTAGCTTCCCTGGAAACTATTTTTTCTTTATACAAGTCAACCCACTCAATTTAGAATTTTTAAACCAAGCAAGAACATTCCCAGGTTATACCAAGTTCTCAAGCAAAACTTAAGGCATTTCTGTCCAGGGGTTTTCGAGTTATGATCGGGCATACAAACAAAATTACTACTTTATATATAATATATGTAAAGATTTAGTTATGAAGGTATTAATTATCCGTGAAAAAACTAATTATTTCTAATCTAGAGGGAAAGCTGAAAAATAGAACTGAACAATCAACAATCTAAATCAGAAAACATAAGAAGGACGAACCATGAAGCTGTCAAACATCCCTGCAATCAATTTGAATATGTTGCAAATTCACGTGGTACATTAAAGAGACACGTTGTGAGTAAACATGATGGAGTAATATATTCTTGTAACATTTGTGAATTTACTACAAACCATATAGTAAATTTAAACAGACACAAGAAAAGAAAGCATGGAGTGGAAAAATATCCTTATGATGAATGTAATTATTTGGCAACTACCTCGAATTGTCTAAAACTACATATTAAAAAGAATCATGAAGCTGTAAGATATGCATGTAGTAAATGTGATCATTTAGCAAATTCCTCCGGAAGTCTGAGGAGACATTTTAAAATCAAACAATAACATGAAGGATTAAGATGTTTTTGTAAAGAATGTGAATATGCAGCAACTGAACTAGGAAGTCTTAAGAAACATGTAATAAGTAAACATGAATTGGGGTGAGATATCCTTGTGAAGAATGTGAAATGGTTGCATATGATTTAGGTAATCTAAGAAGACATCTGAAAAGTAAACATGAAAAAGTAATATATCCTTGTAATGCATGTGAATATGCTGCAACTGATTCGATGAATTTGAAAAGACATATAAAGAGAAAACACATGGAAGTCAGATATCCCTGTGACAAATGTGATTGTTCAGCGACTACCAGTACCAAGCAATCTTTAAAATCACACAACGAGAATAAACATGATGGAGTCCGATATCTTTGTGATAAATGTGAGGTTGTGACAACAACATCAAGAAATCTGAAAAGACATACGAGAATAAAGCATGAAGCGGCTAAATATCCTTGTAATGAATGTGAATTTACGGCATCTACAACACCTTACTTGAAGAGACATATTCTAAAATTACTTGAATATATTACAATTTACATGAATTCTACAAATTATGAATTCTACAAATTACTTGAATATATTACAACTTACATGAATTCTACAAATTACTTGAATATATTACAGTTTACATGAATTCTACAAATTACTTAAATGTATTACAATTACATAAATTTTAAAAATTATTTTCAGAAAAAAATGGCGGACAATATGAAAAAAGAACTGAATCCTTTAAAAGAAGAAACCATTGAATCCTCTACTGTAGAGAAAATACTTGAATCCTCTACTGCAGAGAAAATACTTGAATCCTCTACTGCAGAGAAAATACTTGAATCCTCTACTGCAGAGAAAATACTTGAACCCTCTACTATAGAGGAACCCCTTGAATACTCAACTGCAGAGGAACCCGTTGAATACTCTACTGAGGAAACCCTTGAATCCTCTACTGCAGAGGAAACCCTTGAATTCTCAAATGCAGAGGAACTCCTTGAATCCTTAACTGCAGAGGAAACCCTTTATATATTACAATTTACATGAATTCTACAAATTACTTGAATATATTACAATTTACATGAATTCTACAATTTACATGAAATTTTTACAACGAATAATGAATATACATTTTTTAAATTTATTTCATACACTCTAAGTTAAAATTATTTTCAGAAAAAATGGCGTACAATATATTGAAAGAAGAAGATACTGAAATGAAAAAAGAATTGAATCCTTTAAAAGAAGAAACCCTTGAATCCTCTACTGCAGAGGAACCCCTTGAATCCTCTACTGCAGGGGAACCCTTTGAATCTACTGCAGAGGAAACCCTTGAATCCTCTACTGCAGAGGAACCCCTTGAATCCTCTACTGCAGAGGAACCCCTTGAATCCTCTACTGCAGAGGAACCCCTTGAATCCTCCACTGCAGAACCCCTTGAATCCTCATCTGCAGAGGAACCCCTTGAATACTCTACTGAGGAAACCCTTGAATCCTCTACTGCAGAAGAAACCGTTGAATCCTCTACTACAAAGGAACCCCTTGAATACTCTACTGAGGAAACCCTTGAATCCTCTACTGCAGAGGAAACCCTTGAGTTCTCAAATGCAGAAGAACTCCTTGAATCCTCAACTGCAGAGGAAACCCTTGAATCCTCTACTGCAGAGGAAACCTACTCAGTTTATGTAAAAGAAGAAGATGTTAAAGTGGAAATTAAAGGTACATTGTAAGCACATTTAAAAGTGCTACTCAAAAATTTACTCAAGCATTTTTTTTTAACAAATTACGGGTTTCCTCGGCAATTCGTACATTTTTTACAAGAAAAGAAGGCTTATACTTTTGCGAAGGAGGAAACAGAATAAAAAATGTGTTGAAACATCTGTACCAATTGAATAGAAGCCTATCATTTTGCCGCGCTAACACGCCCCCCTCATGCACTATAACTCCAGTACAACCCTGTGCAAATGTACTATTTGCAGAGAAACCCCGGAATTTGTAGTTTAAAATTGCTTGCATAAACTTTTGGAACTACTAAGTCATATTACTTTCTTTTCATTGCAAATTAAATTTAAGGATTTTGTAGTTTGTAACTTATTTGTTTCGCAAAATGCGCCTTGAGCTGGGAACCTTAGATTGGGATACATTTAATCCCGACTGCTTAATCCAAATATCCAATGTGGACACTTTTAATTTCTTGCTTAATCCACTCTTTTTGAATATAGCACAGAAAAAAAAAAAACCAGTCGGGTTTTTTTAAATTAAGAGTCCTTCCCGTTTCTGTATATTAATCTTAAATGGCGCGCAAAATTTCAAATTTCCCGGCTTTTGATACGCGACTCTAATTGGTTGAATTTTATACACTTTTCAGGATACAAGTACAAGATTAGGTTAGTCTCGAGATTAAGAAAAAGAGAGGATAAAGCATTGATCTCGAAATCCGCCATTCTAAAGTTCTCGGCTCTGAACATTTAGACATTTTTGCAAATTACAAAATATCACGGGAATATTTCCTAGAGAGGGGCTGTCGGTGTTATTTCATTTATGTTCCATTTAAAGGGAGACTTGTCCGTTTCTTAATAGTATCCTTTAAACCTTTATCTGATATTTAATTTGGGAGATGTTTTCTACCTTAAAAAGTATTTAATTCTGACAATATCCTCCATTTTCTCCAACTCAAAAACTGTACTCGTAACTTTATATTTTACAGAGAAGTCACAATTGAAAATAATAACTTTTTAAAGCGAAGATGATGGATATCTCATCCATTCTTGAATAGTCAACGCTTTTAATGGCACAGTTTTAGAACACGCCAATATTTTGTTAAAGAGTCATTTGAAATATAGTCTTTAGTCCCTCTAATATAGTCTTTAGTCCCTCTAATACAAAAGACTATGTCAAAAATCTGGTGACTATCGTAGCTAAGATTTTTAACGAAATTATTTTCTTCACGATTTAAAATATTTTATTCTTTATTTCTCTATTTTATTATCTTTTTTAATGTATTTTATTTAGAGGAAAATATGATGGATGGAGAGGATCCTTTGCCATCTAAACTAAATAAAGATACGAAATACGGGTATGGAAAAACTAATTATTCTTGTAAGCAATGCAACTTTACTACAATCGATAAAAGGATTCTGAAGAAACACGTTATCAATACGCATAGAGGATTGCGATATCCTTGTAGTGAATGTGAATATGTTGCTACCAAAGCAAGCAGCTTGAAGATGCATATAAAATCTAGACATCCACGAAACAGTTATCCTTGTACTAAATGTGATTTTGTTGCTGCTACTATTTTATATCTGAGAAGACATATTACTAGCAATCATGGAAAAGAAAAATATCCTTGTGATAAATGCGAATTTGTTGCCAACCAGCCAAGTCAACTGAAGAAACATGTTGAGAATAAACATGAAGGAATTAGATATCCTTGTAATGAATGTCAGTATGCAGCAACTGCAGTGAGCCACCTGAAGAAACATATTGAGTTTAAACATGCAGGAGTAAGATATTTTTGTGACAAGTGTGAGCATTCTGCATCTACGTCAAGCAGTCTCAAGAAACATATTCAAAATAAACATGAAGGAATAAGATATCCTTGTAATGAATGTGAATATACTGCAGCGGATTCAGGAAATCTGAAGAAACATAAGAAAAGAAAACACGAAGGGGTGAGGTATCCCTGCAATGAATGTGAGTACGAGGCAACGGAAGAAGGAAATTTGAAAAGACATATTTATAGTAAGCATCTAGGATTAAGATATTACTGCCAACAATGTGATTATGTTGCATCTCAGGAAGGTCATTTGAAGAGACATACAAAAAACAAACATGATCTTGAAAAGATCAGATATCCGTGCAATGAATGTGAGTATGTAGCTACTGAAGAGTGGAGTTTGAAGAGACATATGAAAACCAAGCATGAGGAAGTTAAATATCCCTGCAACAAATGTGAATATGTGGCAACTATAAAAGGAAATTTAAAGCGGCATGAAAAAGCTAAACATTTGTAAATTTATCTTTTTCTCTCTTTAAAGTTCTACAATCTTCACATGAAATACATGATACATTTCTTAAAGAAAATCAGTCACTTTATAAAACGTGATAAATGTTTATTAGATGGTTTACAAAAACTTATATAAGAGTTTTCTGTTAATAAAAATTGTTATTAAAAGGCATAAATGTAAATAAAGAAGTTGCATTTTTATTCCGGAAGAAGAAACTCTTTCGATATGCTTATTGCTTAATGCTAATATAAAGAAGATATTGGTGTATATGATTAGAATTTAATATCAAATAAGATAAACAGACCCGCAGTCCTCTCATTTCAATTAACTGTATAAATCAAATCCAAGATTGAGATTGTAAGAGTTTGAGGCGTAGTAATATTTCTGACATTTCTCTTTGAACAATGTATTTAGATACATGAATATTATTAAAGAGAAATAACAGTGAAAATGGTGAAAATCCACAAACCCCAGTGTTTATTATATTATACTTACATATCTTTACATCCTATATCCCTGTACCTTCAAAATTATTCAAACATTTTTGATTAATAATCAATATCTTTTCTTCTCTTCCGATTTTTGTTTTTATAGGCTTTAAGTAGATGTCTTTTATTAATCATAAAAATACAAATAAAATTTCTTTTTTTGCGGCAGATTTTTATTTTTGTAATCATGGAAGACCGAAAAGTTGTGCAGGTTCATGGCGGCCGGAAAGCAAAACGCTTATATTTGACATGGAAGGGAAACTAGTTTTGGAAATGTAAGAAAGTCTCGTAAAAAAGTTTCTGGAAAAAACTGGAATTAAAACTGTTGTAAAAAGTCACAGGACAAAATGTCACTGGAAATAAAGTCCCAGGACTTTTTCCTGAAATAGTATGGAGGCTGCCAATAAAGTCTCAGGAAATAAGGTCCTAAAGAAAATATATCCGAAGAAAATAATTCCGAAACCTTGTGAAAATGAGATTAAGTCTAAGACGTTTTCATAAAAAGGATTTTTTTATGTGCATCTGCATTTTTTATATCGCAAGTGGTGGAATAAATATGAGATGCCCCAATTTTTGCATGGTTGTAAACATTCCTTGTTCCCAACTTTTCTACTTTTTTCCCGAAACGTTTTCCTATAAAATCATACTGGAACCAGAAACAAAGTCCTCGAAAAAATAAAGTCTGACAATAGTAGGACTTTGTTTCCAGAGACTTTTTGTTTCAATAGGCGTGGTAGCAGTTCACAAAATAACGTTTCTCCCAATAACGTTTCACCCAATTCATTTTTTACCCAAAACTACGTTTCCCCCAAATAACATTTCACCCAACTCACGTTTCGCCAAAACTATACTTACTTAAGAGTTTCACTCCTCCAAAACAAAAAAATTCTTGCCAATTTTATTTTGAATTTTAAAATTTATATCTTTGTATTTATAAAAGTTATATACATAAGGACACATTGATATTCTATTCTAGTACTACTCAAGTTAGGAATCCTCTTGGAGTCAAGCATTATATGTCCTTGAAGTTGGGATTGAAGGTTTGGAGTGCAGCCTTAAGATTTGCCATCTGGGCTGACCGATGTTTAGTTCTAGATCGTTTTGGGTCGGTACGTCTGACTGTAACCAGCTCCTGTAGCTTGGTCCTTGCCAAGCTATCCTCCGTTTTCAACAATAGTGCGAAAATTTAGGACTTTATTTCCAAAAACTTTTTTCACAGAACTTTTTTGCTCATGGCCGGCTGTTTCCCCCCCGTTCCCTAGAAAAATCTATTTCTTAGGTTACTGGGTATAGTAAATAGTCTACATTACTAGTGGGTTAGTTATTATCATTATTTCTCTAAACTTAAGTTTAGTTACAGATCGTCCAAATACATAGGTTCAGAAGTATATACTCCTTTACTCGAGATAATAAATATGAGTTTAAGAGTAATGTTGGACCTTTCATATTACAATATATAGGTTTAGAAGTATATACTCCTTTACTCCAGATAATAAATATGAGTATAAGAGTAATGTTGGAACCTTTCATGTTAAAATGCAAAGGTTTAGAAGTATATGCTCCTTTACTCGAGATAATAAATATGAGTTTAAGAGTAATGTTGGAACCTTTTCATGTTAAAATACTTAGGTTTAGAAGTATACACTCCTTTACTCCAGATAATAAATATGAGTATAAGAGTAATGTTGGAACCTTTCATGTTAAAATACATAGGTTTAGAAGTATTTACTCCTTTACTCGAGATAATAAATATGAGATTAAGAGTAATGCTGGAATCTTCCATGTTAAAATATATAGGTTTAGAAGTATATACTCCTTTACTCGAGATAATAAATATGAGTTTAAGAGTAATGTTGGAACCTTTTCATGTTAAAATACATAGGTTTAGAAGGATATACTCCTTTACTCCAGATAATAAATATGAGTTTAAGAGTAATGTTGGAACCTTTCATGTTAAAATATATAGGTTTAGAAGGATATACTCCTTTACTCCAGATAATAAATATGAGTATAAGAGTAATGTTGGAACCTTTCATGTTAAAATACATAGGTTTAGAAGTATATACTCCTTTACTCGAGATAATAAATATGAGTTTAAGAGTAATGTTGGAACCTTTTCATGTTAAAATATATAGGTTTAGAAGGATATACTCCTTTACTCCAGATAATAAATATGAGTATAAGAGTAATGTTGGAACCTTTCATGTTAAAATACATAGGTTTAGAAGTATATACTCCTTTACTCCAGATAATAAATATGAGTTTAAGAGTAATGTTGGAACCTTTCATGTTAAAATATATAGGTTTAGAAGTATATACTCCTTTACTCCAGATAATAAATATGAGTATAAGAGTAATGTTGGAACCTTTCATGTTAAAATACATAGGTTTAGAAGTATATACTCCTTTACTCGAGATGATAAATATGAGTATAAGAGTAATGTTGGAACCTTTCATGTTAAAGTTATACAACGAAATATTTGAATTATTCAGTATTATCCAAAATAAAACTTTTAACGCCAATAATTTAGCTAAAAGATAAAATCAATAAATTAAAAACTATCCACTATCTAATAAACGAAACCCTACTCGATAAGATAAAATTAAAAATCTGAAAACTATGGAAACTTGAATTTTGGAAAGAGAAAAACAAAAACGACTTTTATCACAGTTTTTCCAAATAATCTTTTCTTCATATTTATTGTTCGCGGGGTTTTATTTTTATTTTTTACAATCATTGATAAATCTTTGGATTCAATAAAAAAAGTTGTGTTCATCTAATTATCATGATCCTTGCCATACAAATTATGTTATTGTGTAAAATGTTTTTAATTGACCGTTTCCCCTGCACATACAGGGTGTCTCAAAAAACATAGGAATTCAGTAACGAATTCGATATCGTCTTTGTTATGAATTAGCTAGTATAATACCTAATTTCAAAAGCCATAATATTATTATGTCTGCTAGAGTTTATTTAATGAAAAGGGTAAAAGACTGTAAAGATGTGTATAATTTCTCCACAAGATGAACAGTGAAGACGGACAAGTTCACTCTGTTTGTATACTGCAATTTTCATGTTTTACTAAGTACAACCGTATGCAGTCAAAACATAAACAAACAAAATGTGAACATAGCAGACGAAACTCTTACAGATTACAGCTGTCTCAGTAGGTATCACTATACTAAATAAAGAATTATTTAAAAAGACGATATCGAATTCGTCACTGAATTCCCATGTTTATTGGGACACCCTGTATTACAATTGTTGTTTAATGAAAATATTGTTTGTATATTTGTATTTGTATTTGTATATACCCTTTAAACCTTAAACTAATACAAATAATGGGGAAGATAACGTCGTTTTTCTCTAAAAGTGTTTATTTCTGTACATTTTTCCGTTATTTTGTACAGTCTACAAGCAAAGAATGGGCAAGAAACTTACCAAGAGACACTAGAGATGTCAACGTTATGATTTTTCTAGATTTTAGCTTTCGTTACGAGTGTTCATCAAAAGTATTAACGTTTGAAACGTTACGTTGCACATTATGAAATTTTATGGCATAGAGTAACGTTGCGTAATAAATTTTCTGCACTTAAATATCTTATACAACGTTAAGTTTTAATAAATGTTAGTGAAAAAACAGTAAGCTCCGTTACGCATTTGCATTTCTCGTTTTAAAAAACTTTCCCAACGTTGCGTTAAAGTTTATGTAATATAACCACAATTTTTTAACGTTCCACTTTCATGCAAGGTAAATATTTTCAGAGACCTTACGTTACACTTTCACTCAGTTTAAGATCTAAAAGATGACAAACGTTTTGCTTTAATAAGACGCCATTAGGGCATAGTTATGTATGTTACAATGCATTTCAGTGCAAAGAACATTTTTTGTTAACGTTACGTTTTATCTTAACTTTTCCAATATAAATAAATATAATATCTAATTCATACTTGATCAGTCAAAGCTTTTGAGGGTATTGTCGGAAATCGGGCATTGACATCTAAATCTTTGCATGGAGGGTAACCTGAAATTACGCTTTCAGTCCCTGTAACTATATTTTTTTCTTGGAATGGAAAACGACATTCAGTTTAGACTTTTATTTGAGCAATTTTCAATTTACACAAATCTTTAAACTGAAGATTGAAATAAAAATTTTCTAGTGCTATCTATTGTTGGGGAATGTGACAAACTCTTAAAATGTGACAATTTTTAAGTCTTCAGAACAGAAAATTGTCTTGAAATAATAGAAAAGACAAAATCTATACGATTGCGATGAATCCTAAATATGTGAAAAATAGACGTACACGTAAGTCCCATACTGTATGTTGTTAACCTTATAGGGCCATATAAATTCATGCTTTCGTGAACAGGTAAAGATTTTAAGGATATCATTAAGAATCGGACTGCGGAACATCTAACTCTGCTATTGGAGGATCATTGAAAATTACGCCTTTTATCTATATGATATACAACAGATTGGGAACCCCGCTTTGCCTGGAAACTTTAACTTATGATTTTAAAACCAAGCTAAAAAGATTCCCATGGTTCTAATGAGTTCCCCCAAGATATGCAATTTGTATGCCTTTCTTGGTTCTGAAATATGGTAAAAGTTAGTTTTATTTCCGTCAATTTAAAAGATTAACGAGGGAGGGGTGGCTGCTCTTAGGGTATTGGAGTAAAATGTGAAAATTTATCCAACCTTTTATGAAAAGTACGTTAAAAAAAATATTTAAAAAAGGGCTCTGCTGCCCCTTTTTCATTGTCTTTGTTCAAATATTTGCAGGAGAAAAAATCGCAAATTTTAGTCTAAGTAGCCTGTGGCGATCATTTAGTTTTGATTAGCAAAACTGATGGCATTTGTTTTAACTTATACATTTAACTTAACATTATTGGTAAATGTAAACAAAAAAATACCGAGAAAAAAAGAAAAATATCTTGTCTTTTTTCTGCTCTGTCAACTCTGTTTTGGTTCATTTTACTTTCTTTTTTTGCAATTACAATATTGAAAAATAGCTTTGTTTTGTTGATTAATTGTTCAATTGTTCTAAAAAGCAAGAAGAATGTTGAACTTCTCGTTGTTGTTATTTTAAACATTTTGGTTCTTGTCAATTAAGTTGGATATGATAAAGATAAACCTAGAAAGTGCTACTTATGGAAAAACCCTATACCATAGAAAAAGTTAGATAAACAAAACAAAAACTATTTAAAAATAAAAGAATATATTTCATGTTTGTTATGAATATATAAATGAATAATATGATATCAAATATATTTCATGTTTGTTATGAATATATAAATGAATAATATGATATCAAATATATTTCATGTTTGTTATGAATATATAAATGAATAATATGATATCAAATATATTTCATGTTTGTTATGAATATATAAATGAATAATATGAGTGAAAATATATTCCAATAATTGTCTAATTAAGTTATTTAGAAAAAAAATTATTTAATAACTGAATTAATTTTGAGGGATTTGTAGATCTGTAGACAATGGAGTATAAATTCCATTATCCACCTAAATAATTGAAAAATTCTTCCTCATGTATTAGAATTAAATATTGGAGGAAACAGTCGACGCTTATAAATGTTTTTAGAGGTTAAAGTATGATTTTGATAAAAGAGATGTATACATCATGAATAAACTATTTCCCAACTTTTTCTTAGGACGAGCTCCCCTGGTGTTTCGTGGGGAGGGGGGGGGGGGGGTCAGCAATGTTGAGTTTACTTTTTAAACATAAACCTTTTATTCGAGTCTAATGAGGCTCGGTCGCTTAAACACACTGTTTTGATAAAAGTGTCTAAGTCACAGTAATGTTGATTTTATCCAAATCCGACGTAATACTGGTCATTTCCGTATAAACTATTAAAATGGGTAAATTTTACACGAATTAATGTTGAGTTTACTTTTTAAACATAAACCTTTTATTCGAGTCTAATGAGGCTCGGTCGCTTAAACACACTGTTTTGATAAAAGTGTCTAAGTCATAGTAATGTTGATTTTATATCCCCAAATCCGACGGAAAACTGGTCATTTCCGTATAAACTATTAAAATGGGTAATTTTTACACGAATCAGACTCAGTGAGGGTACAAATACTTGGGCGGGCTTGCGACGCTCCCAAATCTTTGATTAATGGTTGTTAGAATCTATTTTTATCTAGATTATTCTAAATCCGTTGTAATTATATAAAGTATATATAAAGTAAATACAATTTTTGCAATTTTACATATTTCCGATATTACACTATACAGGGGCGTAAGAGAACATTTGTGTAAGGAGGGGGGGGGCAAAAAATGTTTGTGTGCCCCCCTTGGCAACATTGTGCCCCCCCCCCAAAAAAAAACCTTTTGTGAAAAAATATTGATACCTTCCTTAACATGTAAACTATTCGATCATAAACTTCCATATTCCCCCTAAATATCCACCGTCGTCCCCCTCCCCCTCTCCAGAATTTCTGCATTTTTGATGTGTAAGTTGGTAGATAAATATATATATGGTTGTGGTAGATAAATACAGAAAACTGGTTTCTAATTCATAAAAACGCGTGAGTAAAAATTTCGTAGAAGGCATAAAAGATTATTCTTTAAATGTTTATGTACATTAATTCAGAACAGAAGGGGAAGGGGGGGGGGGCAATCGTCCCCGGTAAGAAATTTGGAGGATTATTATAAACATTTAAAATATTCCGACTTTTTTAATTCAGCGCAAAGCATAGTTTCAGACGAACGGCTCGAGATGGCGCCAATCCCTGATGTGTGCACCGATCCACAGGGTTATATATTCTGTACAATATACTTTACAGTTTACAGATTTACATTCATTGCAGCTAAATGCTTAATGTTGCAGCTTCTATTTTTAAATTCTTTGCTCCATATCGACAAATGTAAAACTGCTTAGAAAGATAAAGCAACATCACTCTGTAAAAACATGGCCAGTAAAATATAATTTTTCGGATTTCTAGTTTGCCCTGTCAGAGTCAGGTAGATGAGTTTATAAACCGGTTTGTGTAGACCCCACTGTTACACTTACACTGCTCAATATTAACATACTGGGTTTCAGAGAAACATCTGTAGGACTGTAGAGTACATAGTGATATAGGAAAACAAGAGTATTAGGTGTAATGTGTACTGTTGAGTACATAGTGATATAGGGAAACAAGATTATTATTGTACTGTGTCTGTTGAGTCAAGTGACATTATTTACATATTCTATGATTTGAATAATTAAGTTATGTTTAAATGTTAAAAAACCAAGACACAGCAGTTTTGATGAACCGAGAAAACAGCCTTATTATAAAAATTAGGTAAAACATGCTAAATTGTTAAGAGATGTTTGTAACTAACTTTCTTGCAAGGAAATGAAATAAGCTATAAATTTTAAAATATATAATTTGATGTAGATATAACACATTGTTATTTATTTGGTATTATTATTGTTGTTGTTGTTATTATTATTATTATTATCATTATCATTATCATTATCATTATCATTATCATTATCATTATCATTATCATTATCATTATTATTATTATTATTATTATTATTAATAATATTTTTATCATTATTATTATTGTTATCATTATTGTTATCACTTTTTTGATTGTTATTATTTAGATCCATGTGGATTCCATGTACATATTCAGGAACAAAAGAAGTGAACTTGTGAGGTAAAACTTTATTATACATATTTTTTTTTTTAATTGGACAATTAATTATGTAAATCATAATCTGTTATAATCTTGTCTAGAAAAATATGGCGGGAAAGTCGTCATCATGATGATTTGTCCCCTGAGCTCAAGTCCCAGCTGTCCTCGGTCCTCAAGCGTGTTCGTGAACCTGTCCTCGTGGATTTACTGGCTGTCCTACAGAAACGAGGACAATATTTTGGGGGTTGCTGTCCTGTACCGAACCAGAAACTAGGAATAAATAGAGCATTCATTTTATATTGTATATTTCTTTTTATATTTTATATAGATTAAAAGAAATTTAAGGAATTAAAGAAAATGAAAGAAAATGAAAGAAAAGGAAAGAAAACGAAAGGAAGGAAAGAAAAGGAAAGAAAATGAAAGAAAAGAAAAGAAAATGAAAGAATAGGAAAGAAAATGAAAGAAAATGGAAGAAAATGAAAGAAAAAGAAAGAAAAGGAAAGAAAAGAAAAGAAAAGAAAAGAAAAGAAAAGAAAAGAAAAAAAAATGAAAAAGAAATGTATGAGAAATGTAAGAGAAAGGAAGAAAAAACTAAGTAAGCGAAAGAGAACAGAAATAAAAGAGAGAAAACAGAAAGGAAAAAAAGAGAAAATTAAGAAAAGAAAGAGAAAAGAAAGGAAAGGAAAGAGAACAGAAAGGAAAGAAAGAGGAGAGAAGGTAAAGAAAGAGAACAGGAAGGAAAAAAAGAGAAAAGAAAGGAAAAAAAGAGAACAGAAAGGAAGAAAGAGAACAGAAAGAAAAGAAAGAGAAAAGAAAGGAAAGAAATAGAAGAGAAAGGAAAGAAAGAGGAAAGAAGTAAAGAAAGAGAACAGAAAGGAAAGAAAGAGAACAAAAAGGGAAAAAGAGAAAATAAAATAAAAAGAAAGAGAACAGAAAGAAAAAAATAAGAACAGAGAGGAAAGAAAGAGAACAGAAAAGAAGGAAAGAAAGATAATAGAAAAGAAAAAAAGAGAAAAGAAAGGAGCGACAGGGTTGAAACACTATTTTAGTAAAAATAAATAAATATAAAAAAGATTTGAAATAAAATAAATGTTATATTTGTGGTTAGGTCGACACCCTGTAGTTCCGCTGGTCCTGATGTGCCGAATATGGAGATGGAAAGATGTTGAGGGTGAACAGCTAGTCCGTCTACCTATCTGCCAGTTTACACCAGATAATCTTCTTGAATGCTGTAATCCATATCATTGGGCCAGGAGGGCAAATCCAGGTATAGTTTTCTGTATTCAAAACTCACGGAATATAGAATATATTCCACTAGCTTGGAAACCCAGCGTTGCCCAGGTAACTCATAGTTTCTCCCGCCGTTAAGCTCCAATTGGTCATTAATTATGATATTAACTATTTATTTCAGTTACTCAACTTAGCCAATCTAAGAACATTTATATGCCACTCCCAACTTCCCAAGTACTTTGATTTTGTAATTGTAAAGTAGTGTATAAATACGTCACTATTAAAATGAATGGCTACTCCTCCATTTAATTTAATGCAATTTCAATCTTTTGTTTGAAATATTTGGTTTCGCTGTTTGTATCCCTTTCTTTAATGAATGAGTTAATTCCAAAACAGCCAGGAGTCGGAACTTATGCATTTTGGATAAAGCTTTGATCCTCAACTTATGGATTAATGGTATCCCTCTTGGATATCCCATAGTGGGCATACTCTGCAGTGCAGGGATTGCGTTAAGTGAGGTCTCAAGCATTTATCCTCAAATTTAAAAGTGCCCACATTGGATATCAAGATCAAGCTTTTAAGATTAACGATACTCTTCTCAAATGTTTTGACGTCAGGACATACTTAGATGTAATTATTTTTGCGTGATAAGGGTTGAAGTTTCATCTCTCATTGATCTTACTAATTAACTCCTACAATAAAATGGAATAAATATATCCAAAGATGATTTAAAATTAAAAAAATATATTAAAACTGAGCTTAGAACTTTTAAATGCGAATCTCTGGATCAATTTTGATCTGCACTTAGATATCCCGTTTATATGGTTTAGTTTTCTAGAATTTTTAAAGAGTTTTTAAAAGGCAGCACGCACCTAAATACTGGGAACCTTTCAAAACTGTATTCTGGAAATGTTTACTTTGTTAAAGTACGCAAAAAAGTAATTCTAAGCAAAAATATAAAGGAAAATTAATTGTTTTAAAATTGTTTTTTGCACATATATTCTTGGCAAAGCGTAAGTTTTGAAAGCAAAATCAAATTTTAAATCTTTTTAGAATTATGAGGAAGTTTTACAAATCCAAGTATCTTCAAAATTTTAAAAATGATAACAAAGAAGATGATGTTCATCACTACATATATTGATAGTTCCCCCAGCAGTAATAACTAAAACATTTTTTCAAAGTGAATATTGGAAAATTATCTTTTTTCCATCCATAATCTGAGTTCGTTACCCTTTTGTCCATTTGACAATCCAAATTTTTATTTTGAATAATCTTTTTTGTTTGTTTATTTTCTTATTTTCTTATTATATCGTTAGAACTGAAGAGGGTCAAACCAGATCGAAATATATTTTCAATAAATGTGGAACTAACATCTACTATTTTTACTCTACAGAGGTTTGGTCCATCTCCATCACCGTATTTTAAATAAAATGAGGGGATAAAGCACGTATCCATCAAGTTTAAAATTTATAATGGTAATTTAAGGCACTGTAAGCGTAAATTTGTAATATTTAAAGGAACTGTAAGCGTAAATTTGTAATATTTAAAGGGACTGTAAGCGTAAATTTGTAATATTTAAAGGGACTGTAAGCGTAAATTTGTAATATTTAAAAGGATTTTACGCGTAATTTAAAGTAACCTTTAATGTTAAAATGTCAATGCTCAAATCACAACGGGACCCTAGAAACTGTTATCAATAATATGGAAGAATCTACTATGTTTAAAAGTGTTTCATTCTGGTAATTTCTATTAGTTTCTATGTCGTAGAAATGCGCAAGTCACTTCAGTAGAGCACCCACGATTGAAAATGTTCAGTTTTTAAAATGATAAACATTGGAATCCAAGGTATTCTTGCTTAGACAAAGGTTTTAAGGTTATCGTTGTAAATGGGACATATTCCCATTTAAGTATAATATGTATTTTTCAAGATGGATGACGCCTTCTTAATTTTTTTGTTCGATCCAACAAGTTTTGCAAAATAATTTATTGTAACGTTTAAATCTTTAATCCGAAAAAGATATTTAGCAACATTTTTATTGTTTTTCAAAATCAGAATTGCATGATTTAGAAACGGAAGCATTGAGATTTGTTCTGTCATTTTATTCCTATTCATTCTTCTATTCATCTTGTTTCAGGGTTTAGAGGAAATCTTTAAAGATTTTAACGCCATTTTTACACCAACAAATCACACCATGTTCTAATGTTCTAGTTCTATTTACATTTTATGCTCTGATGTATGTAATGTTTTATGAACTGGGAACCTATGTGTTGGATACCGATCATACCGATCCACAGATCTTGATATCCTGCAGTGGGCACTTTTGAATTTTACTCAGAATCTGTGTGATCGCCAGATATTGGATATCCGCACTTTCTCTGTTTTCTAACTGCTTGAACGTAAATTTCCCTGGCGTTTGATTGGCTGTTTTCTACAGGATATCTAATAAAGATTAGATTAATCTGTAGGCTTTCTGGGCGCTTCGCGCCTATCTTCTGTTTCAATTGAATATTTTCTCTTTGTATACATTGTAAAACAAAAACAAACAAAAAGACAGACAAATAGACAAGCAAAGTATATTTATTGATTAAAACAAATCATATCATAAATTATAAGGATAAAAAATACATAAAGAAATAAGAACTGAAAACCGTGGGATAGTTAAATTTATCTATAAACAACTGTTCCAGATAGTTTTGTTTGTTTTTAACTTTTTAATATTTGTAAACAGCACACCACGTATGTTAAATATTGACATTTCCTGTTCTTTCTCAATTCGTCATGAGCCTTAATATCCTAAGTTTTCATTTTTTGACCTTTGATTGAAATTTTAATTTATTTCCTATGAAATACTGTTGAAAAAGCTTGGTTACCTGTATTGCAACATTTTCGTGGATTTTGTTTATTTTAATAAAAAAATGTATTTCACTTTGTACCAATAAACCTTATTTTCTTCTCAATTTTGTTCATTCAAACTTTCAATTTGTAATATTTTTTCCGGGTACAGGAAATTTTGCTGGTTACGCGTATTATGTTAATTTAAAGCAAACTTAGGAATTATATTAAAATAAAAACTGAATGATAAAACTGAAATTGTCAATAAAGACTGAAATTAATGTCAAAACATTATTTTTAAATTGTGTGGCAGACTGCAGTCTGCAAACCTCACAATTTGCGGTTTTTTGAATTCGCATTTTGCCTGATTTTTGGTCTCTATCTTATATTTGCATATAGCACTAACTAGTATAGACAGACTGACACATAGACAGACTGACAATTAGACAGACTGACCGATAGACATACTGACAGATAGACAGACTGACATATAGACAGACTGACAATTAGACAGACTGACCGATAGACATACTGACAGATAGACAAACTGACAGGTGGACAGACTGACAGGTGGACAGACTGACAGATAGACAGAAAGACAGACCCATTCACAAAACGACAGACACATTCACCGAAAGACAGACACATTCACAGAACGACAGACACATTCACACAAAGACAGTTATTATTATATCAAATTAGTAAAAACTAATAAAGAATTGTAAAATGAATTTGAAAAAATATTTTAGTAAGAAAACAGTTGTTGAAAAGATTTATAAGATCAAATGATAATATAAATAAATGTTCTTTTAAAAATAATAATTTTACAGAATTAATAAGTAATAATTTGTTTAAGACGAGTTCCTGAGTTCAAATCCTGCTAAAGGAATTTCCTACTGTGATAATCAATACTCCTTCAATCTAGGTGAGATTCCTTTACGTGTTCATGTGTTCGTGTTTTCATGTGTTTGTGTTCATGTGGTCATGTGTTCATGTGTTCGTGTGTTAGTTTTTTCATGTACTTTGTAATCTCAAGTGTACTTTAAGTACACATGAGGGAAAATGCTAGATGATGTTTACTCTCAAGCTACTTCTAAAGATGGCATTGTTTGTAGGGTCTTAAAAAACTCTTTTGTGAGTCTATTAACAGAACTATCACTATGCAAGATAGAGAATATATTGTTTGTTTACAGACAGTTAAAAATAAGTTTTTTTCTATTTAGACTATTCAAAATTTTAAATGTAATAAAAGAATCTTGAAGTGGATTCTCATTTAAAGGTTCGAATTAAATTATCTACATAGTCAGGGGCGTAAATAAATACATTATCATTATCATT